GGCCCTAAGCTTCTTGAGGTCGAGGTCCATCGTTGCAGTGACGGTTGTGCGCGTGCTGAGCGACGCTTGCCTCAGTTTCAAGCAGATGGCCTGGCTCAGGGTCTTGCAGTTAAACATGGTGCAGTCATATCCGTGTGTTCCCGTGCCTGTTGTCAGCAAATATTTCTGCCGAAGTAGCCTAGACTGGTCGCGAGAACTTGTTCGACTCTTTGGGGCTGATTCTATTAAATCCCAATCGGATGGAAGATCCCACTTGCAAAAGAGTTCCTATCTAACAGCCATTTCAACAGAAGAGTGTGATTTAATGTTAATTGAAACCTTACTGGGAAAGGATTTTTACTGGTATTTCAAATCCAATTCAAGATAAGAATGCCGATTGAACTCTACTGAACGTCCGACTTAAACTTAAAGTTTTGCAATTTGACACTTGCGAACCAATATGCTGAAATTGCATTTTCTTTAAACTGGTTTCTCGATGCTTCGCTCCTTAAAAGCAGGCAAATTAGAAGAAACAACCAGCTTGTCTTTCCTCACTAGATTCGTTTCAAGGTAGAACTAAGTTCCGACTTGGAAAGCAAGTCCTACTGAACATCTCATTCAAATTAAGAAGTCCAATTGAATTCCAACGGAAAGTCCTGCTTAAGCCTGAAGCCTTCAGTGTAAAACTGTAATCCAATAGAACTGAAGTCTACTTGATGTTCTCTGCCGAAAGCCTTTTTGTTTGATTCTATGTAGATTCTAACTAAATCTTAAGAATCACCTACTCAGAACGGAATTCCCGTTTGACTCTAATTCAAAATATGAATTCTAATTAAACTGATTGGAAGGATAAAAAACAGCTTGTCTTTCCCCAGGTGTTTAATTCAATTCGAATAAAGTCCTACTTGGAAAGGAATTCGGGTGTAATATTGTATCCAAAATCACAATTCTAAAAGAAACAACCAGCTTGTCTTTCCTCACTGGGTTCTATTTGAATTCTAATGAGATTCCAATCAACGTCCGTCCAGCTTGGAAAGGAATTCGTATTGAGAGTCTATATCAGAAAAAAAAAGAACTTCCAATAGAAATCTAATGAAAGTCCTACTTAAAAGTAAAGCGTTGCACTTAATTTATGTTGAACCAAACTGAAATTGCGCTCGCCTTTGAGTTCCATTGGTGATTCACTTCTTTTAAGAGGCAGGCAAATTAGAAGACGGGGATGAGGACCGATGCTTGCCGTGGATGGCCTTCTGGAGAAGGCCCAACACCCAGAAGAAAGCAAGAAGGAACACGGAGAAACAAACTAACGGGAAAAAAAAGGAAAAAGAGAAACCAGGGTCCTGCAGAAGAAGGGCCCCAAACCAGAAAAAACACAAAACAGAAGCACTTGGAGAAAAAAGAAAAATAACAATATCTGGGAAAACCGGAAAAACTAAAGACAAAAACAGGGTCTATGAGACAGATGCTGAAAGTAGCTAAATTCTTCTGGAGGTTTTCCTGGTTTTCCTGGTTTGCCTGGCTTTCCTCGTTTTTTTCTGGATTCTTCTGTTGTTTTTTTCCTTTTTTCTGGCCCTTCTTCATGAAGACCCTGGTGTTGTTTTCTGTTTTTGTTTTTTTTTTCGCATTGGTGTGGGGCCCTTGATGTTTGGTTGTCTCTGGGGGCCCATCTTCTGGAGACCCGCCCCCTTTTTGGGGCCCGTTTTCCAGAAGACCTTCCTCCAGCAGACTGGTCTTTTTTTACCCTTGGTGGCCTTTCTCCCTGTTTTAGCTTGTTTTGGTTGATGGGTCTCGCGGGGAGGGGGTACCAGATGTATATAATATATACTGTATATTATGGTCCCGTGTTCCGTGTTGCTACCCCCCCCCCCAATATGCTATGGGTCCTCCAGGACCCACCCCCCGGAGACCCCGAGCCCCCGAGCCCCCGAGCCCCCGGATCCTGTCACCTACGGTCCCACCCCCACCCCGACCCCCTGAACTCGCACCCCGACACCCCGGCACCCCCAGGACAAGCCAACCCGCAACCAACCATAAACCAACCATAAACCAACCCTAAACTAACCCTAAACTAACCCTAAACGAACCCTAAATACACCCTAAACCAAACCCTAAACCGTAGACCTCTAAACCTAAACCAACCCTAAATCAACATAAACCAAGCCTAAACTAACCCTAAACCAACCCTAAACTAACCCCAAATGCACCCTGAACCAATCCCTGAACAATAAACCCTAAACCGTACACCTCTAAACCTAAACCAACCCTAAACCAACCCTAAATCAACATAAACCAACCCTAAACTAACCCTAAATACATACCCTAAACCAATTCTAAACCAACCCTAAACCACCACAACCCAACCACAGGACCACAACCACACGGGGGGGGGGGGGGTACTTGTCTGACCCGTGACCATTGGTGGGGGGGGGGGGGGGGCTGGCAACGCTGTACCATATATATATATATATATATATATATGCACGTCTACGACTCTGACCAAGGGAGCACCGGAGAAGTCAAATCTTCGCAGCAGAAGCGACCTTTCCTGCCTCCACATCGGCACGGAGCCGGGGGTTTTTGTCCATGTCCGAGCTGAAGATGAAATCCACAAACCTTTGCTGGTCAAGCTGATCTCCGGAAAGGCTGACTGCAGGAGTGGATTGACACCAAAATCGTCCAAACTATGTGTTTCCACTAAGCCCTTCGCAAACATCAAAGTCCACGGACCAGGAAAGCAAGTAGGTTGCGGCGTGTTTCTATGTTTTGCCCAGTGAATAAGCGGCATAAAGCCCGGCTGATCACCAATCAACTCCACTCGGACTGGCGATTGGCAACTATGTATATATTACATATGCACACAGGACAGCATCCCATCCACATACAAACAGGTGGCACGATGGTGTAGGTATACAAATGCGTGTAGGTATACAAACAAGACCCCTCGGCACTTGCTACCCAGGCCGGGCATCCAAGAACTTACCCAGAACCTAAGCCACCCGGCTTGTGAGAGACCAGCCGTCTGGAAATCGCGTTGCCCCAGAGGGTCGGGCAAAATGGGGTTCAAAGGGTTGGGTTACCCTCTGAGGGGCGTTCCAAGCCCTCAACAACTCCTTCAATGACCAACCGTCCAGGAGGCTCGTCGAACTGCACCACCTCGTCGCCTGAATGAGAACGACAGAAGGCCAAGCTCTCTTTCGGGGATCCGACCCCTAAAGAAAGCAGCAGGACACATGGAACTCTGCCCAAGGGTCATCTGCTTCCTTGGGCAATCCTACGACTGGCTTGTGACCAAGATTACTTACAACCCTGAAACAGCAGGGCTCTCGAGATAGGCCAGATCCAGCGGAAACAAAGCCGACGGGTTCAATCAAGGCATGTCCCACCCAATAGAAATCAATCTCACGCCATGAGCCGGCCAGCGCAGCCTTCGAGAAGGCAAAGAGCATCTGTGTTTGTTCATCTTTTGGGTAACAAACAATTGGCCTCCAACAGAAAGCGATGTGTTTGTTGCGCGCTGTTAAAGGGCCTCGGGAAAAACCTATATTTCCCCTATAATATGAGGGCATCAGGCATCCCCTGTGGGTAACTCCCAGGGGGCTTCTTGGTGTCGCCTCGCAGGAAACTTGCAGACAACTGCTCTTGGGAACACGAGCCACAACCAAAGCCCCAGCAAGTCGGTCTTTCAAAATCGCTCTTGGAGGAAAAGTCGGGGCTATGAGCGACGCACGTGCGGGGCTATGAGCGACGTGCGTGCGTGCCTAGGGGCTTTGTCCAATCTGCCCTTTCCAGGCGAGAGACCATTGGAGTCATTGCTTGGATTGCCGGTATATCCTTTCAAAGGGGGCTGCTGTGTTCCTTTGGCGCATCTGAAAATCTAGTAGGCAAAGCCGGGGATCCAGGGGACAGTCGCTGGACGGAAGTTGATCTTAGCGAATCTCAGCAAAGCTGGCAAGAATTGTCCCAGCCAAGCTTGGCAAGCAGCCGAAATGAGATATTGCCAGAGTCAAAGAACCCGCTGTCAGACGAGAGGCGGTTCCGGTCCATCCTCCTAGCGAGGAATGGCGCTGTTGCTTCACCTTCCTCCAAATGGTTGGCTGCCACTTGACAGGTATACGCATGTACAGTAAAATGTACATGTAGAACCTACACCTCTGTGTATATATATATATATATGTACAACATGCGCAAACACACACGCAGAGATGAACCTTGATTTGCGGACATACCCAAGTCAGCACACCTGGGTCACACGCAAGAGTCGGGTGTCCCAAGGTTTGGAACACCGGGAGAAAACTTGTCAGATGCAAATGCTCCTAAGATTTTCAAAAGGGAACCACCTCCAAAGTGGCTGGTAGACAAAAACTTCTGAATCCCCACCGAAAAGCAATTTCCACCAAAGGGTGCCCTATCAAAATAACTTCTCATTTGTGTGTAGGCGTGTGTGTGTGTGTGTGGGTCGGTGTGTGAGAGCTGTGTGTGTAGGTGCCTGTGTGTGCAGGTGTCGGTGTGTGTAGGCGTAGGTGTGTGTCTGTGTGTCTGTGTGTTTGTGTGCATATTCGTGTGTTTGTGTGTATTTGTGTTTGTGTGATTGTATTTGTGTGCCACAAGGTTCGACCCCGACTTCTCTCGTCGGGATGATTTTTTCGCCTCTTTTGGAGTGGCAGAGCACAATGCTTCTTCCTCTGAACCCAGCAAATGGGCGTGAATGAACCTCTCAGACTTTTTATGATTGTTATTTCTATCGAGGGCCGCCACTGTGTAGTATGTTGCACTGTTACACATGGACACACTTGTGCCCTCTTGCAGCATCGGACGACGGGTCTGCATCGGTTTTCTCTCCTCTTCAAGCACGTCATGGCTGTCCATGGCAAATCCTGAACAAGAACACAACTGTCTGGCGTGGCGCAATTCTAAACACGTCTGTCGCATTGGTCGAAAGCACCCCCAATGTGCCCCTTTACCTGAACCCGGCGTAACACACGGAAATTCCAAGCTTCCACCATTCTAGTAACACCCGCTTATCCAGGGGTGCTTGTACATGCCCCTTTTAAATACCCCTGGGACAAATGAACCCAAAAGGCCTGCTGTTGTTCATACCCCTCTCCCCAAAAGGGGTATATACCCCTTATGCCCGCTCAACCAGAAGCAGAACTCGGCGCGAACCCTCCTAAAGATCTGCTGCACCTCCTTCTCCGTGAGCTTCGAGGACAAGCCTCAGGCAACTTCGGCGCAGTGTAGACCCCTTCTCGGCGGTCGGGTTTGATCGGCCCTCAGCCGAAGGGTTCGATTTGATAAGAGAAACAACTGTCCCGTAGTCAAGTAACTCCAATTGGTCCAAAGGGTTCAATGTTACCTTACACCAACGAGGCTCCAAATTTGTCAAGAGTCGAAGGCCATCCAGCGATGCCCGGTGCGAAAATGGGGTGACTCCAGCGTCCCAAATTCGAAAGGCAGAATGCGGGTCCCGCGGGTCCCTGGGTCCTTTAAAGGACCCAGAGTTGACTGGCTGAATAAATTCTGGCCTCAGTATTTTACCATGATCAAAGTCACCCGCCAAGTGGTGGGCCAAAGAGAAACAATCCCATTTACTGACTTTGCTAACCCCCCAAAAACCGTCAAAATAATGACCCCAGCAATTTGAACTTGTGTTTCCTCGAAAAGAGGCTGGTCCTGGCTGGCGTTTGAGAGGCCAACTCGCAGGAAGACAAGCCCTTAAAAAGGAGGGACCCATTTTGGGAACCACCCAAAGAACCAAAAGATGAAGACCATTGAAATTGTTCGCAGGCACCGTGAATCACAACAAGATACTTCTGGGCTTCTACCAGTTCAGCTCGAACTTTTAGAACAGATTCAGAAATCTCAAGTTCTCACTAGGTGTTATGATGTGTTGTGGTTCTCATTGTCAACCAGCGGCAAAAGGGGAATGCAGGGCCTTTTGATTCTCATGGTCTTCTATTAGCGCCGCCATCCGAGGTTCAACATAATGCAACAAACATGTGTCACCCTTTGGCCAGTGGCTCCTGTGCCCCAATCATCTGGGAGTTGAGCTAGCGCTTGCGAACCTTTAGTTCATCCCCTGCCAGCTCTGACTTTGATCAGGCCTGCCAACCGCTGGCGTCCTCCCAATGCTTGTTCTCGTTGCTTGGAAAAAACAAAACAAGCAAAGACCCGAAACGGGCTCTTCAAAAAGCACAAAGGCAACGGGAAGCATCCCGCGGGCGGTTTTTCCCGCCGCGGCGCAGTTTAAGAAGACCACCAGCTCTTGGAAGCTCAGGGCGCCGTCCTGCGCGAGCGGCGAGCCAAGGCGAGCGCGAAGGCTGGGAGAGGACTGAGCTGCAAGCAGCAAGAAGCAGCTGGAAGATGGCAAAACACCAACAAAAAAAACTGAAACTGTCTGACAAAAGAATGATAATGGATGAAAATGGATGATACTTGAAATTTCTGGCAACAATCTAAACTTGGAATAGATGGCACTGGATGAGTCCAACCAAACTGAAACCAGAGGAATCAATCCATGTTCCAAACGTTTAGCCGTGTGGCAGAAGTAAGCAACAGGTAGTCGGGAGACAGGACAAATGGTGCCCCTCGACTCGGAAAGTCAGGCGCACCCAGTCAGCGCCTCATGGCATGTGGCATGAGATTGTTCAATGGCATGTAAGAATCAAGGATTCCAACCTGTGGAAACTCTTTGACCCAAAGTTGATCTCAACTGTCTTTCATTGACAAGGAGACCATGGTCTTGCAAATATTCAGTGACCATTCCCAATCTGGAGTTCAACTTGGACCCTGCAGGGCTCATGTGTCAAATGTCAAAACAAGAACGGTTGGAAAGGACCGTTAAGGAAGGCAACAAAACATTCTGCGGGGACCTTCCCCATTTTTTCCAGGGGTCCGGATCTTTCTAGAAAACCTCCGGAAACCCAGAGAAAACGGATCCGGTTTTTGAAAAGAACGATGGTTGAAAAGAATGGGGAATCAACCCCTAGAAACATGTTGTGAAGACTTCCGAGGATTTGATACAAAGATCGCAGCAGCTTGAAACCAGAGACCCAAGGCTGAGCCGAGAGGATGTCCCAGAAATCTGAAGACTCGGCTGGCGCAGGCGTCCTCTCAAAAGAGGGATGTAAAACTCAATCCACCCTGTGTGGACGTTTGTACATATATGTATATATATATACATATTGTACCCCATGGACCCTGCTGTATATGTAGATATATGTATGCATATATCTGAGGACTTCTGCCCGCAAGTTGGTTCCGTATGCAGCCATGTCCTGCGTCTGATTCCACTCAAAAAGAAAACATCAGTGTGATTTGTTCGAGGGAAGGCACTGCGAGACAAGCCATTTCAGGTGATGTGAAGTTGAGTTGAGTTGAAGCGAGTCAGGCGATCACCCAGCAGGTTAGATGACAAGTAACTAATTGCATGCTCTGACATGTCGGTTTTTCCCATTCTTTTGTTAGATGCTCCCAAAGTGACCACAAAGGTAAATCTGCCATGAAGAAGGGTCCCCTTTTGAGGAAAAACCATTTGCGTGTGGCTCAGAAAACAAGAGCTACGGTTACACAGGCTTTAGTCATTTACCAAGGTTGCTTATTGGGTACCATCTTTTGAATCACCCCATCTGACATTCAGCAAACACAACTCTTGACACTACGTCATGCGAACCCTTTGCGGAAGCCTTCGCCGCTCTCCCCCCCGTCCTTGTTCACATCCAGCTCATGGAATTTCGCCTCTCCGGAAGCGGGGTGGGTTATGTAGTTGTTCCGTTGCTTTCCGATGCGTTGCAAGCATAGGTGTCCTTTTAGGTGAAATAGATGGCCCTGGTAGATGATTAAACCACCAGGTAAACCAGGGCCATCTATTTTTCTGGCAAAACAACCAAAAAGGACACCTATGGTTGCAAGCGTCCTTCATGCTCCTGATGCAGCCATGTTTGCCAGGGAGCGGGTCACTCAAACCTGGGCCGGTTTTTCGGGCCGTTTTGGCAGGTGCCAAAATCGGGACCTGTCGAACATGGCTCCAAGCCCCGTCCCAAGTACATTTGACACCCTGCCATTTGGGGGGTGCAAAAGGGGGGTTGGCCTCGAGTCCTGGAGCGCTCAACAGCTCAAGCGGCTGAGCCGGCCTTGATCTGGTTCTTCAGCTGCGTGCCCTGCGGACGTGACTCCCCCCCCCCCACTTTGCCGCATACTCAGGTCCCACGTAGCCCAGAGTTGAGCGGGATAGCCGGCGTGGAGTTCGCTGGGAACTGGCTTGGAGCCTGGGGGGAGCCAAGCTGAGACCTGCGGACTCAAAAGCCAAACTATTGATAAACTTGCTGGTGAGCAGGGAATGAGAAATGGAACTACAAGCTAAACCCTCCATCTATTTTGCTGGTTTCCTTTCTTCGGGGACCCTTCCATGGACCATTCCCTGGGTGTTACGTCCATTTCACATCCCATCTACCGATTCCGCATCTGACCAAAACCGGCTACGACTACTCTAGGGATACCTTCCCCATTCTTTTCAGGACCCTTCTAGAAAACCTCCGGAAAGTCAGGGAAAACGGATCCGGTGTTCGACAAGAACGATGGTGGAAAAGAATGGAATTGGAATCAGCCCCTAGAACTCCGACTCCCCGCCGAGTTGGATTTCGATTTCCCGCCTTGAAGGAGGTGGACCTGTCCGGCTCGCGGCTGAAGGAGTCCCTGGCGCCCGCCGGCCATATAAGGCCGGGAACATAAAAACCCGCTGAGATGTCTGCAGGAAATTTGCTCAGCACCCAGCTGGCACAAAGATCTTGGGCGAAGTTCCTGAATGTCCTGTTCAACCGCATACGCCGTAGATTCCTGGAAGCTGCTCGGTTTTGTATTTTTTTTGGATATGGAAACCCCATGATCCTTGCTTTCAGTTTCCGGTCCAAACCAAGGGACAGGAGGGCGGATGCCGGGCATTTCGCCCCATCTTTTCCACCTCAAATGCTGGGTGTTGTCTTTTTTGGTTTTGCTAGGAAAAATAGAAGGTGATTCCTGGTTTACCTGGTGGTTTAATTATCTAGGCCATCTATTTCCCCTACAAGGACACCTATGGAGTCAGCGTCAACACAAGTTTGGATGGGAGGATGGGACTTTGCTTTTGAGATGTTCAAGGGCAACCAAGATGGTTTGCTGATCAGTTGGAGGGGTTGCAAGTGGCAAGGTTTGCCCCATTCTGATCTAGAAAGCTGTATGCGAATGATACAAGCAAGCGAGTAGCCAATCGTGCGCGTTTGTGTGTGTGACAATGGTTTGTTTTTCCTTGCTGTTCCAATCTCGGTGTTTCCATCTCAAAGACGGAACTGACTGGGAGCCTGCCTGGAAGACTATTCTGCTGAAAGGACCCTCTGTCAAGCTCTATGGGTCGGGAAGCGCATGTGCTGAGTACCGGGCACGCGAGTCGCATGGCGCGTGGAATGTGGATTGGATTTCCTTGTCCCAAGAAATGGGGTGCTGATTTGTAGATACCTTCCCCCAGACTAACATGGAAGCTCCCAGGACCTCTTTTTGTTGGACTTGGTTCCATTTATCGAGGCCTTCTGGGAGCTTCCGGCTGTTTGTCTGGAGTGTAAGTGTTCTGCAGCCGCGAGGAAATTTCAGGGGGAAGGGATCGCTAAGGCAGAGGTCTGATACCCAGAGGCCCGTTTGCCCTCTGTTTCCCCAATCCCCTACCGCAAGGCCACTTTTTCAGATCCGCCCCTGTCCAGATGGAAGGTCCACAGCAATTCCCTTGAAGACAAGGGGCCACCAGGTTCAATCTTTCCAATGTTTGGACCCAGCGAGGACTGAAGGAACACGGACCTGGCAGGGGCACACTCGAATCGGAGCACGGGGTCACTGGTCCAAAACTTTACCCCCCAAAAAGTGCCTCAAACACGAGAATCGGGGGTTAAGCCAAAGTATCGTGGTACCTGTAATGCGTTTTTTCGTGATAGTATCAGGCAAACCAAGGTGGCAACGATCCATCGGCCCACAAGGCACCTGTGGCCGGCCCTCGCCACAGGGGCAGGTGAATGGCCGCGCTCGATGGGAGGCAGGATCATTGGGCAAGGCTCATGCAGACGGGAAGGGTGGTCTCTTGCTCCTTGCTTAGCCCCAAACCGCTATAGAACTTATATTTGGTTCTACCAAATGCTTGGCATCATGCAACAATGAAGATGTTGCAACACGTAGGCCTAGATCGGAAGACCTCGTATTTTGCTGGGTGTACCAAAGGCGATCATCAGGCTTCGAATCATGGCAGTACGCGGTTCATTGAATACATGATCACAGTCCGCATTCACATCTTCTTAAAAAGGCCTCCCTTTTTCTGGCACATGTCGTGCTCCAAGCTCTGCGTCTGCGCCGCCCTTCTCGTCCGATTGCAGGCGTGCGAGCCCAAAGCCAGCATGACAGTCGCAGCAAAATTGCGTTCCTCCCAGCAGAAGCCAACAGAGCCCAACAAGACCTCGGGTGATTAAGGTCGCGCAACGTGGTCCCCTTCCATCGCCGTAGATTACCATTGCCTACACCCGACTTGGATGATTCATAGATGCCATGAGCAGAAAGGAGTGACCCTCGTCATGTCCTGAAAACCATAGTCCGTCTGCTTATGAGTGTTTTCTCGTCATTGTGGCTATTCTGCCTCACAACGAGCAATAACAAATGATGTGATCCTCGCAAGTATCATCTCAAAAATGAACCTCATCGCGTGGGTCGTATCACAGGCATCTGACATCAGTCAAATTACGGGCAAAGATTGGGAGGTATGTTGCATGGAACACCTTTCGGCGGTCGATGGAATAAACTATTGAGCCATGGAAAGCATGAGGATAACATGTTCCCAACAAAATTCTACACCTGTCCCCAAATGCCCCGGATGAAACAAGGATAGCCCTTCTGGGTTTTGTCCATATTCAGTGGGATGCCCGTACATGCCCAAAAGATCACGCCAAAGCCACCAAAACCTGGGACACTTGCAACCAATGGGGGGAATCCACAGATTCAACGGCGCCGAACAAATGGGAATTTCTCTTTTGGATGGCAGAAACCGGCGGGAAACAAAAGGGGAGAGGTGGAAAAACCCTCCTGCCTTTGGACTTCACAGCCGGCCCGTGCTTATGCCTATCGGGTAAAGCTGCGGGAGAATCAAACGGTTGCTCCTTTCTGACGGAGGAAATCTCGGTCACCTATTCTTCTCTTCAACATATGGCCCAAGACCCCAGGAAAAACTTTTAAAAAAAAGAGAGAGAGAGAGAACGGAGAATCAACCCTCAGAAACAAAAACACTTCGCGTTTGTCCCAAAAGCGTTCTTTTGCTTCCCTCAGCATGGAGAGGAAGTTCTCCGACTCTTTCTACCAAGGGCCAAAAGAAATGTGAGTTCGTCCGTGCCAATTCATAGCATCGGGTTGATAGCATACTGCCTAGGGCTTGCCCTTTTGGCATCCTTCGCAGGACATGCAGAAAAACCTCTGTACGGGGTATCTTGCTCCACATAAAAGTCGGGGTCAAGCAGTGACTCCTCGTGACAAGAAGTGGGCGGGACGCCCGTCTTCTTTGGAGAACGCGGCAAAGCAGAAAGCATCCGATCGGCCGGGGTTCTTGCTAGTGATCCGTGATTCATCAGGGGCCCTGTTGCTCGCTGCCTGAGTTGTTCCCAGTAATCGCGTGCCCATGCGCTTGCAAGCCCCAGAGGACACGAAGACAATGCTCATTTTGGGTGGCAGTTCTTAGATCGCACGTGTGGCCCCCGGATGCTTCGGGGTAGGGGAGATTGGTTCTTGTTTCTGGTGCTGTTAATTCCACTAATCCATTCACACAATACTCCGCATTGCTGCCATGACTAAAAGCGTGAAAGTCGGGAAACTTCTGATTCAAAGATCGTCTTGCACAAAATCTGGTGTTTCCTTCTTTAACCCGCCGCTTGCGAACTGTGTTGGGCATGCTACAGCGTCAAAACCCGCTGTGAATCAAATCGTTGCCTCTGCAAACATGAAGCAGCATCACAGCATAGGGTCAACTCTGAAACACGGCCAATACCAGTGTTTCTTCCAAATGAAAAAACAAAACAAAAAACGATGGTCCGTCTTGACCAACCAACAAAAAGCCAAGGACGTGGTTGTTGTTCGATTCTTGGTATCCTTTTCCAGGTGCTGGCAAAGGAACACCTACAGACCACTCCTTCAAAGCACCCGCCCTTTTTCGGTCCGCCTGCGGAGCGCTGGGAACTCCGTCAAGAACTCCTGACCAAATCGAGATGCTTGGGCGATGCAGTGGGACCCGCTGCCCCGATGACACAAACGCGATGAAACAAAAAATGGTCAACCGAAGGCCCGAAAGCGGGGAGAAGCATTCTTCCCCGAACGAAAAAAGGGAACCAGAAAAAAACGCACGCCGCTCCCTGAACCTGGACTTTCAATTTGTGCTAGCCATTTCGATCCAACTCGACACAGAGCCAGCAGATTTCCGGCTGTCGTCTGGCAACTCCACAATGTGAGAGACTAAGCTGGGCCTCTGATGCCCGTCTCCTTGAGTAGCTTGTTGATCTTGGGCCGCAGCGTGCGGGCCCCGGTCTCCTGGTGGTCAGAAGCCTGCGGCAAGGTACGAATTGGCAGCCGCAACTTGGGACCCACAGACCTTGATACCCTTCCTGCTCTTGAATTCCTTCGAAGGAAGGCCACTTTGTGCCAAAGCACGGAATACACGGTGAAGGCGCGAGACAGGGTTTGTTCTAGGGGTTGATTCCCCATTCTTTTCAACCATCGTTCTTTTCAAAAACCGATCGCTGTTTGCGCAGGGATTTTGGTGGTTTTCTAGAAAGAAGGATCCCTGGAAAGAATGGGGACTGCCAACACCAAATCCTTGAGCTTGGCTGCCGGATTTTGACAGAAGCTCCCCTCCAAGCTGCCAAAGGGCCCGGGACTGGTATATGGTACATGAGGCTCCCTTTTACCAGGGCGGGGAGCACAAAAGTAGGGTGGGTAAGGACAAACAAAAAACTTCCAGCACGCTTAGTGCCCCGCATTGCGCGGAACTTAGAGCAAGTCACCGCTGTCCCAAAACAGCAACATCGAACCTAAGACCCTCCAAAATCCATGGAGAACTGGGTATGACTTAAAAATAAGGTTGAACCCAAGACTCACCTAGGACAACGCTCCAAGCTTTGTCTGGTGCGGCCTCCCAGACTGGCACCACGTTGTGGGCGTCCACCTGGCGTCGTCACATCGGCTCGTCAAAATTTCAAAGGAGCCGAACCATCCATTTGTGTGTTCGTCCCCTGAAAGAAATGCAAAAATATGTCAAGTAGCGATAGATCCCTTTTAAAAATCAACAGGGAGAGACAAAATGTTCATTTCAGCAAATGGCAGGAACCTCTAAGAATTGGATTCTCTGGACAAACCTGAAATCAAGCAATACGCATGGGTGAAACAGCTCAGTGCATTGGTGATCCTGCAAATGTACGCCTTCTTGCGCCAACGCGTTTGCCAACCACCATCAGGCGGAATTGGTTGCAAGCGCTGTGCCATCCATTGTGGTGTCCTACGGAAAGTAAGACTTGCAAAATGCTCCTGTGCTTTTGTTGCATCCCAAGGCTTCAGAGGAATAAAACAAGCTAAATGCAGGCACAGAACAGTAAAGCGATCACAGTGTTGGAACGGGGCCTCAAAGGAAAAACACACGCCCCTCGAAGCGAGTCTTTCCATTTCCCTAAGTGGCCAAAAACGGGGACCCGGAATCGGAAGGGGAGGCTTCCTGCAGCGAGGCTTTCAAGAGCTCCGCTGAAACCTGGCCCCGGCGCACCTGGATCAATGGCACCTTCAACTTCTTCAGCTCCTTCGACACACCTCCAAAGTGAGACGGACAACGGGCTCACGTCAAACCTAAAGGGAACCTATCAGCAAAGCCCTGCGCCAGGACAAGCTGGACACCAGAAAAAAACGGCTTGCGATCGGTGCGGGAGAGGCAGGGAAGGAGAAATGTTGTCTGACCCCGAGATAAACAATCCAACTGATGGTTTCCTTTCAGGGGACCAATTCCTGCGTTCATTCCCATAGTCCCTGAGAACAAGAAAACGGAGCTATGCGTCCAGAGTTCGAGAAGCCTTTGCGAAATCCAGGCAACATCTATGGCTGTGAGGCAGGGGTCCTTTTGGACGTTATTGAGCTGCTCTAGTTGGTTTGTGTCCAGTGAATATTGATCATTCCCATTGACAATAGATTTGCTACTTTTGAGAGTCTTCGTTGGCCAGAATGTTCTTGGACGGTCTTTACGCATTACGCGTTAGTGTTGCATTCAGAATCAGATAGATTGCGGGAAAAAAAGAAGAAACAAAAACAATCTGGAACTCTTCGCTTCTCAAAAATTTGCATTTCTGGCTTAGCATTGTTTGCACTGGCGCCACTCAATGCATGTTCAAATTTTGTTCATGAGCAAACAGAGAGGCCGACACGAGAGAGACACTGAGTGAATGGGATCGTCGAATCGGTCTTTGATTGATATGTGCTCATCCCAAACGAAGACAGCCTAAGTGCGGAGGAGGAGCAGCCAGGGCAAGATTTCCCTTGGAGGATTGAGAGGAAGGCGCTGTAAACCCACCGACAGCTCATGGTTTCCAGCAAAGCCTCATGTTCCATTAATCTAAGGGTATCTTCCCCATTCTTGCCAGGGATCCTTTTTTCTAGGAAGCCACCAAAATCCCTGCGCAAACAGCGATCGGGTTTTAAAAAGAACGATGGTTGAAAATAATGGAATTGGAATCAACCCCTAGAATTAAAGGATCCTCCGTTCCGCTCTGCAACCAACACCTGAAGCCCTGTGCTGAGGCAGCGCATGAGGGAACCCTTTTTTCTCACCCTCCAAACCTTTTTTTTCAACCCTTCCCTGTTTTTTAAACCCTTCGCCCTTTCAATTTAACCCTCCCTCCGTCTTTTTTAACCCTCCCCCCTTCTTTTTTAACCCTCCCCCCTTTTTTCTGACCCTCCACCTCTTCCTTTCAACCCTCCATTTCTTTTTTGCCAACCCTGTGGCCGACGCCTGCGGCAACTGCACTAAGCAACGGTTTAGGGTTGGGTTGGTTTCGGAGTGGTTTTGGATTTAGGGTTGGTTTAGGGTGGTGGGTTTAGGGTTGATTTCGGATTGGAAGGGTTTAGGGTTTAGGGTTTAGGGTTAGGGTCGGTTTTGTGTTGGTTTAGGTTGGGCGACCTCAGATTTAAGGCTAGTTTGGGGCAGGATTTGGTTTGTGTAGGAAGGGTTTAGAGGCGGGGTAGGGTTTGTTGAGGGTGGGTTTAGGGTTGGTTTGGGATGGAAAGGGCAAGTTTGTGGTCGGTTTAAGTTTAAGGTTGGTTTCGAGCAGGTCTGTGATGGGTATATGGTGGGTTCAAAGTTGGATGAGGGTGGGTTTTTGGCTTGGAGAATGGGTGTACAGTGGGTTTATGATTGGTTTAGGATGGATTTAGGGTTGGCTACGGGTGGGTTTAGAATGGGTTTAGGGTGACGTCAGGGTTGGGATAAGGTTGGATTTACATGGTGTTAGTTTAGGGTGGGGTTTGGGCTTGTGTCGAAAGGCTTCAGGGTGGATTTGGGTGGATTTAGTGTTGGCTTAGAATCTGTTTGAGGTGGGTTTGGGGTCGGCTGTGTAGGGTTGGATTAGGTTGACTTTGGGTTTGTGTTTGGTTTAGGTGGTCTAGAGTAGGTTTGTGGTGGCTGTAGGGTTAGCTTAGGGTTGGTGTAGGGTTGGTTCAGGGCGGGTTTGCGGTGTGTCTATGTCTAGGGTGGCGTTGGGGTTGCGCTAGGGGAGGCTTGGGGTCGCTCAAGGGTGGCTTAGGGTTGATTTGGGGTGGCTTGATTTCAGGTGGGCTTAGGGTTTTTAAGGGTATGTTGTTCGTTTGTTTTGGGTTGGGGTGGATGTAGGTTGGTTCAGGGTTGGTCTGGGATGGTTTAGGGTGGGGTTTGCGGTTGGTTTCGGCTTGGATGTGGATTGGTTTTGCGGTTGGCCTAGGGTTGGCTTCACTGGATTTAGGGTTGGGTCAAGCTCAGCTTAGAGTCTCAGGGTGCGCTTAGAGTTGGATCAAGGTGGATTCATGGTTGGTACAGGGTGGGCTTATGGTTGGTTTAAGTGTAGGGCTGGCCCAGGTTGGTTTTTGAGTTTAGTGTGGGTTGCTTTTGGGTGAGTTTAGGGTGGGGGCAAGGTTGGTCTAGGGTTCGTTTTTGCTGGGCTTGACTTTAAGGTTGGTTTTCGGGGTGGTTTGGGATTGGTTGAAGCTGGGTTTAGAGTGAGTTTAGGATTGGCTTAGGGTCGTTTTAGGGTTGAGGGTTGGTTTTGGGTCGGTGGGTCTGTTCAGGGTTGGTTTAGGTTGGGCTTGGGGTTGCGTTAAAGCTAGATTAGGGTGGGATTGGGGTTTAGGGTGGGTTTATTGTTGGCTTAGGCTAAGCTTAAGGTGTGGGGTGGGATTGCGGTTGGATCAAGGTTCGGGCGGGTTTAGAGTTCGTGTAGGGTGGGTTTAGGGTGGGTTCAGGACTGGCTTGTTGGTTTAGGGTTGGTTTAGTTTGTTGATTTAGGGTTGGTTTAGGGTCGGTTTGGGATTGGTTACGGGTGGGTTATGTATGCTTTAGGGTGGTTTCGAGTAGGTCAGTGGTTGGGGTGGGTTTGGGCGTGTTTGGCTGGTTTGAGATCGAATTAGAGTTTGGCTGGTTTGAGGGTTGGCAAGGTTTGGCTTAGGGCGGGCCTAGGGTTGGTTTGGGTTGGGTTGGGTGCGGGGCGGGCTTGGGTTGTTTTAGGTTTAGGGTGAGAAACAAGGTTGCGGGGTGAAACAAGCAAGCTCGCGGGTGAAAAAAACAAGGCGGAGGGTGAAAAAAACAAACCGGAGGGTGAAAAAAACAAGGCAGAGGGTGAAAAAAGCAAGGTGAGGGGTTGAAAAGAAAGGATTTCTCAGGGTTGGAGAAACAAGGTTCCCGCAGACGGTTCCCAAGCAGGGTTTGAGGGTTGAAAAAAAAGGAAGGGTTAAAAAAACAACTTCGGAGGGTGAAAAAAAAGGGAGCCCAGCGCATGACATGACAAGTTGACAGCCACTGCTTTCAAGGCGTGAGCCTGGCTCTAAACAAGCCCAGAGGCTCCATGTAGATGACATGGGCTTGGGGCGATCTCGCGCAAATTGATCCCAAAATCCCAAGTTCTTTGCGAACACTGCTTTATCCCTGTCACCAGAGCAATATTCCGCGATGGTAGTCCCGTGAATTCGAATATTTCTTGCACATGCCGAGAACTAGCCTGCTTGCAATGCCCTTGCAAGCAGCAGCCATAGCAACCTGTTCTTTTCCGGGAGTCTTTGGCTCTGTGCAAGACACATCCATCCTCATGCTGCAAATGGCCAGCGGCTAATGACTCTTTGAATCTGCACTCATTTGATCGTTTGCGCATGTGTATATAAGTATATGTGTATAGGCATGCATGCATGCATGTATGTATGTGTATGTGTATGCGGATGTGCTTGTATACGTGTGTATGTAATGTAACGCAATGCAACGCAATGCAACGCAATGTCATGTCATGTCATGTCATGTCATGTCATGTCATGCAATGCAATGTAATGTCATGTAATGTAATGTAATGTAGTGTAGTGCACGTAAGGCGTGTAAACAATGTAAGGTATGTGGTGTGTATGTAGTGTATGTAATGTTTGTTTATATGTACTGTATGTAATGTGTGTAATGTACTGTAATGTAATGTAATGTCATGTAATGCAATGTTATGTAATGTAATTGTAATGTAATGTGTTGTATTGTATTGAACTGTATTGTAATGAAGTGTATTGTATTGTGCTTGTATTGTGTTGAGATGTACTGTACTGCACTGTGTTGTAGTGAATCGTATTACATTGTATTGTGTTGTATTGCATTGTGTGCATCGTATTTTATTGTATTATAATGGAATGCAAAGTATGTAAGTAATGTAATGTAATGTAATGTAATGTAATGTGATGTGATGTGATGTGATGTGATGTAATGTGATGTGATGTAATGTAATGTAATGTAATGTAATGTAATGTAATGTAATGTAATGTAACATCTGTCTGTATACATACATACATATATATATATATATTATATATGTACTAACATCTGTCTGTATACATACATACATATATATATATATATTGTATATGTACGTGTGTATGTGCATGTGACAACATCTAGCTGGCTACAAAAACACAAATCGAATTCTTGCTTCAATCCACCAAAGCGCAGCAAATGAATGTGACACTAAGCAACCACCCGATGCAGCTGCTCTCTTTTCGAGAGTGTTGCACCAGGAACGACTCCAATTTGCCTCAACTTTGCCCATTGGCGTTTCCTTAGGAAATGCCCAGGGTGATTCGGCGCTAGCATTTGAGGCGCAAACTGGCTGGAGCTGAGATGGGCAATTGGTTGCGGGGAACAAGAGAGGTGATCTCGGTGAACCCGTTGGGTTATGGTCAAACATGTGCCTATGGATGCGCATGAAAATTGGCCCACCGGCACATCCCTCATAAATGTCCCTGTGTTGCTCTCGCTCTGGCAAAGGGCACAACATTCTCGACCAATGCTCAGAACACTAACCCCTGGGCTGGTCTTTGACCCGCTGCCAAAAGTTCCAAGTCTTTGTTGGTCAGCGTGAACACCATTCTTGTTTCAAAAAGTTAAAGCTCGAACTAAAAAGCCTCGGTTGACGTTGGAAGGGGAGCAAAAAATTATATTGTAGCAGTTCAGTGGGGATTTCCCACTAAACCACAATAAGCAAAAATGTAAAAGGTTTCCCAACAACAACCATGAAGCAACCAAGCCTGCAGCTTCCTTCCGCGCTCGTCTCTAAGCACCAGCCAAGGTGTCTAGAGCGCCCAGCGTTAAACGGTTTGCGCGCGCCGGGCGCGCGCCCCAAGAATCCGCCATGCCCGCGGCCTGGGGAGATCGGGAGATCGGGCGGCAGGCGATGGCTCGCTGAGTTTGGGCCCTTGGTTTTTTTTGTTTTTTGTGTTTTGCTTTTTGTTTTGGGATTGGGTTTTGTGAACCCGCCGGACCCAAACAGGTGGAGTTGACCATGAACAAACAAACAAGCCGGCAGGCAAATAGCCGTGGGTCAAAAGACAAATCGTACCCCCAGTGAACATCCCAAATCCACCCACTAAAATAGGCTCTAAAATGGGTGGTGAATTCACCTACCCCAAGATGGTACCATTGGTTTTGACCCACAGCCATGTTAGTCCTTGGGTTGGGGGGGGGCACTGCCGGACTTGGCAGTGCAAAAGGCAACTTGCAAAGAGCAAAACCGCCCAGGCGATCTCAGGGTCGCTTGTATGGAGGCAACGGCTTGCTAAAACACGGCCTCAAGCCTGGCATGCCAGCTTGCAGTATCGTCTTGCGATGTGGCTGGACGCCTAGTATTGGGTTCCCCGGCAATTATCATGGGGGGTAACGTACTTGGGATTTGAATGGGATGAGGATTCACCAACAGTATGCTATCTGCAAACCCCCAAGCTACAAAGCATTTCCGATCGGAGTGATACATACATACATAATATACATACATAATATACATACATTATATATATATATATATATTCATTTATAGAGAGACAAAGAGATGCGCACGCACAAAAGCCAGCACACACCCACACCCACACCGACCACACCACACACACCACACACACCACACACACACACACACACACCACACACACCACACACACCACACACACACACCACACACACCACACACACCACACACACCACACACACACACACCACACACACCACACACACACACACACAACACACACACACACACACACCACACACACGCGCACACACACACACACAACACACACACACACGCGCACACAGACACACACACACACACACACACACACACACACACACACACACACACACACACACACACACACACACACACACACACACACACACACACACACACACACACACACACACACACACACACACACACACACACACACACACACGCACACACAAAAGCTCCACCACACCCTCCCTCCCTGCTGGATGCATTTTAAATGAATTCGATTTCCCAACTGGCCAAAGGTTACGCTTGGGTCGAGCAAATCTCAGGACTTCGCCTCTGGCAACCCGGGATGCCAATCCGGAGAAATGCATAGAACGTCCCTGCCAATCCTTGATCAGACTTGCTCCCTTTGCAACAACTCGAAGCCGCCATGCTCAACACTTCTATGAAACGCACCCCCGACTACCCTTCAACCCCTCAACCACACCCCCCAAATATCCCCCCCCCCCCCCCAACCCCTTGGGCGCAGGCCTCACCGCCAGGCAAACACCGGCGACCCAGTGGCCGTTCCGTCCGCCGGGGACTCTGGGGAGAACATGGGCGAGGCGATCGCCGCCCCGGGCAGCGCGCTTTCGGCCGTGCGGCGGCTGCGCTCGGCGGCACGCAGCTGCCGCCCCGCCCAACGGAAAGCTCGGTCCAGCTGGGCATCCGTGGCACCGGGCATCGTGAGCATGAAGTACCTCAAGGCGAGGCTCTGCTTGCAATCGAATAGTAGGGTTTGGTGGGGTGTGGTTTGGGGCGGGTATGACTAGGGGGGTATGGTTAGGGGCGGCTATGGTTAGGGGGGGCATGGCTACGGGGGGTTCCCTATCTATAGCAAGTTGACCACAACTGGGTCGTAATGAAGAAAAACGGTATTCAAGTGGTCTACCCAAGTCAATGTCAAGGCGCTTTAAAAGGCGGATGCAGCTGATATTTGGGACTATCCACTGCTCGCCTTCATAGAATATGAGGGGCCAAGTTTTGGCTATCAGCTTACAGCTATGATGGATTCATGGTACCCCACAAGCCTCATTCTAACGCATGCCTTCATCACAGTTGCTCCGAAAATTCGCCTGAAACTTGGCGCCATTTCGAACCCAACCCAACGGAAACCAAAACCAAAACCAAAGCCTCACTGCTTCGCGGCTCGGAGCAACCCCAGTTCCATCTTGGTCCGGTTTTGCTCGTGGCTGAACTCCCCAACTCCCCCAACTCCCCCTACTCCCCCAACTCCCCCAACTCCCCCAACTCCCCCAACTCCATGTGCGTTTTCGCCACCCAGATAAAAAATGAGCACATAATTCCAGTAGTGGTAGATTCCTTTTACTTCCTTTTACAGCCAACAAGGGAAAATAAAGCAGAATAAGAAAGTATGTCCAGTAGTGATAGATTCCCCTTTAAATTCGACAAGGGAAAATACAACAAATATTCCTTTTACCAAATTAAAGCCCAACTCCCCCAATTCCCAACGTCGCCTCTGCAGCGTGAGGTCCGCTTGGCTCTTGGCAAAGAAGCCCGCCAGCTTCCGCAGCACCCGCTTGGCGCCGAAGCTCCGTGCCAGCGTGTCCTGCGAGCGTGCCAAGTGGACGCCACGTGGACGCCCGTGGAAGTTCTCTGTGCGTTTGCGGCGCCTGACGTAAACTCGGTTGCTTTCTGCTCCCCTGCCAAAAGTGACTAACTTTTAGTGGTTTAACGGAAAACCCATTAGTTGCCAAAAGGCTAAAGTCCTACCAAGCAAAATGCACCAAAGTAAAAACGCCGGTGTTGAAACCTAGGAGCAACAGGGCGGAAGGCACATGTCACGCGCAAAGTGTTTGCGCCGCTGTGAACAGGTCGAAATGCCGACAAGACAGGCAGCAACAATTACAGCTACCCCCTGAGGTACCGCTTACTCGTCGCTTGTATGACTCTCGCCAGCTTCTGGGACTTTAAAAAAAAAAAAGGCTAACGAAAGGGGTACTTGTCGGGAGGGTACCTGAAAGTTACCTTGAAACAGATCTTTGCTCATGGGGCTGCCACTTCCTCCACTGGTCCCCACGCCCCCGTTCCGTTGGTTGTCGTCTACCCGCATTTCATGCCGTTGCTCAGGTCAGTAGGTCGCGTGTGAGGAAAGGAGGTTGCCGTCCTGCCGCTGGCCTGCGCTGGGCCGACCGTCTGGCCAACTTCCACACAAGCAACGATCCTAAGCGGCAGAATGGCCGGGCGCGCTGGCCCCCAGCCCCCCTCCCCCCGGCAACTTTTCAACCCACTGAGGTCCTGCGCCCAGATGTAGTCAGCATGACTGATCATCCAGGCACCTCGCCGGTCGATCGCCTCGAAGACCTGCAGCAAGGACTGGAAGGTCTTGCTGTTGTACTGACCCACCTCGCTCCTGGGCTGAGGCCTACAAGCCACTGAAAGCAGAACCCTCAAGAGGATTCATCAAGACAGCAAAGTCGCTCGAGGTGTTTTGTTTTGCCCCTTGCTTCAGAAAGCACACGGCCCTGCAAATAATGCGCAAACCCTCATTCATTCGCTGCCCTGGGTTCTCCCACCAACTGGAAACCAAGCGGGTTGTAGCCTTCGCTCATTCACACCACGCATGTCTTTAGAACACGACTACAACCCCACAGTAATGTTGGTTTTCTTCCCAACTTTATAAACCACCCCCTCTGTGGCGCGAGTGACGCTCGCTAGAAATTGCAGGCACGGCACTTCTGAACGAAACACACCTGGACCCCCGATACGAGTTTCCAAGAGCCCAAGTAAGCTGCTACCTGCTGATGCGCTTGGCACGTGATCCATGTTGAACTGCTGTTTACACAAGTAGAGTCGCCGTAGCCAAAGCCATGTGGGGAACCTTTGCGTGGCATAGGGGATTACCCACCAGCATCCAAGTACGATCCATTGACCAACCCCCGCACAGATTGAAAAGCGCTCAACACCTCATAAAGGGGCAGGGTACTTAGAAAGTGACTGGTACACCTGGGTATAACCCACTTAGGAGACTTATAACCCGGGTAAGTGGGTTATAACTACCCATGGAATGCAACATGCCCCTAGCACGATATGTCAGCTGGGAAACCAAGGTTCTTCATGTTGACCCAGGATTAATAAACCCGCCCCACTATTAGGGGGGTGTTCCCCTCCAAAAGTGCTCTGAATCCCCACTAAAAGGGGACACCCCCCCCTACTAATCAACCAGGGGTTGATTAATCCGGGGTGAACATTACTCACTTACCAAGCACCATGCCCCTTTAAACTGGACGAATGTTTGCCCTCAAAACCCCCATCCCGGAAGCAAAGTTCCTGGTGAAGTGCACCGGAACCAGTAGGCTCGCCCAGACGGGGCAAAGGGCCAGACGGGCCCGGTTTGGAATGATCCAAACAACAACATGCCGATACGTGACATATGTGACATAAAACATTAAGAAACACACAAACTCAAGCCAAAGCAAGACAAACACAACAACACAACAAATGAAAGAAATTAAGACAACTTCAAAGTCAAAAAGCGAAGCGCAAAGGCAACAACAGCACAAAGAGACTCACAACAACATGACAACACCAAGCCGAAACAAACACAACATGAAGAGTAAAAATGCAATCCCAGCAAAAAAAAAGGAGACGGCAACAATACAACAGAGGCATTGCAATTGCCTCCTGTTCCGGCCAGCGGCTCCCCGGACTTTGGGCTTGGTAGTTTAGCAACCTCAAGCGTGGTGCCCGGACTCGCTTCGAAATCCAGGGCCTGGCCGTGGCGAAGCCGATGCGGAGCCGATGCAAACATGGCGCCGTCTTTCTTCGTCCAGCAGAGAGGATAGAATACGGACGATTCTTGGTCCGTAGTCGATTTTAGTAGGGGAACCCTCCCCCTACCAAAAAGGGGGTTAAGAAGGGCACCACTGGGGGACCTAGTTCTTTCTTCGCCCGCCGCCAAAGATGCCGTTCTCAACACGTCGAACATGAAGCATGTGCGATATGTTTTTGGGGCTGTCAGTCGCCCGGAATCTGAAAATAGGCATCCATAATGTTGCCCCCATATTAGTCAACCTCAGTTTGTTGATAGGGGTGGAGGCCCCTCAAAAAGTGGTCTGATTCCCCACATCTCACCCAGGGACACCCCCCCTAATAAACAAACCGGGGTTGATTAATCTGGATCGCCTGCACCAACCCTTTTGCGGGGTTACCCCAATTTGCAGACACACCCTGTGTTCTTTCCCCCCCCCCCCCCCGTTTTCAGTGACCCGGAATTCACGTGCTGGTGCTCAGTAGGGAATGTGAAATGGAATGAACCCAGGCGTTGGTCCCTTAAAGGAAACCACCAGTTGGATGGTTTATAAGGGTCATTCATCCACAATTGCCCTTCAAGGAAACCACCAGTTGGATGGTTTATCTTGGGGTCAGACAACATTTCTCATTCCCTGAGCACCGCAAGTCTCTTCTTGGACAAGAACCGTTCTTTGTGGTCTTCCCTCCCCCCTTTCTCCGTCACCCGTCTGAACCAAACGGGTGGTTCGGATTGGTGGCTCGGAGATTTGAACCCCTGGCTCTTGCACGGCGAGATGGGGGATTCCACGCACTAATGACCACCGAACCGGGCTCCAAACCACCAAAAAAAAGAAAAGAGGAAGCTGGTCAGATCCTAGGGGTACCTCCCCCATTCTTTCCAGGGATTCTAGAGAACCTCCAGAAACCCGATCGAAGAAACCATGGTTGAACCGAACGGAATCGGGAAAAACCAACCCCTGGAAAGATGTCCATTCAGATCGCCAAACCATTCCCCCCCAAAAAAAAATCCGAAGGAAGCTGAGAGGTCCAAAAAAATGTCGAGGTCCGCCTGCACCAGCTCATAGGAGGCCATGGCCAGGTCCGACAGGCAGGCGGCTTTCAGGCGCGGGCTCAGCATGGAGCCGTGGAAGCTGCAGATCACGCGGATGGGCTCCCCCGATTTGAAGCTCACCTCCTGTCAGCGTTTTTCCGGTCACCGCCTGGTTTTTGGATAAAACCGGTTCATTCAACACCTGGACTCCGTCATTCCCTGCCTATTGCAGTTTGGGCGGCTTGGAGCTAGCTTTTTCCATCTGGGAAACCAAGTGGACAAAAAACAATCGTTGTGCTTCCTCCATGGGACATGTCCAGATTCCTCCACCCACTTGCCCCGGTGGTACCTCCTGGGCTCCGAGAAGAAGAAAAAAAAGGTGAAAAAAGAAACGCAACCCGCAGCAGGTGCCACCAGCTTCATCAGCTTCAGATTCACAACTGTTGGTTTGGATTCTTTTTGGGAGCTTCCTCTCAGGTGCTTTGGAGCCGAATCGGTGGGTGAGGGCTGGTTTCCCATCTACCCTGGCACTACCTCTGGTGCCTGATCACATTCACGGGGCTCGGTTCAAAAAACAAAACGCCACCCCTGGTGCCACTCGTGCTACTTCTGTGTAATACTCCGGAAAACGAGGGGAAATCGGACAAGAGCCGAAAAGGAAAGTTGGGAAGGGTGGCGTCAGGTTACCCAAACAACCACATAATGCAATATGTGTCTAGCACGTGCAAAGCATATAGGCCCCATGAATGGTGACGCCAGTTTGCCCAGGCCATTCGACTCATGTTTGCTGCCATTTAGTCCCACGTGGTTGTAGTCAGGCGACAGCAAGCTGGTGGCAGACGGAAAGTCCCACCTTTGGCGCTTCGCAGGGCTCTGCAAACAGACCTTGAGAGCAGCTTGTTAGTTGATCATTCGGGTTGGAAAAGTGGTCTTGCTTTGCTTGCGTGCTGGTGTGTTTGATTCCTTGCCTTGCTTGCCTTGCTTGTTTGCCCGAAGGCACGTCCTAAACCACGGGGCACTGTGGAGTGGATAAGTCTCCGTTCAGTGGGTTGTTTCACCAGGCTTACGAACCACTTACCTGGCGTACCGAATCGATCGCCTCGATCGCCCCTTGCGGTGTCTCCTGCACCTTCAGCACAGACAGGAAGGGCAGCAGAACCTCTCGCTCCTCTGGGTACTGGCTGAGGCCCGACAGGTCCAGGCACTCCGTGACGTTGCCTCACACCAAAAAGGCCGCGGCCCGCAAGGCCCACAGGAACTGAAGCCCAAGGAGTTGCTTGGAACCAAAACATCCAACCCTTCCACCGAAAATGTTCCAAACCTCACATGACGACAGCGGCGAGATCAACTTGCTCGCGTGTGTTTGTGTAGTCGCACTGGGCATTGGGAGGGGCTTTCAGGATTCCCACTCCAACACAGGTGACTATCGGCGGACAAATGCAAAAGTGTCCACCCTTCCCCTGCCCTTCTCCCCCCTCGCACCCATCAGACACTTGGGTGTCAAAACAGGAGAACCCCCCACCACAAACGGCGTCTTTCCAGTTGGCTTTTCTTCAACCCTTCCCCCCCCAAAAAAAAAACCGGGCCGCCAACCACCCACCCCCCTTTAAACAAACCCACACACACACACAGCCCCAAGCAGCGTGTTCGGTTGGCCGGGCCGCGGATGGTGAGGATGGCGTGGTGCTCCAAGTTGGCCGCGCCCAGCGAGAGGTACTTCTCCACGCACGAAGGCTCCGCGGAAGTGCTCAGCACCTGCGGGCACACCATGAGGTCCTCCTGGGCAATTTGGGCGCCCGGGGACCGGGGCTGGTCCCAGCCGGTTTCCGGGGCGCCCCGGTTTTTAGGCGAAGAAAAAAACCTTCAAGGGGGTCTTCCCCCTACCGCACCTCCTTTTGAACCCTCCCTGAAAGCTGCTCCACCCCATAACTTTCAGCTGTTGGGGAAAACCGGCACGCGGCATGGTGTGGATGTTTGCTGGGCACAACATGGGTACTATTCAAGAAAAGCAATGGAAATAGACGTGCGATCCTGAAGGAGAAATTCCATGAACCTTTCTGGGTGCCCGGCGTTGTTGCACTTCGGTAGTGTGAACTTCTGAATGCATGTGAGTTTCTTTTGGGGGCAACATTATTTTTTGCGGCGGATGGACTGCAATAGAATGGACTCAGAATTTCAGTGCCTTCTGCCTAATGGTTTGATCCGAGAATTCCCTTGGAGTGAATCATTGAAAGATGGCGAAGCCGAAGCGAACTTTAGAGACGCGGGCTTGAGCGAGCAATCGTGAGTCGGCCCTCCCCAGTAGCAGGGCCATTCGCATGGCTTCGTGAAAAGAAATAAGTTCCACTGGGATGATGATGATGATGATGATGATGATGATGATGATGATGATGATGATGATGATGATGATGATGATCATGATGATCATGATGATGATGATGATGATGATGATGATGATGATGATGATGATGATGATGATGATGATGATGATGACGACGATGACGATGACGATGACGATGACGATGACGATGACGATGACGATGACGATGACGATGACGATGACGATGATGATGATGATGATGAGCGAAAAGCTGATGGTGGAAACACTGTTTGTGAATGCGCCAAAACTAGTAACTCTTGTTGGACCAACTTCGAACGAGGCATGAAAAGAAAGCTAAGCCGTTTAGAGGCACTCCAACTTGGGAAAGCAAACCTGCGCAGTGGCTGGTGGGAGAAGCGTGGAAGGGAGTCTCCTCCCGTTGGTGAATCATCTTCCAACTTCAGCTCAAAAGTTCAGCGTCGCTCTTGCAACATCTCCCCTGGAAAGGTGTGTAGAGTGCATGTGACTTTGCCCCTTGCAAATTCCCTTTTCAAGGGGACCTGAGGTTGTGGCGCTCAAGCGATTTGGCATCGATCCTGTTGATGGACACATCCTGCGCCACCTGGGATGGAGAAAACCGTGCATCATGTTGGGATAAACCACCTACCCGTCAACAGTCTCTCCCTGGAAACCGGTCCTTGTGTTTCTTCTTCAGCTCTTGCACGCCTCTGTCCGAAAGGTTCATCAACATTCGCGTCAGCACCTGGCAAGGGCCAAAGGGGGGGTGCCTGGGGTGCCAACCTGGAAAACGGAGAGTCGAGCGTGTGGCCCCAGCAAATCTCTGAAAAGAGTCGTACCCTAGGTGCACTAGCGAATCGAGCTCACTCTCTGCCTCCCCAAGGGGTCTGAGCATCACCCTGCCAGTTTGGTAGCAGCCCTGCCCCCGGCAAAACACATCTTGTCTTTTGGCCCCTTGGCAACGTTTCACGGTTGCAAGACTCAAACCCTGGAAATGTGGCATTTCTGAGGGTCTATCTTTCTTTCGTTTTGACATATAGCATTGAAACCCCAGTCTCTGCGCCGGCAACACCTTGCATCCAAGATCTAATGGGTTCGTCCCTCACCCCCTTTTGGACAGTGTGCTTCATCCCTTCTGTGAGGTTTCTGTCAGGTCTGTTGTGCTGGGGGAGGGTTGCTGGACTTTGAACTTGTTGCACCTCGCATTTGTCTGGATCGCTTCCCAAGTTGAACCCTTGAATCACACTATCCCTGTCTTGTAGGAACAGCTTTCCGCACTGTCGGTGTTTTTTGTTTTTGCTTTTTTTTTCCGAGCCAAATGCCCCTTCCGAGAAGACATCAAGGTGACACCATTGACACCAGGATACTTGGCTGTGAATCTAACCCTTTGCTGGACGTCATTTAGGTGGGGATGTATGTCCGCCAGCCACTGTTGAAATGGTGGCCTATAAAAATGCAAAGCCATTTGTTTTTCTCCTTCAGTTTCCAGTAGCCGGCCAATCTTGGGAACACTTAGAGTAGCTGACAGAGTCCTTCATGAAACTCAATGCCATGTGCCCTATCGGTTTTCAGTGGTTTGAGGCTGAAAAGAGGGGTATCTGTTTTGGGCGGTCCCCTGTCCATTTTGCCGGGCTTTTGCTGAGCTTGACAGCCCCAAGGCGCCACGAATACACGAATGCCGAAGACTACCCATCATTTTGTCAGATTTGGAGGGGTCTGCTGGGCTTTCGCAGTCGGAGGTAGACCATGGACACCTACAATGTGTTTGGCTTCCACTTGAACCTCAGTCTAAAAAACTTCTCATGATTCCAGTACGACACGAGCTAATGCTACCCCCAATCCAGCCCCAATCCAACCCCTCGTCACCAGCCCCAACCCACCCCAATCCAACCCCTCGTCACCAGCCCCAACCCACCCCAATCCAACCCCTCGTCACCAGCCCCAACCCACCCCAATCCAACCCCTCGTCACCAGCCCCAACCCACCCCCCACCCCAACCCACCCCCCACCCCAACCCACCCCCCAACCCCCCCACCCCAACCCACCCCCCACCCAAACCCACCCCCCACCCCCCCACAACCCAGCCCAACCCACCCCAACCCACCCCAACCCCTCTGCCACCCCCTCTGCGGAACCCCCTCCTTGGGCTCCTCCAGCGTCTGCCGGCACGAGCTCAGCAGGCAGGCGGTCTTCACCCACTTCTGCAGCGGCTGCTCAGCCGCCGGGTCTGGCGCCTGCCGAAAGAGAGAGAGAGAGAGAGAGAGAGAGAGAGAGAGAGAGCGAGAGAGAGAGAGAGAGAGCGAGAACCGAGGGCGAAAGCCCAAACTCAAAATGAGAACTCCTCACTGATTCTGGGGGTACCGTCCATTTCCAGTCTTAACCCAGGGATCCGCATCTTTCTAGAAAACCTCCAACCCCCCCCCCCCCCAAAAAAAAAAGCGGATCCGGTTTTTGGAAAGAAGGATGCTGGAAAAGAATGGAATCGGAATCAACCCCTAGACTGCTTGGCTTTCCACAGGGCCCCTTTTTTGCCCCTCAAAACATCGCCCCCGTAAAGGGAAGCTCACCTATGGGCAAAGAAGCTGACAGGTAATGTTGAAAACCACAAAAATAGAAACCCCTGTTTCAGGACACTCTTTCCAAAGCTGCATGGAACGAGCTCTGTTCCCTCGAAATGAGAACCCGAGGGGGCCAATCATGGCTGAGTCATATTGTGCGGAGATCCTTCACGACATGCTGTGCATTGCAGGACTCAATCCTTCAGACAGCGTCGGCTCATCTATGGGTTGTTTCTACAGGCTGTCTCTTGGAAGGGGAGCCAAGGCCGCCTTGGGCATCACCTCCGAGCCCCGTGACAATAGGTTGATTCCCAAGCAAACCAACGGCAAACCATGGTGATGTGCTCCCTCTTTTGCAACGCGAGAATCAACAATTGGCAAAATCGAAGCGTCTGTCTCGTCGGCAACAGAGAGTGGCGTTCATCATGATTATTTGTTTCAATGAACCGACTAGAAAGACAAAAAGCTGAGCTTGTTTTGGGTGGTGATAGATGGGCAGTCAGCTCGCAGGGCTAAGTAAATCAAGGATAGAGCCAAAACCTCCACAGTTGATGTTTGTTTGCTCTTTCTTTAACTTTCTTTGCCCGGGGCCCCGAGCTTTCGCAAGTAGAATCAATTACCTTGTCCTCGTGCGGGGGTTGTCGAATTTGGGAATCTAGGGTCCTTGTCGGTATCACTTTCAAAAGGCAGCACAAGGCGGCACCAGGGTCCAAACAAAATGTAAAAACAGCCATATGGTTTGACAAGCCCCCCTTATATAGGCCACTTTATAATTGGAGACCCCCCCAAGAAAAAAAGAATAGTACTCTGGTTTCCTTTCAGCGTCCCTTTCAAACCAAACCCCGACTCGGGTGCACTCTAAAACCACAATAACCCCGTGTGTTTCCCTTGTAAACCGACCCCCCCCCCCCAAAAAAAAAAGAGCGAAAGAACAACTCATCTATAGGAGAACCCCCCCCATAAAAACCAGCGGTTTCCTTAAAAGCCTAAAACCCCGCGCCTGGCGCAGGCCCGCGCGGAGCGCCGCGTGCAGCGCGCTGGTGGCCACACGGCTCACCTCTCAGCGTCGCTTCGCTTCGCGCGGCGCTTCGGCGGGAGCGGAGCGAGCCACGTGGCTCGGTCGGCGGAAAAAAGGCAGGGGTTCAGGCAAAACAGCTCAGCAGCCCTCATGTTGTGGGGTGGTTTGGATGGGTGGCTCGGTAGGCTTCCCTCGTTTTTGGCTGGTTTGGATGGGTGACTGGGTAGGCTTCCCTCGGTTTGTTGGTTTGGATTGGTGGTTTGGGGATTACCGCCTATCAGCTTCCCTCGTGTTTTGGGTGCTTCGGAGTCCGGTTTGGTGGTTAGGGTTCAAATCCCAAAACAGTCCAGACCACCAACTCAGGGGTCCCCCATTGCTTGCTGGTTCGATAGGCAGGGAATGAGGAATGGAATGACCCCCTATAAACCATGCCCCGTGGCTTCCTCAAAAGGAATCCCCTTCCGGTTCCTTTTCAACACCCAGGAGGTCATTCCCTTCTGAGCACCAGCAAGATTAAAACAATGGTTGGGGTTATCTAACCACCATCATCCAAATGGGGTCAACCATTCTTTTCTTGGGGGTTGAACCCTCGGGCGGATTTGACGCGATCTGCACAGATATTTGGGTGTCCTGAATAGGGACCCCCCACCAAAACAGCAAATTCAGAACCGCATCCCCAACAGCCCCCCGGATCCTGCTACCTTGAGAAACTCCGGACTTCATTTGGGCAGAGACTCCTTCTTTCACCTTTCAGCTGTGAAAGCAATAGATGCACTTCATGGAAGTGGACTGGGGTCCTGTTCAGGACGACTGACTCCTGCCTCCTTCTTTGGGCTTTCAGCCGCTAAAGAAATAGATGCACTCTTTCCGAGAATCATGGAAGTGGACCGGGGGTCCTGTTCAGGTGGACCGTCCTCTAAGCCCACTGTCAGCTTCCATTGCTGCAAAGAGGGTATGACGAACAAACCCAAAACGCTCATATGGGCTAAATACTCAAAACACCACGCAACACTCAAACCAAACAACAGAATATACCATCAGAACAAGCCATCCAAATAGAAGACTGGCAATTTAGGCGTCTTTTTTTGAAAATAACTTTCAACCGGCTGATTCCATGGCCCCCCTGAGCTTCCATTTGCTTAAGCCCCCTTGAAAAAAAAAAGCAGTAGTGACTGATTCCCTTTAAAACCAGCAAATTAAAACAAAATGTGATACATTCCCTTTCTTAAGCGAATGGATAATAATAATAAAGTTCTTAAGCAAATGGATGTGAGTTAGGACGCCCGCAGTCCGATTTTCCGCCTCTTGGCTCACCATGGAATTCCGCGGGGCCACACGCCGGCGGTAGGAGTCGTAGGCCTCCTTCCTGCCGGTCAGATGGTTTCGGCTTTCGGCTGGCCTGTCTCAGCAAAAAAAATGACTCTAGCAGTGAAGTGGTTGGACTTCCCACTCAACCACAATAAGCAAAAGTGCAAAATGTTTCCCAACAACAACCATGCTGTGTTTGAACATGGCTGGGAGCCCTACGTTTGCCCGACTGCGTCCCATGCATCCCATGCGGCCATGCGGTTGACGGAGCCCATTTTCCTCAGTCTTCGCCCTGCTTGCTCGCGTCTCCAGCTATGGGTCAATGGCTATGGGTCAAAACCCCGGTTAGCCCCCAGTGAACATCCGATTCAATCCAAGCACCAAGTAGGTTCTAAACTGGGTGGTGAATTCACCCACCAAAATGAGATCCCAAAACGGTGTCCCACGGAGTGCTTGAGAGATGGAGGTCTCCGCCCGGCCCGCGACGCCCGAGCCCCTCCAACCCGAAACCCCAAATAAGAAGAGTGTGAGATGCACAGAATCCCGAAAACCCAAAGCTCCCCTATCTGAGGGGAAACTACCCCATAGGTGTCCTGTGAAACATGCACCCCAGTTTCTGACTTTGACCCCCCATCCCAAGCGTGAGTCGGCGATACCCCCCCCCCCAATCCCCACCCAGCACCAGGGCTAGAGCCCGTGACGGTCAAACATCTGCGAACAGGCGCTCCCAAACATGTTTAAACAACGCTTGCGCTGAAACCAAACAAGTTAAACAAGACATGACTGGGGGGAACACGTGCGGTTCAACTTGTGACACATCAACTATCATCAACTGCTTGGATTCTCGCTTAATTTAGCCAGGACTATGACAACTGGCCCATTGGTGGAAACAAGACCCAAGCTCAACAGCTGGAACACAGCTAAGCGAAGCACAAATGGGTCTTTCCTAGGGGAGCCTCCTTCTTGGATGGCTTTTGAGCGAAACAAGCAGGAAGCCACCATACAAAGAGAGAGAGAGAGAGAGAAAGAGAGAGGGAGAGAGAGAGAGAGAGGGGAAAAAAGAAAGAAAGAAAGAAATAAAGAAAGAAGACAGAGAGGGAGAGAGAGCGAGCGAGAGGGCTCACTTCTGGAGGACACCCTCGCTTTGGCCAGGAGCACTAAGTGGTTGGGGTACTTTCCAGTACTTTTACCTACTAGGTGGATGACATGGTCCACTCATGGCGCCCATGGACCGAAAACATCCTACGTGACTAACGGGACCCGCAAAAGTCCTCACATGGCGGATTCTCAAGGATTCCGTAGTCCACCAGGCAAATGTCATGGGAAACAGCTTGCCCGCCTCGCTTTCCATTTATGACTTGAGACATCGCCAGAAGAAAATGCCTCGGTTGATACCCAAATCAGGCAAACAGCTGGTTTGCCGAAGGGTAGCTCACACGCCTAGTTGAAATGATTGTCCTGGACCGGACTGAGACCCAGTGTACGAAAGAAGAGATTCAAACTTGGTGCTGGCACATCCTGAAACACGATGAAAAGCCAAAAAGGCGCAAACTTAGGAAACGCCAAGGCGAGCCATGTTGTTTTTTTCCAAGGTCTCTCAATGGCTCCGAAGGTGCATGTGGGTCAGCGAGCCAGTCATTCAGCATGGAAGAGCCCTTTGAGACTGGAGAGGTGGATCTGGTCTCGACTTGCGGACGCAAACTTCGGATGGATAAACCCGCCGAGATCCATGACGGAAAAAGATCCGCAGAAAAAACACGGAGGGCAAATCAACAAGACCTTCGGCGCCCGCTCCTCTCTGCGAAGAGCCTAGGACCCACAGCAGAAGAGGGGCAGTCAGGGAACAGCATCGTGCGGTCCGTGTCCACGTCCTGCGACGCGGACCGCTCGTGACACGACCGACGGGCCATGGCTTGCTCTGCGCATTGGAGACCGGTATTTCAAGCGAGTTCTCGACCCCCTGCCGGGCAATCGGGTTTATAATATGCTAGAATCTCCAAGTTCACACTGGCTTTACGATGCTTTACGAGTTTGTTTGCTGACTGTGTGAGGACGAGGCATCCATCCCTACCGCCACTTCCAACCCTTGGCTCCTGCTGACACCGGGGTTGGGCCCGCCACATCTGACAAGCACAACTGGTCTCCCTTGAAGGAACCAGGGTTTGGCTGCTTAAACAAACGCTGCCCAACTGCCAACCCCTGCTGACATTCGCCCCTAAACTGCAGCTAGAACCATCACAGGCAGAAGCTGGCGTTTTTTGCTGAGGTCCCTATTGTGTGCCCAGCGTGTCGCTGAGCCAAAGAACGGAAGCCGCAAAAGGGCAACATCAACCATCCTGACAGAAAGCAATGCCCAAAAAGCGCCGTGAATATCTCTACGTGCTCATACCTACGGATTGCCAGTGGCAACTGCTCATCTTAGTCTACTTGAAGGTTCATTCCGCCGAATATATTGTATATCGCTAAGCGTGGCGAACGTGCCCAACCGGAAAAAGTGCCGATGCGCCGATTTGCCCGCGCCGAAGCGCGGTCCTGCTGGGTGTAGAGCAGCATGCTGGCCAGCGCGATGGGGAAGCTAGCCCAGGGCGCGTCGAAGGACTTTTGGCACTTCAGGTCGTAGCCCAGCTTGAACAAGACCTCTGGCTCGCACTTTCTTTCTGGGAATGACCTGAACTGGCTCGTTCGCGCGCTTTTCCTTTGTGGGAATGACCCGCTAATGGCTCGTGGCGCGCTCGTTCTCTTTATGTGAATGACCGCAGCTGGGGCGCGGGAATGTGACCTCAACTGGCTGGAATGACCCCCAACTGACCTCCAGGTAGCCCAGCTTTTCTTTATGGGAATGACCCGCAGCTCGCAACTGGCGCGCGCTTTCTGTCTGGGAATGACCTCAACTGGCTCGCTTCCGACCGGAAAAGGACCATGGGACTGGCTGGAAATGGTTGATGCAAGTCAAACCTCGGGATTGACGATGAGAAGAGGGTAACCTGAACTCAAGGATACCTTATATGTTTTCTTGGTTTGAGTGGAGGTTGTATGGGTCTTGCTTGGCATGCTAACCATTTTGCATCATTGTCAAAATTGGGGAAAATTGGGGGCTGTCTTTCTGCAAAACCAAAGTCGGTGTCGCTGGATTAATCCTCTCGCCACACTTCGCCGAGAACCTCCATCTCGGGTGGACACCGTTGCGGCTGCGACTGCTCCAAAACGAAAAGGCCATAGCTCCCAGGGGCGGAAACAAGAAGAAACCCCGGCCTTCTTGTCCAGCTGATCGGCTTTGAACATCTTCCCGGTGGCAGACACCTGGCAACTCCGGAGGTTTTCGCACAGCTCCTCCAGGATGCTCGCCTTCTTCCCGAACCTCAGCGAAGCGACGAAAGGCAAAGAACCCCGCCCTCAAAACAGCAGCGCCAACGGAAACCATAAGACATCACTCAACAGAAACGTGGTAAGATATAGAACATATGGTATTGTCTGGATATGCATGGTAGTGGTACACAACCCCAGCACCAGGAATAGGTTTTGGCGCAAAGCTCGTTGTCCATTGGTGGCCAATGCCTGTTCAAAGTTGCTGTGTCTACAGGGCAGTGGTGCCTTCATGTCTAAAACAATGGAGGTGATTTGCGGGCAAGCTGCAGCTGATTCAGGTTTACTTGTTTCATTGGGCTTGGAGAGACTTCAATTCGCTTGCAACATAACACGCCTGCGTGGTGGTAGACAAGGGGTCCGAAGCAATGGGAAAGCATGGCATTTTTTTGTGCTTCTCCAAAAGGAACAATCAATTAATACTTGGGCAAATTAGCATCCAGCAACATGATGCGCAACACCACCCGGAACATATGCAAAAAGGAGTGCAAGACAATGCAATTTACTGCAAAGTGTCAAGTGTTCACATTGCTACGTGCTTTAAAAGCTACTGAAAAAGGATGCAACTGAGCATTCCTGGCCTACGTGAACTCACCAAATCACCGAAGCAGCAACTGCCCCGGCATTATTCAGGGAACTTCTCCATTGTTTGCAGGTCCACCTATCCCAAGCATCTGGCTTGAGGATCTGGACCCCACTTCCTCTTGACCAAATGCCAAACGTTCGAGTGGGCTCCTTGGTTCACTCAGAACTTGGACAAGTCAGCTGGTTTATTGATCCGGAGCCGTGAATCCCGGCATGGGACTCTTTTCGAGATACTGGATCGCCAGTTGCCAGCGATTTGGCGGCAAATTGGTTTTACAACATGATTCACCCCACCGATTGAAGTGTCAACAGCGCACAAACTATCAACCCGAAGGCCCACTGCATATTTTGACGCAACGATGCATCTCATTTCAAAAACTCTGGTCCAAGAGCGTCACCATGGGCCTGAGTCTTCACTTGGAGCATAAAATGGCTAGCGCCCTTCCGCGTTCCTTTCAAAACCATCCAAAAAAAGGCGGAGGTCCCTCATCTTTGACTCACGCCCAATCGGCCAGCACCCAAAATCATCCACAGTTCATCTTCAAAACCCCAACATCCCGCCAAAACCCCACCATGTTTCCCTTTTTTTCCCAGCCATGGGTCTAAAACCCCCCCCACCCGAACCCGCCGAACCGACCCCAACGCGTCGCCAGGGCGTCGCCAAGGCGCCAGGCGCGCTCCAAGGCGCTCTGCAGCTCTTGGCCCACTGCCACAGTGCTGAAGGCCACGCTCTCGCGGACCTGAGAACCGCAGCTCTGCGCCGTGTGAAATATCCATCCACCCATCCGTGTGTAGATGTATCTATATATATATATATATACATATACATATGACTACCTATATATATATATATACATACATACATATATATATATATATATGTATATATATATATATATATATATCACATACATGAAAATGCTTATGTGTATACATAGTATGATATGTATAGGAAACATATATATATATATATGTATGGTATTGCATATATATGTTCCAGGCCGTGGACCCCCCCCCTCGCCCCCCCCAACGCCCCCCCTTCTGTGGGGTGGGTGGGTGGTGGGGTGGTGGGGTGGTTGGGTGGTTGGGGTGTGGTTCGAAGTTGGTGTAGGCTTGGTGGGTTGGTTTAGGGTTGGTTCAGGGCTGGTTCAGGGTTGGTTTGCGGTGGGTTTCGGGTGGGTTTGGGGTTTGGGTTGATTTAGGCTTAGGGTTGGGGAAGGAGGGGTTGCAGGGTGGTTTGGTTTAGGGTAGGATGTTGCGAGAGGTGCGGGGGTGTTGGTAAAGGGGGAGTCTGGGACCGAAGCTGCAGGGCTCACGCGGTACTGGACAGCATCCCCAGCATTGCCAGCATCAGCCCCAAGATGCGGATGATGCGGGGGAGTGGGGGACCATACCATTGAGGGGGGGGGGGGTACGTGGCTGGTACATATATATAGGGAACAAATATGTATATGTTTTAGTATAATATAGGTACATTACATAGTTGTACAGGTGTCTGTATGTATGTCTGTGCTCAAGCAGACCTTTAGGCGCGTGATTCCAAAGCGCGGCGTGTTGGCCGCATGATGCAAACTCCCAGAACCCCAAGTGACTCGGAATCCCCTTGCTGACAAACAACATGCACATAGGTCACGGCCTTACAGTAAGTGAATGAACGGCAAAACCCGTGGAGTTTGGGGCTCCGGAGCAACTGTTTTCACTGATGATGCCAATCGACAGCATCCCGGAATCCACACCAACCAATTAACAAATTTACTGATTCTAACCAATCAATCCAAGGATTCATGATTTGATTAATTTGTTTTACTTGATTTGATTACTTGTATTCAAGCAACCCATCTACCAAGTGACTGCTTCTACCTGACCGACCCTTTTTTTACTGCCGCCAAACCTTTGGCAAGAATTCGCTGCATTGCACTGTCAAGGTTCTCTACATCTCCCCTTGACAACCCAATTCTGAAGTGACAATATCCCTTAGGCCTGCAGAACAGCAGTGGACCCTCTTCCATCTTCCCGCTCCGTGCCTTCCAGTCGAATCCTCCGTAGCCCTCCGCGTGCAGCGCCTCCCGCGACCAAAGCGGGGCGGGTAGCCCCTTTGGGGACTCACAAGCAAATGGGTCGAAAGGCAAAACCCTGGCTCACGGAGATTTGGCGGATCCAATGTCAAGGGATTAAATGAAAATATAAAATGATTGGACTAAGGCCCTATTTGTTCTCACTTACACTTCAAGAAAAGCAGGACAGACAGACAGACAGACAGACAGACAGACAGACAGACAGACAGACAGACAGACAGACAGACAGACAGACAGACAGACAGACAGACAGACAGACAGACAGACAGACAGACAGACAGACAGACAGACAGACAGACAGACAGACAGACAGACAGACAGACAGACAGACAGACAGACAGACAGACAGACAGACAGACAGACAGACAGACAGACAGACAGACAGACCAGACAGACAGACCAGACAGACAGACCAGACCAGACAGACAGCCAGCCAGCAGCAGCCAGCCAGCCCAGGCAGGCAGGTAGGCAGGCAGGCAGGCAGGCAGGCAGGCAGGCAGGCGGGAGGCGGCGGCGGGCGGGCGGGCGGCGGGCGGGCGGGCGAGCGGGCGGGCGGCGGGCGGGCGGAGCGGGCGGGCGGGCCGGGCGGGCGGCGGGCGGGCGGTGCGGGCGGGCCGGCGGGTGGGCGGGCGGGGGGCGGGCGGGGGCGGGGGCGGGCCGGGCGGGGGGCGGCGGTGCGGGCGGGCGGGGCGGGCGGGCGGCGGGGCGGGGCGGGCGCGGGGCGGGGGCGGCGGGGGGCGGGGGGCGGGCCGGGCGGGCGGGAGGGCGGGGGGGGGCGGGCGGGCGGGCGGGCGGGCGCGGCCGGGGCGGGCGGCGGGCGGCGGTGCGGCGGGGGGCGGCTGGCGGGCGGGCGGGCGGGCGGGCGGGCGGGCGGGCGGGCGGGCGGGCGGGCGGGCGGGGGCGTGCGGGCGGGCGGCGGGGCGGGCGGGCGGGCGGGCGGGCGGGCGGGCGGGGCGGGCGGGCGGGCGGGCGGGCGGGCGGGCGGGCGGGCGGGCAGGCAGGCAGGCAGGCAGGCAGGCAGGCAGGCAGCACGCAGGCCAGCACGCAGGCCAGCAGACAAACAGACACGCAGACACACAGGCACAGACACACGGACACACAAACACACAGACACACACAGAAAGCCAGCCAGCCAGCCAGCCAGCCAGCCAGCCAGCCAGCCAGCCAGCCAGCCAGCCAGCCAGGCAGGCAGGCAGGCAGGCAGGCAGGCAGGCACGCAGGCACACGGACATACAGACACACAGACACACAGACACTCGGACGCGCGGACACACGGACATCACAGACACACAGACGCACAGACGCACAGACGCTGACACACAGACACACAGATGCACAGACACACAGACGCTGACACACAGACACACACACACACACACACACACACCCAAACACTCATAGATACAGCAACATCGCAGAAACCCAGATAACCAGACACACAGGCACAACACAGACAGCCAGACACCCAGACACCCAGACACTCAGGCACACAGACACACAGACACACAGACACAAAGGCACACAGACACATGGACACGCACACAATACAGATACAAGTAGATATATATATATATATATATATGTATATATATATATATGATAAATGCACACGTAACACAACACACGCACACGCGCACGCACACGCACAAAGAAAAAGAAAGAGACACACATACATATATACACACGCGTACACACACACATATACACACGCGCACACACACACACACACACGCACGCACACGCACACGCACAAGCACACGCACACGCACACACGCACACGCACACGCACACGCACACGCACACGCACACGCGCACGCACAGGCACAGGCACAGGCACACGGACACACGGACACACACACACACACACTCGCACACACACACACACACAAACACAAACACACACACACAAACACAAACACAAACACAAACACAAGGACACACACACACACATTAATACAAAGACACAACAAAAACAGACACAGACACACACGAAACACACAGACACACGCACACACATTAATACAAAGACACAAGAAAACAGACACAGACACACACGAAACACACAGACACACGCACACAGACACACACGACACACACGACACACACGACACACACACACACACAGACGACACACGACACACACGACACACACACACACACGATACACACGACACACACGACAGACACGACACACACGACACACACACGACACACACGACACACACGACACACACGACACACACGACACACACGACACACACGACACACACGACACACACGACACACACACGACACACACACACACACACACGACACACACGACACACACGACATTCACGACACACACGACACACACGACACACACGACACACACGACACACACGACACACATGACACACACGACATACACGAAACACGACACACACGACACACACACACACAAACACACACACACACACACAAACAAACAAACAAACAAACAAAACAAACAAACAAACAACAAACAAACAAACAAACAAACAAACAAACAAACAAACAAACAAGCACACACACACACACACACACACACACACACACACACACACACACACACACACACACACACACACACACACACACACACACACACACACACACACACAACACACACACACACACACACACACACACACACACACACACACACACACACACACACACACACACACACACACACACGCACACACGCACGCACGCACGCACGCACGCACGCACGCACACACACACACATTCACACACACATACACACATATACACACACACACAAACAGACACAAACGCAACACACAAACACACACTGATCCATTTGTTTCCAGTCACGGAGAAGCATGGAAACACTAAGATACATATGCAATATGTCAACAAAAATGACCGCCTGAACATGGTTTCAGCGGTGAAACGGACCAAATAAAGAGGGGTCGGTCGTGAGATATGGCTAAACAACTTCAATTACGAAAATAGCACAGACCTGTGGAGGAGATAGATGCCAAAGTGCCATAGGGAGCCATGAACATGGGCAAATACGAGGGGAGATTGGGTGGAAGACCACTGGCTCCCCGGAAAAGTACGGCAGGGTTGCTGACGCTGGGATTCTAAGAGCTCAGGTCACGTTAGCAAAACGACAGCGCCAGTCTTTGGCCAGCCCAATAATAAAAGATACCTGCCTTAGCTTGGCAGTCTTAATGTCAAATTAAGAAGACTTGGCGCCTAGTATCCCCGCGAAAGCCGACATCTCTGGCCAGCTCGCCAGCCAAAACGCCACGGCGGTTGACAAACAGTGAGTGTAATAGTGTTCCTTGAAACCAACTGCAGATGATTAAACAAAACTCTTAAGCAAACAATTCTCATAGATTCCCTTTAACACCAAACAGGGGTACATGATATATACATATATATATATATATATGGCCTGGGTCAAAACCCTGGTACCCCTGGTGAACATCAAAATAGGTGGCAAATGGATGTTCATCCACCCAAAATGGGATCGCCATAGATTATGCAACCCAGGGCCATATATATATATATATATATATATATATCTGCACTCCTTTTAGCCCAACTGGAAGCTCCCCTCCGCCTGGCGCGCCACCTCGAAGGACAGCTCCGGGTGCGGCGCCAGCAGAAAGCCCCGGCCCAGCCGCAGCTGGGCCTCCTCCGTGGCAGCTCCTGGGCACGCCGCTGGTCGCCGGTTTTGTTTGGGGGGGGGGCGAACCATCCAAAACCCCTGGCCCCAGGTTAGCCATGTCCAGTTTGTTTTTGCTCGTTTTACTTTTGTTGGAATGTTTTGGGAAAATTCGAATTTAAGGATTCCTAGAAGGATAGACCGTTCGAAAGGGGGGGCATTGATGTTGTCCCCTTAGAAGGAATGTGTTCTATCCCATATTGCACAGACCCCCTTCATTTTGAGCTGAGTCACATTCAAGACCGATCGGTATTGAAACGGTCGACCTAGAACCATGCTTCAAGAATTAAGAAGGCGGATATCCGCAACTATTTATGTTTGGGACTGTCCCTCACCTTCACCTGCCCGGGTTTTGATTGTGACTCAATTGGGAAATCCGGGAAGGCCAAGTTGGCTCTGGGGGGTCGCGAGAGGTCAAAACAAAGCAAAGATATCCTTGATAGGACCATGTGAGTCGAAAGATCGCATGATGTCAAACCTCTCCCAAAGTCTCAAACTGAAAGTGTCTTGCACTCTAAGTTGGGATGATCAACTCGGAATCATGCAGAATCTGTCAAAAGCAATCCGAGATAAGCCGGCAGCTGAGTCAATCCCTGGGAACAGCTCTGCGGTAGGGAGCGAAATTGGTCAGGAGTCCCCTCCAAAAAAAATGAGATCGGGGCCTCCCGGTGTCTGGCTGAAATTTAAGTGAGCCCACTTCATGTGTTCAACCAGAAAGGGAAGTCAGAAGGCGCACCCTGCTGGTTGACAACAATTCGAGGGGGAGTTGTCTTTCATCTCCATGTAAAAAGTATGAAGTCACATCATCTCCTTGACGCTACCCGTTTTTGGGTAACGAGTCTAACCAAAGAAACACACAACTTGGAGCTCGACCCGTTTTTGGGTAACGAGTCTAAAAAACCCAAACTTGCAACCACCGAGACCAGCCCCCGCCCCCCCCCCCCCCCAATCGCTCGCTCGCTCCACTCCGCTCCTGCCACGGCGTCCAGGGATTCCTTGGCCTCCTCCAACTCCAGGGGGTCCAGCCCCGCCGCCTCCGCCTCCGCCACCGCGCGGAAGAGCGCCCCCACGTCCTCGGAACCGCCAACGGCGGCCGGCAAACGGCGGGCCAAGAGCTCGGTGCCACCGGGGGGCTTGGGGGGTGGGCGGCTGGAGGTTTGGGGACTCCGAAATTCGGCCAAGGCTGGAGGTTTTGGCCTGTGTGGTTTGAGCGGCATACAAAGTGGGCGCTCAATTGCAATTGACACGCTCCATGTTTGGTCGGAGGCAGTCTGGACAGAACATGGTTGAATGACTCCCTTCCAAATACATTGAGGCACGTCCCTGCCCACCAAAAACAAGCCAATTCAAGAGGCTTCTGGGCAAGCAAACAGATCTTGGCCAGGTCCGGCCGCAAGGGGAGTTATGAAAAAAGGGGAAAACAACCAAAAACGGGCGAAATGGCCAAATGGCGGCCATCTGGCGGCCATGCCCGAAGCAAAGGCGGGAGTCGACCCTCTCACAATAGGGCGGTAAACGGAGAGGAGGCGATGAAATGGGGGAAGAGAAAGGAGGCATCGAGGGGGCCAGTTGAGAGATGAAAGGAAAGGCTCCGTCCAAGTATCAATAACACTTGGTCAAGTAACCGTTGCTCCAAGGTGAGCAACAACAGCAGAGCCATAATGGGAACCGAATGACCATGTTGGCGCTGACATGCACCCTGACAAGGATCACGTTTCCGCTCTCAAACAAGCTGGATCTCCGTCAAACTGCCACGGCCAGCACGAAAAGCAACCACTACATGCATGCTGAGAACCGCCACCTGCATTAGTTCCGATTCTCGCCAGAATCCCCAGGAGTTTCTTTGAGGGGAAGGAGTTCAACACAAGAATACTCAAACATGGGCGAAGCAATCGTCATTAAAGCACAAATGTAACAAACACGTCAGCAGGTCGCCAACTAGATAAGAGACACACCCTTTCATAGATTGCCCCGAACTCGGATTAAAGCTAGAGTCTGCGGAGCAAGCCCGCAGTAAGTGATCCGCCGATAGTTCTTCTTTCGCTGGCGTCGTGCCTATGAGTCCAACCTTGAATTGGTGTCATACTACGTAGTCCAATCTTTGACCATCCCGAAATCAAGGATTTTACACCAGGAGGAGCCTTCGCGCAGGGTGACGCCTCGTAAGCTACAGGTTTTCCGCCACAAACTCTTTCGAACACATGTTCGCCCCTGCCACGATATGGCCTGTTGAGCGAGGATCTATGTCTTCCCTGGGCGTCCCACCGCCATCAGCAACTACAGGGCTCGATAGTCCGACAAATGAGACCACATCACAAAGCGAGACCCATGGGTGCCAAAGCGCCAACCAAAGCCTCCAAAGCGCAGGTAAAGCTCACGAGCCTCTGAAACAGCTGATTTTGCATCGCTCTCACCATGTTTCATCACGTCCTTTCGGCGACGGCTGACTTCATCAACAAGAGGTTGTGAACATGCCCCAGCCCATACCTCAGCCCCGCCTTGGTCGTGAACATGCCCCAGCCCGCGCCACCCCACGCCTCAGCCCCGCCCCGCCTTGTCGGCCTTCGCCTTCTGCAGCGACTGCCGAGCGCTCCGAAGCCGCGCCTCCGCCAAAGCACCCTGCACAGGCGCCAGCTCCTCCACTCGACCCGAACCCCACACACGGCAGCTCGATGGATGGGCCATGGTCAGATGGAAACCCTGAATGTCATCTGATGTCATCCACATCCTTTTCGTCCCATGCCTAGGTCCTCCAGTAGAGAGGCTAGAATAAAGGCACCAACTTTTTTCTGTAGCCTATTTTAGTAAGGGAACCCTCCCCCCAAGAAAGAAACGGTTCAGACAGGGCACCAATCGCTGGGGGACCTAGATGCGTCCAGAGCCCCTTGGTACAGCACCGCTCCTCCGAGCTGAGGCCGCAGGCGCTGCCAAGCTGAAGGGCCGCCGCCAGCTCGGCAGGGCTCTGGCTGCGAACCTGAGACGCTCGATCCACCGATCCGTGCGGGCCGAATATGGCCATGGGTCAAACAAAACCCCAATTGCTACCCCCGGTGACCTCAAAATAGGTGGCAAATGGAGGTTCATCCACCCCAAAATGGGATCGCCATGTGTTACGCCCCATGGCCCACAATGTGGGCCTCTCAAGCGATTAACCCCAAAGGGGTTAGAAAGAGGCAGGGTAGGTCAGTAAGTGGTTCGTAAGCCTGGTGAAAAAACCCACTTAAGGATAAGTGGGTTGTATCCATGGTTTTTACCCACTTACTAAGTACAATGCCCCTGTAAGTACCCTCTCAAGCGATGAGTCCTAGGCATGTGCGCTTGGTGATTCCGGCCCCGTTTTCAGGGGAACCCTTCTGATTGAAATCTACCAATCGTCTGCTTGGGCTTTCAAACAAGGGGAATCTGAGAATGAACAGCCTATATGTGTGTGTGTGTGAAAAATATGATCCCGCAAAATATAGATCGCGTCGGAGAGAGAGAGAGAGAGAGAGAGAGAGAGAGAGAGAGAGAGAGAGAGAGAGAGAAAGGGAGAGCGAGAGAGACAGAGAGAGAGAGAGAGAGAGAGAGAGAGAGAGAGAGAGGGAGAGAGACAGACAGAGGGGAAGCCAGAGAGAGAGAGAGAGAGAGAGGGAGAGCGAGAGAGGGAGGGAGGGAGGGAGAGAGAGTGAGAGAGTGTGTGTATGTGTGCGTGTCGTTTGCCACAGGCAGGCGCCAAACAATACCTAACACAAACCAGTAACCAGCAACCCAGAACATGGAACAAGCATGGGAATCAAACAGTCAACCAACAAGCAAGCAAAGCAAATCAAAGCAAAAGTAAAAGCAACAGCACAAGCGAATGCAAAAGCAGGCAAGCAGGCAGACAGACAGGCAGGCAGGCAGACAGACAGACAAACGGACAGACAAACAGACGGACAGACAGACAAGCAGGCAGGCAGGCAGGCACACAGACAGAAAGGAAAGAATTCTGACAGACAGAAAGAACGAAAGCAAGCAAAGAAGAGCGAAAGAATGAGCATATCTAGGGGTACCTTCCCCATTCTTTCCAGCTGGAAATTGAGAAAGAACGATGGTTGAAAAGAATGAAATTGGAACCAACCCCTAGAACCATTATTTCAACCATCGAACCATAACGAACATCAAGAGTCACATAGATTGTGGCGAAAAGAACGAACCAAAAAGGAGCACATGTCGCACAAATGTAGCCACAAATGTAGATCCCCGCTCCAGCCCCAGCGGCTGCACTCGCCAGGGCCGCTCGGGCTGTGGCGATCTGCTGGGCCGCCACCAGCCGTTCCTGGCGGCCGTCTCGCCGAAGGAAAATCTCAAAGGGGCGCTTTAGGGAAAACACCTCCATTTGCTTAAGTCCCCTGGACAAAGTAATAAAAAGATGTCCAGTAGTGAAATCGATTCCCTTTAAAACCAACAGTGGAAAATAAAAATAATAATGTACTTAACCAAATGGAAGAACACAAAAGCTTCTGACATACCCTCCCACCAACACATGGAACCTGACAAGTCCCCGTCAGCTTCCCACGTGACAAGGGCAGGAGGGTATGCAAGCGGAGATATCTTCTTAAAGGGGCAGGGTAGGTCAGGTAAGTGGTTCGTAGGGGTTGCTTATAACTCACCTAGGAGACTTATAAAAACAATGGTGTGGTGAAGACAAAACAAAGAAGATAGCGGCGCTTGAAACCCATCGACGTTCGGCGCTACCAAGATGGTAATTACTGTACCCTTCAACAAACCAGGGGGGTAACACCCTCGTCTGAAATTGTACAAACAGCCGAGGTTGGGCTCTCAAGTAAAGAGTGAACACCTGGCTGTTCAAGCCAATAGAAGAAAGCTGTTTAAGACAGGGTGGTGTTCCCTTAATCATGGGGTGTGCTTTTGCCGCGGCCCCAGTCCCAGCGGGGCATCCATTGGTGCGCGCAAAATTGCCTAATCCTACAAACTTGGCTTAGACAATCGTGGCATTCGAGGTTTGCGAATCTCAGTATTTGAGGACATGAGAGCTGAGCCCGGCTGCTTGGTCTCATCAATCCAAGGCTCGAACTCTGTTCGACATGATCGGGATTAGACCCGAGCTTGTGGATAAAGCGCATATGTAGAACATGTGCGTCTAAGTGTATATATATATATATGTATATATATATATGTGTGTATATATATATGTATATACATATATATATATATATATACAGAGCTTGCATACGTAGATGCTGCCTGGGGTTTCTGCATGCTAAATTTTCACCCCCCCCCCCTCAAAGACGAGTTCTGCGCTCCGCACAGTACCCCGATCAGTTTGAATAGGAACCAACAATAGCCTGAATCGTGGCAGAGCTGATCGGAGGCAACCCAAGGTATTGGAATGCGACGACGTTTCAAGCTTTAGAGAAGGTCACAGAGCCTCACAGAGCCTGAGCATCGCTTTGGTCCGGCGTTGCTCAGTTGAAACATGTAGAATCCACCCTATGAAGCAGCCGGGGATATCCAGAACAGGGGGGCCTGAACACAGGAACCGGAACTTTGCAAGCAACCCCTAAAGGGTATGCTAAACATGATACGCATAGGTGCTTGGAGCATTCAACACCCACCCCTACCCACCCACCCCTACCCACCCACCCCTACCCACCCACCCCACCCACCCCACCTTGCTGGCTCTCAGAAAGGAGTGAGGGAATGACCTCTCCCTTCTTCGGGAATCCCCGACTTCCGTTTCATCCCATTTCCCCTTCCCTACCGATTTCGCACCAGGCCACCAGCCACCAGCCACCTCGCCCGGCCTTCGCGGGCGCCAGCTCCTGCTCCGGCAGCCCGCAGCCGGCGGCCTCCTCCAGGGCCTCCGACAACCGCTGCAAGTTCGGCACCGCCGCCTCGGCGAAATCCGCGAGACGAGATCGCCACGAAATCGGACGAGGACGAGGCGGGCCAAAACTTTTGGAACGCACGACTCGAGAAAAACCCGAGGCAAGAAGGCCGCGGTTGGTTTGCTTGCCGAAGCGCCATGGGTTTTTTAATGACTCTTTGGTTTTGCTGCGGCCAGGATTTTGTTAAACCCCCCCCAGCGGGAGGGAAGAAAGAACGGCCCGCAAACACTGCTTTTTCGGGGAGGGATGAGACACAAATTATTGAACCCAGAAACATGTGTGGACAGTCAAAAAGATAGGCGGTTCCATGTTCGATGCAGAAGGGTCGGAAGTGGGATGCAAACCAGAAAGATCGCCGGTTTCTTTTTGGACGCCGCCAAGAACGAACCCCTAAATTTGACAAATCCCCGGGGCCGGTCTCCAAACGGCACTTGGAATCCCCAAACCCAAGCCGCAAAAGCAGCCCTGCGCCCTGGATGGGGAAGTGAAACCCGAAGGCAAGAACGCATGTCCGTGTCCTCCAGCTCGGGACAAAGCTAGCAGGGTGCAACCAAAGAACCAGGATTGCCAGGTTCATAAACCCCCTTACCAAAGAGTGACCGCCTAGTGCTTTATTTTTTGGAGTCATGGACAGGGCAAATGGACCCCTTCTTGGATGGGCAAGCCCACCGAAAAGTCTCCTCAATTTGCGAAAATAGCCGGATCAGTGGGTCATTTTGGCGGATGGTTTTGTTGGGTCGAGTTGGTGGGCGTGGTTTCTTTTGTTGCCTCCTTGTAGCCTGACTCCTCCAAATGGAGAAAGGGCAATGCAGGAGCGCAAGCGGGACTGAAGGAGGAGGTGCGGGCCAAGGAGAAACAAGGTCTACAAGCATTGCTTTCTGTTTGGATGCCAGGTTCGACAAGCCTTTGTCTTGGATGGCTGCTTCAAGGGAAAAAAGTGGGTTGTACTAGTAGATAAAAAGCGGGTGGTGTTGTTGGTTTGTGTGATTGGGTAAGTGCCTTCTGAGGTGCGGGGTGTGTTTGATCGTGGCGTCAAATGATCCCGGTGGTCTCATGGTCCAGCCATAGGTTTCTCAGTTGCCCTGCGAACTGACGGAAGGCGTGGGAAGACGTGAATTTCTTCTCGGACCTTATGCCCTGTCCACTTCCGTTCTTGGAGGGAGGGGTCGGCGGCATTTTGCTTGTTTTCATTGGTCGTGGTCTCTGCCGGTTGCTGCCTTCGTCTTCCATGGCGTTGCTGTTCTCACCTGCAAACGAACGACCCAGATATCAAACCTTGCACAAATGGTGACAAATGGACAAAGAGCAGACACCAGAAGGTCAAATCATCTGCATAGGACAACTCAGGTGTGTTTTATACTTTGGGTGGTGGTGGAAGAACACGTTAGGAGTGGCAAGGGATTGTGGCTATGGCACGAGGTGACTGCCCAAAAAGTGTTGAACTCACACAGGCGCTCTATGACGCTCATGCAGCACTAAAGGGGTGCAGCTACCAACGCTCTCGCTTAAAGAAAGCCCCCACTTTGCCCGACAAAGAAACCTACCGACAAAGATCAATGCGTGCCACGACGTGCACAAACACAGATTTCCTCTGGGCAGCCAACAAGCATTGGCTGTGTTCGATTGACAGGTGGTTTCGCTATGATTGTCATCTGGCCTCTAACCTTTACAGAACTGTTTCGCATGCCCCTTGAAACCGGAAAGTGCCGTGCAAAAATAAAACCCATATGTCCAGTAGTGATAGATTCCCTTCAAAACCAACAGGAGAAAGTACAAAGAAGCAATCATTTCAGAAGTGAAGGATTGAGGCCGGAAAGAGAAGAAAAAAGAAGAAGAAGAAAAAAAAAAAAACAACATTCGCGGCAAACCCAACCCCTGTGTCGCCCGGGACCCGCACCTCGGCGGCCTCCCGCAAAGCCTCCCGCGCCGCCTCACGCCGCTCCTCTGCTCGCAAGGCCTGGCCGATGGGCCGATGGTTGAGGCGGCGTGGACACCATTTGAGTCCACATTTTGGCAGATGTGGGAGCTTATTTTAATCAAAACGTCTGTGGTAAAAATATCCAGATTCATTTCTGTGTATTTTTCCTTCAGATTGGTCTTCACTTGGAAATCAACCTATTTCCGGACCCCCCGGAGCTTGGTGGGATGTTTGTTGAGTTCTGATCCGATCTGAACCCCAGGCCTCAAGGGAATTCGCAGGAGACTTTCCTGCAGGAAATGGAAGCAATCGACGCAAAATAGAGGTGTGTGTGTGTGTGCTTAAAGGAAACCCAAAAGGAAAACCACGGCGTTTTCTTAAAAAGGAACACGCAAGCCATATCCCACCCACAGGGAAGCCCCCTCACCCGAGAATCCAATCCCATCCCGAAAGACCTGCTCCAGCCATTTGAGACTTTGGCTTTCAAGATCCCCATCCCCCCCAAAGTGATCGGCAAGGAGCGCACATGTTGAGACTGTTTCCCTCGAATCTGAAAAACTCTCGTTTTCCTCATGTTGCGACGTATTATTCCCACCCACAGGGAAGCTCCCCCCCCCCCCCCGCCCGAGCCCAGCCTCCTGCGCCGGCGCCAGCTCCTCCAAGCCGAGCCCCAGCTGCGCCCCGCGCTGCAGCGCCTCCCGCAGCAGCTGGGGCCTGCGAACCCGTCGCTTTGGCCGGGCGCCGGAAATGGCCATGGGTCAAAACCCAAATCGTACCCCGCAGTGAACGGGGCCCAATCCAACCACTAAAATAAGGCTCTAAAGTGGGTGGTGAATTCACCTAGCCCCAAAATGGGATCCCATTGCTTGAGCCACAGCCAAATGGCCCCAAACCGCCCTCCCTGGAAACACCGGACTCGCAGTCCCTGAAATGAGAGCTCTGGGGGTAGTTGCCTGAGCCGAAACCTGGAAGGCGATGGGAATCCAACGGGGGGAGCTCCAGCCCAACTGGTTTTGGAAGCCAAGCTCACCAAATTGGGGGAGGGAGTTTGAAAAGCTACCTCCGATCAAGCAAAGTCCAACACCCTTGACGCTTGGCACCCTATTTCGGCAGGCTTCCAAGAGAAACCTCAGTTGCCGCTTTCATAGGCCAGAGGAAGAAAGAGGGTAGGTTAGTCATGGGTGTTTTCGAAACTTGAGCTTCGCCTAGCCCACAAGCAAGATCCCAGATCTTACACGTCCAACAAGCCGGATCCAGTTGTTCAAACCAGCTTTGCTACTTGGCGATGACCTGCAGGCGGCCAGAAGCCCCCCCGCGCCTCTGCAGTTGCAAGGCCTCCTTCAGTCCCTGCCGCGCCAAAGTCTTCTGCCGCTCCTTAGCCCCCGACACGGCAGGACAGAGACCAAGAGAGGTGATAGACGTATCAACGACATGCGAGTCGTTAGGCATCGGAGTGTCCTTTAGGTGAAGCTTCCTTTCAGGCGTCCTGAGATGCCTTTCAGGTATCTTTGCAGATGTCTTTGAGGCGGCTTCGTGAGGCTCCTGTTCTTGGCTTTGAGTTTCCTTGCAGGTGTTTCCTCAGGCATCTTCCTGATAATACCGTATGTGACTTGTATCCTTCTGCTGCAGGCGTATTCTCACTTGGGAGCTACCTCGGCTGCTTGGGGTGTGGCTGGTTGGCAACCGTCTGGCTACTGGGGTTTGATTGGGTGACCAGCTCCAGTGGCCGGGGGCAAGGGCTTCCTTGGTGGCCGGTGGCCGGTTCAGTTGGAACAAAAGCCAGCCAAAGAGGAAGAACAGGAGGTCTGGGATGAGAAAGAGAGGTGGCTAATCGAATTTGATTGGCAGCTTTTCTGCTGAGTTCGCTGGGCAGTTCCGTACCTGAACTGAAGAAGTAGCTTGGCCCGCAACAGAATAACCTTTGCCGGCCGGGGATGCATGGACCCTCTGGTTGGCCTCACCCAAACCTGAGCATTTATGTACCGCCCCCAGCATTCTCCGGATCTTCAAACGCACCTCGGGCTCTTGAGCTCCAGGTGAGTGAGACGCGGCTCCCTTTCCGTCCGAGCGTCGTTTTCCAGCAAGCTCTTGGCCGTGTCCAGCTCAGTGGCATCCAGGTTGGCCTCTCACTTGGCCCGTCAGACGGGTTGCCCCGAAGACCCGAAAGAGTAGAAAGCCTTCCGGACAAACCGAAAATTGTCGCGCCTACGGCTTGCTTCTGGCTTTGAGGTTCAGAGCAAGCCCCACATTCTTGGAAGATGTCACCGGGGCTGTGGTCAACGGACCCTGATCTGGACTTGGATACTCCAGCAAATGTAGGGCATCCAAAAGGTATCGGGCTCAAGTTCAAGGAAGGAATCTAGAGTGCGGACCGTGTTGACAGGCGTCCCTTACAACACCAAAACAGGCATCAAACAAGGACGCACCCGCACGGGTCTGAATTTCAATTTTTGATTGGGGACCTCCCTTCACAACGACCCTAAAAAGAATATTCAAAGTATCCTTCAAGGCTCCCTCAAGCTCCCCTGTTGACCTCAAAAGTCGCAGTTTCAACGGACTCCAGCAAATTGCAGGGCAGCAACCAGGTTGGCTGTTGCATGTGAACCTCCCGTTTGCTCCTTTGCTTTGCCCATTTTGTGGCAAAATAGATTGATCCCCAATTGCTCATCTGCGATCCGTCCCCAAAAACCCTCCTACCAAAGGGGCATGGTACGTCAGGTAAGTGGATAATAATCATGGTTAGAACCCACAAACGCCATGGTGATAAGTCTCCGTTCGGTGGCTCATAACAAGCCTTACTAACCACTTGCTAAGTACCCTGCCCCTTGAAGTAGATGTCCAAAAAGAAGTCGTCCTTGCCATGAAGAAGAAACCAAGCGCCTTGCCAGACCACAGCCAGGCCTCTCACCCCCTACCTGACGTACCGAATCGATCGTCTCGATCCAATTCCGCCAAGTCCGCCTGCTCGGCCTGGCAAATCGCCGCTTCCAGCTCCTTCTCCTCGCAGCCCCGGATGGCCGCCTCACAATTCGCGCTTGCGCTTTCGCGCGCGCGGGCGAGGGCGCACACACCCGCGGGGGGTCTCAGCCACACACACACCCTCCCGCCCCCCCCCAAAAAAAAAAGAAGAAGAAATACATGAAATCGGAACACCAAAGAATGGACCCCACAAAAAATGGGCGGCTTCTTGGCCCCCCTTTCACACAACCCCAAAAAATAGGCACCCAAAGAAAGCCTACCCTATTTGAGGAAAGCTACAGGAAGATCGAAACTGCAACGAGTTCTTTCTTGTGTCGCAATTCAATTCTGCAATGGGTCGTTCCCCTGCCAGGGTCGACGTGATCGAATGAAGGCAGCCTTTGGTGAAACCCCACACAAATGCAACGCAAAAAAGCAGATGTCGAGGACTTCAAGAAAATCTTAAAAACGGAGCGGCACGCGGGAAAAGGTTACGGATCCCCAGCTGAGGTGGGTGCCAAGAAGGAACCAAGGCCTCTGCTGAAAAGCATCTCCTTTTTGGTGGCTCAGCCGAGGAAGACCATTTTGATGTTGCCATGTTGAGTAAGGAGCAGGATTTACGACTTCAGAACATGGGCCCCTTCAAAACCCGAAAGAGTCTTGTTTCAGCCATAGTTGTTTCTGGTCTTGCTGAAGCCGGGGAGCCTTGTGAACAGATCTATCCACAGTTGATCAAAGGCTGCCCCGATGTCCAGCATGAAGGTAAGTGAGGGCAAAACATATGGACGTTGCACTCAAGTCGAATTCTTCTTGGGGCCCAGTTGGCCTAAAAACAAACATGGACTTTGATGGGCCTCGTATCAGTCGCCGTTCGCCCCCTATTGGGTTTGGGTGTCTCTTTTTCTAGACGATTGATTTGCAATGAACTTCAACTTGGGTCTAATTGGCGGTTTGGATTGGTGGTATGCAGATAAATTCCGAGTTGTTGCCCCTCGAGATTATGTTGACCCACTCCAAGCCACCAATTCAGCGGGTTTTCTGAGACAGAAACCTCAGAAACCTCAGCCTTCGGAGCCCGAGCCCAAGGCTTCAAACCCAAGCACATGGAACGCCCAGAGCTTCCTGATGCCTGCAACCTATCCAACTGCTCCATGGAAGTCTTGGAAGCCTCTGGAACCCGCTGACTCCAGAGCTTGGCAGAGAGCCAACGCTTTTTTGGGGTATTTGAGGGAGACTTGGGGTTGACGACCATCCGTAGCATCTTGGAGTGAACAACTCTTCTGCCCATGGCACGCATGCTGACCCAGGGAGCACTTGATTTGTTCCGTGCGTGCAGCATCCATAAACAATCAACGACCAGCGGCCAGTTGGGAAGCCATTCGAAGTACAACCTTGAGTTGGAAACACCGAGTGGGTATCCACAAGCAAGGGCTCACCAGAGAATTCCCTTCCAATGGAAACCCCGGATCGATAAACTCATCCTACAAAAACGGGGGTGTCTCCTACGCAAGTGAAGGATGCCCACTGCAATAGCACACCTCCTAATCATCAACCAGAAGTTCATTATGAAACTCACTTTTTGAAACAACAAACCGGCGAACAAGAGTCCAAAGCTGTTTTCCACTTAAGTGGGGTCTTACCACAAAGCTTACAAAGTTCATGAACTCGGGGAGCCAGTTCATCCGGGCCTAAATCTAGGAACCCGATTGGATGCGTGTTTTGGCGGATCACCTGTTCCTCCCCCTGTTGGTCTATTTTTGCTAGCACTCTTTCCGTACTCTTTGATTCTTTTCTGCAGGGGTGGATCCACAGATTCGCCAGGCGCAAACCGTTTTCTAGAAAGCGGTCATCAGATTCTCGCTGAGAAACAGACCCAGGGCCATAGAGACCGCCAGTGGGTCTGGTGGCTGTGGGTGTCAAAAATAGGGTAAGCCCAAAATGGCTTGCCCTGGCAAATGGAAACAAGGACTAAAACCCGCGGATTACCCAATTCCTGGTGGAATTTCATTGTGACCCGCACCCCTATGGCCATGGGTCAGAATCCCAAGCCCGTGCCCCCAGTGAACGCGACCCAATCCAACCACTAAAATAGGTACTAAAATGGGTGGTGAATTCACCTAGCCCAAAATGGGATCCCATTGGTTTTGACTAAATGGGATCCCAAAATGGACCCTGGTAAATGGAAACATGGACTAAAACCACCCGCGGATTACCCAGGTGCCCCAAAACTCGGCCCACTCGACCCCGACGCCTCCAGCACCTCAAGGGCCGCGGCCTTGCGCCGCTCCTCCGCCAGCACGCGCCGGGCCGCCTCCAGCTCCTCGCATCGACCGGAGCCGCTGGGTCTCCAGTTCTGAAGGTTCGACATGGGCGGAGCCCCCCCGGTGACTTCAGAACAAAGCCCGAAAGACAGGAGACCCTCATATGCGCATTTGTGTGTATGTATGTATGTATGTATGTACGATATATATATATATATGGTACAGCGTTGCCAGCCCCCCCCTCCCCCAATGGTCATGTGGTCAGACAAGTACCCCCCCCCTGTGGTTGTGGTCCTGTGGTTGGGTTGTGGTGGTTTAGGGTTGGTTTAGAATTGGTTTAGTGTATATTTAGGGTTTATTTAGTTAGTTTAGGGTTTAGAGGTGCACGGTGTACGGTTTAGGGTTTGGTTTAGGGTTTGGTTTAGGGTTGGTTTAGGGTTAGTTTAGGGTTGGTTTAGGGTTGGTTTAGGGTTTATTGTTTAGGAATTGGTTTAGGGTGTATTTGGGGTTAGTTTAGGGTTGGTTTAGGGTTAGTTTAGGGTTGGTTTATGTTGATTTAGGGTTGGTGTAGGTTTAGAGGTCTACGGTTTAGGGTTTGGTTTAGGGTGTATTTAGGGTTGGTTTAGGGCTAGTTTAGGGTTGGTTTATGTTGATTTAGGGTTGGTTTAGGTTTAGATGTCTACGGTTTAGGGTTTGGTTTAGGGTGTATTTGGGGTTGGTTTAGGGCTAGTTTAGGGTTGGTTTATGGTTGGTTGCGGGTTGGCTTGTCCTGCAGGTGGGGGTGCCGGGGTGTCGGGGTGCGAGTTCAGGGGGTGGGACCGTAAGTGCCAGGATCCGGGGCCTCGGGGTCTCGGTTGTGGGGGGGGGGGGGGTAGCAACACGGAACACGGGACCATATATACATATTTACATTTATATGTGTGTACACACACACACACACCTTGCGAAGTGGTCCCCTTGAGGGTGAAAATAGCCGAAAGACATGCCCAAGGCACGTGTCTTCTCTCATTGCCAGTTCCTAACTCGTGGCTTCTTGTTTGGGGTGGCAATGGGGGCAGTTGAAAGCTTGGAGGAGGTGGTGTTAAACCACCGCGGCTCGTGATTCTATGGACTTGCCCATGCTTGTCCATCGCGCGAATCTTCTACCGCTCGTCCATCGCCATTTCCCTGGTTATAAATCGGCTCATCAAACTGTATGGATGGCCGGCAAAGCCCCTTCCGAGAGAGTGACTATTACGTGGGGCCCAGTCTCATGGCCGTCTTTTGCGGCTCTTCGGGGTAGTGTTGGTTCTTTCATATCCAGAAGAGTGGTCTTTGACGCTGCTGCTCCCATGAAGCCTTGGCTGGCTGTCTTCCCGCTACCAAAATAGAGCGCTTAGAGAGTGGCATGGTAAAATTACGCAGCGGTTTAGCTGCCTAGGGCCTAGGGGTTGGTTGTAGGAACCCACATTAGGATTCAGTGCGACAAAAACCAGTCACAACGCTCCCGGTCTTCCCACGTCTCCATCGCCCTCACCCTTTCTGGCGTTTTCGAGCCAATCCCATCCTTTGGCGCCAATCCGCATCCCTCCGCCTCCTTGCAGGGCGCACGATGTGAAAACGATCCGCAAAAAGGGCCTCCACGTTTGTGCTGGTGTGTTTTGGGCAAAGCGAGGTTCGGTCTTTGCTGCTAGATATGTTTGTCGGAAATCCAATATGGACACAAAACAATCCACTTTCTACTGCCGCGCTTCATTCCGAGCAAGATAGGGCATGCGCGAAAAGGAACTTTGACAGTGGAAGGCTCCGGCTCCTTTGCATATTTGACTGCCCAGAAGTGGTAGCACAATGAGAGCAATAAACCCCCGAGTCCACCTTTGACGCAACCCAAAGGAAGCGGTTCAACGGTTCAAAGCAGCTGAAACAACTGGTTGGCCCACGTCAGGGCTGAGCGTCCTTTGGATGAAGAATGATGCCTGCAATGTGTAGTCCTGCTCTCTTTCTCTCTTTGTGTCTCTCTCTCTCCCTCTCTCGCTCTCTCTCTCTCTCTCTCTGTCTCTCTCGCTCTCGTGTTTTTTTTCGGTCTTTCTTTTTTTTTTTATCTCTCTACTCTATTTATCTATCTATCTCTCTCTCTCTCTATTTCTGTCCCTTACCTTTAAAAGTATGAGCGCCTCACCTTCTGGACCTTTGGTTGTTGAGCTGTGCGCAGCGAACCTTCCAAGAACCCTTACACCTCGCAAAAACTAGCAGATGCGGATGTGGGATCCCCCATCACCCGGACAGCTTTGGTAGAGTCTGAGGAAGCCCCAAAAACCCTGAGAAGCGCCATGAGGGTGTGGGTTATAGTCCATGTTTCCATTTACAAGGGTAACCCATTTTTGGTACCTATTTTTCACCGGGCAATTTACCAGGGTAACCCATTTTAGGTACCTATTGTTCACCGGCCATGAAACTGCCGCATCCCTTCCCAGACTCCCAGCTCGGTGCCTCCAGCGCTTCCAGCAACTTCTCCACGTCTCGGCTCCGTGCCGCCTCCTGGAGCCCGAAAACGAAACCCAAACCAACGGGCAGTAGCTCGAACGCCCGCAACGAGAAAATCGCTCGAACTCCGCGGGCTGCAAATGCTTTTTGGGATGGACAAGCAACCAAAGCATTTGCCAAAGTGCGTGCGTAAAATTTTTGGGCATGCAGCGTTCTGCAACAAGGCCGGAGCGGTGGCTCCAACGACCCCCCGCTTTCCCTCCCACCAGCCAACATGGAAGTGCAAACCCCTGTAGAAAGACGACTTTCCTCTTGGTTAGTTGGCCTTTTTGCACTTTCATGAGTAACCAGAGCACCAAAGTGCGTGCAGAAAATTGGGTATGCAGAAAACATGTTTAAACCACTGGTTCTGATGATTCTTCCCTTGATGAAGGCGGTGGTTCAACCATATGGGAGTGGCTCAAAATTAAAGAGCCAGGATTACGCAGGTTTTAGTCTTTGGTTCCATTTGCCAAGGTGCCATTGTGGTACCTTTTTTTCAGCCACAGCCATATTTTGCCCCACCCAGATTCCAAGTCCTCCAGAGCGCTCTTCGCCTCCTCCTTGCGCTCCTCCACACCCAGCACCTGCCGTGCCTCGAACATCTCCGCCTCAGCTGATGCCATCCCAGCCGGGCGGCAGTTTCCCTCGGGTCGATTCTCAACAGTATAATAGTATATATTATTGCTTTTAGTATAAGTGTTTTGTTTTTTGTATTTATATATTTCAATATTCAAGTTATGGTTATATGAATTAAGGAACCAAAGGTTTAAGGAACCGAACATGCATCGTTTTGGGGTCGCCGCTTCCCGCATGCAAAATACTTATCAACCCACTCTATCCCAGCACATGCATCATCATGCATCAACTCACTCTTTCCCAGGCCCTTCGGCATCCCCGGATCCCTTGAGCCCTTCCAATTTCTATCGGATATGATATGTTTTTGTTTGTTATTATTATTTTTGTTTTGTTTTTTTTTGTTTCATGTTTTTTTTATTTTTAAGGCAACTCAATCAAGAAGCTGACCCCATTTTTGGGCTCTTGGCGCCAGCCCGGGGCTTTCCGAACCCAGCCTCGTGTGTTATGGCCAAAGCCTTGCTGGAACGACCTGCAAAAAGCGAGTCTCACCTCTTGGGGGTTTAAGTGGAAAACACTTTTATTTCTCCAAAAAGTGAAAGGAAGATCCAACCCAACAGCAGTCAGAAGCAGCCGAGAAAGCCCCCGCCTCCGGCACCCCGGCGTCCTCCGCCACCCGCAGGGCCGACTGCAGCTCCCGGATGCCGCGGCTCCAGCAGGCGGACGCCAGGCCCTGACAACGAGCGAGCCGTGGGCGTGGGGAAAATGGCGGGGGGGGGGGGAACTGGACGCGTGTTCAAGGTAGGTAAAAAGAGTGGGAAAACCCAGGAGGAACAAAAAAGGAAACTGCTAGAGCTACGCAGGTTTTAGTCTTTGCTTCCATTTACCAAGGTACTATTCTGGTACATGTTTTCGAGCCACAGCCACATTGATCAACCCCCAGATCGATGGGAATATTGATCAACCAGATTGGAGAATTGGATTTCTTTTCGGTTGGTTGGACACGTTGGATGTGCTTTAAGATTGGTTCCTGCCAAAAAGAAACCGCGCGTCGCAAAAGCGGACACCCAGGGCCTGCAGGGCCGCCGTCTTGCGCTCCTCCGTGGCGAGGATGTCCTGGCCCTCCTCCAGCAAGTCCTCCTGCGCAAACGAATTCCACCGGGCTAGTGCAATGGGAACCCCGGATTTTCATACACCCCCTAATATGTCCTGCGAGCGTTTCTTGTGTCCTCCAGTGAGGTTAGAATAAGTTGGTACCAACTATTTTTCAGTTTTGTCTATTTTAGTAGGGGAACCCTCTCCCAAAAAAGGGTAAAAGGATGTAAAAGGGCACCACTGGGGGACCTAGTGAGGGTTGGGGTAGACGGCTGAGGCGTTTTCCTTTGCGTAGAGCCTGGCATTAGCCCGACCCTGGCGCAGCCTAACCCTTTCCGGGGTGGACTTCAAAACAAAAACTTACAACCATAGAAGCGAAAGGCCAGCAATTACTTCGTCCATGCCAAATGAACGGGTTTCAATCAAACAAACAACAAGTTGGCAGTTGTCCCCTCCCCCCCCGCACAAAAACAAAAGAAGTCCGGCTTCCTTTTTCCCAAAACCAACCAAGAGGTTTCTTCTCACAAAAAAGAACACACAAGGTACCCTCCCCTGGGTCATGGCTCGCTCCGGACTCCCGTCGCCTCGATGCCACAGGCCTTGGCTTCCTCGCGGAAAAAAGAAAAATCGCCGAGACATGGCGGGGCCCTAGATGGGTGACTCGTCGCCTTTTGGGAACCCCCCCCCCCCGTGGCTTTTGGTTGGTTGGTACTAGGGAAACCAAAAGGAAACCAGCGACTTTTTTGCAGGTTCCCTTATGTTTGAGAAACAACACCCGTATGAGTGGTGTTTTTTTCCTTTCTGAGGTACCCGTTTTGGAGTTGTTTACAAGAGAAACCACAGGAACGTATGGAAACCATCCAAACAATGTGGTCCATCTTTCTGAGACAAACCCATATTTTCCCCTTGAACATCACTCCACCAAAAGGAAACGCCAGACTGGCCAAGGTGATGTCCAAACACACCTAAGGGGAAATGTAGGGAACACGAGGACTTGGTTCCCGGCTCCTGCCGAAGCATCCTAAATTTGGGGCCTGCGTTTGAGAATCCCAAAGAAGCCATCGCTTCCATGTCCGCTTTCGCCCCTGGGGGGGGAAAAACATGTCCAGTCGTGAAATCGATTCCCCTTCAAACAACAAAGCAAAAAACAGGCGTTAAATACTGGAATCAGCCACTGGAGTTTGTGGGCCCAAACCCTTCCCGCACTCCCGGCAGCCATCTTCGCCGCTCGCGAACCGGCCTCCAGGGCTTTCAGCAGCTCCTCCACCTGGCGGCTCTGCACCGCGCTGAAGAGGGTCTGCCGCGCCTTGGGGTCGCGAGAGCGCCGAAGACCGCGACGGGAAGCGCTTGGCCATGGGTCAAAACCCGGAAAACAAAAAAAGCGTGGGTTTCAGTGAACGGGACCCAATCCCAACTAGAATAGGTCCTAAAATGGGTGGTGAATTCACCTACCAACCAAAATGGTACCATTGGTTTCGACCCACAGCCACTTGGGGCGATCGATGCGGTTGGGGTTTCGGGGTAATGGCCATGGTCAGAAGTCTCCGTTCAGTGGGTTGTAAGTCTAGGCTTGCTCTCACCACTTACCCGACGTACCGAATCAATCGCTTGAAGCACCCCCAGTTCCGCTGGGAAACCGGTCCGTCTTGTGAGGAAGGCATAGCCAGAGTCCCCTCACCCATATAGCTCCCAAGAGTGGGATGACCTAGCCCTTTCTCAAGCGCAACCAAAAGTGTGGCTCAATTGAGTCAGAATCAAAACCTGGCATTAAAATGGTCTACCCAAAACCATGTAAGAAAATTTAAAGGCGGCCGCAACTATTTCTGGCCGGGATTCTCCCTTAACCTTCATCAACCCGGTGGCTCAACTGGCGGGCAATGTTTCCCCCACCAACAGGTCTCGGAGAGCCATGGCGTGCGGCAAAAAAAAACGTCCGCCAACCCCAATAGGTTCCAAGCCAAATTGTCTGGATGCAATCATCTATGCTACGCCCTACTCCAAATACCCGCTTTTTTCAGGGTATGTTTGGGAAAACCTGGTTTTCCATGCTATGCGGCAACAGCGAGTTCGCAACTGTTTCCACATTGTTCAGATAGCACCTGGTCACCTAAACATCAATGTCCCAGAAATCGCACGCAAGCTGCAGCTCTACCCCTTCGCGAATACATTCAAATTCTATCAGGTTGTAGGATGACATGGGATGGCTCCAGCCAACATTGCCAGCACATGATCTAGGGGTCGAACATGCTTGCTGCTTTGCACTGAAGCAAAAAGCGGCTAAGGCAAGAAACTCAAAGCCCCCATCTATGATGAACTTGTTCTGCATACTTCGGCAAGCGATGAGCTGTGAAAATGCCACGTGTATGTCGGTAACTTTTGTTGCTGAAAAGTAGGAAGTCCAGCGCAGCACATCGTCTTTCGTATCCGCTCCTTCTCACCTCGATATGGCTATGAGGTTGATCAATATTCCGTTTGGCCCCCAACTGACCATGGGTAACTGTGCCCATTTAGTGACACATGTCGTCTTTTTGGCGGTTCCCCAATGGTCATCCTGTGTAGAGGACCTTTTGATCAACCCCTATTTCTGAAACCTACTTGGACCCCTCCAAATGGTGGAGGATTCCACACAGGTTTGTCATACAATGTATTACATGAACCTGGCTTTGACACACATGTCCGGTTTCCTTTGAGAACCACCCCCCAAAAGCGGTTCACCCCGGTTCGACCTCCCATTTCACCAGATTTATCACTCTGCAAGTGAACATGGGGCCGGAAAAAACCAGCCAGTTGTCCATCTCCCTACCAGACCTCTTTGGTCTCGTGAACCTCCCTTTCGCCGGCCTTCGCCCGCCGCTTCTCCTCCGCATGCACCTTTCGTGCCCGGACCTCGGCCAACGAGCCGGCCGCGGAGTCAACTTGGGGTTCCCTACACACGGGGCCGGTCCCATTGCACCCAATTGCAACCCCCAGGTGAACCACCCGAAGGAAGACCTGGACTTTGGACGGGCAGTGGTTCTGGTATCTCCACCTGCAAAATGTTCTCACATGTCTCAAATGTTGCACGTGATCCTCAAGCAAAGGACCTTATGAGCAAGTTTGTGTTCCATGTTTCGCCCCCAAATTGAACTTGCCATACATCCAGCAGATCTTATTCATATACACTATGATGTTTACACCCATTCCTCTTGCAAGTCTTTCTTTCTGTCCCAAGTCCACCCGGCAGCACCCCCAACAAAAACCACATCAAAACCACCTCGCCTCTCGCTTCCTTCCCCCTCCTCTCTCTCCTCTTTCTCCAGACATCGCGCCCGAGGCGCCAGGTCTTCCTCCCGCTGCAGCCCCGCGCTCTCCGCCTCAGCGATGGCCTGGGCCAACAGCTCCACGTCGGGATGCCCGAAGTCCAGGGCGTCCTGCAGCGCCGCCAGGGCGCGCCGCTGCCGCTCCAGCACGTCCTCGAGCGAACTCGAACACGCGGCGCGAGCGAACACGCGGCGCGAGCCGTGGGGGGCGTGGGGGTTTTAGGTAGGGAAGGACCAGACGCCTGGGTGGTGGGGCTATGGAACCGGAGATTCCCAAATGAAGGAAAAACCAGCAGTTGGATGGTTAGCTCGGGGTGATTCCGTTTCTCATTCCCTGCTGAGAACCAGCAAGTTTATTTAAAAAAATGGCGGGGGGGGCTTAGACTAAACCGTGATCGGAAAAAGGGGGGGGAATGGCTCATGGAATGCTGAAGGGGAATTGCAAATCAAAGCACCGTGAAGTAAAAGTCACCGTCCGGGCGTGCTGCTATGCTTCAGGCTTGGTGTGATCAGTCGTTTGAGCCTCCAGTAGGGTCGCTACTTGCAGAAGAGCAGGATGGACCAAGGGCCAGGGCTACGGCAGAAGTGGTTCGCCGTGTTTGGCTCTTCCGGGATCCCTCATAGGGGTTCGGAGTGACATCCAACCTTAAGCAGGCTTAGGCCGTACTCCCCAAGCGGCTGCATAGCTCAAGCAACTGAGCTACGGCTGAAGCCCTGAACATTGTAAGTAAGCGAAAAGTGACAGCGCATCCTCAGCATTGTGCCCCATATTTGGCATGGTTACCTCACCATCTGAAGCAAAAAAGGATGTCCCTTTACCAGCGCATGTGTGTGTGTGTGTTTACTTGTTGGTTGGCTGGCTGGCTGGCTGGCTCCCTAGCTGTCTGGCCGGCTGGCCGCCCGCCCGGCGGCTGGGTGGCTGGGTGGTCAAGTCGTGCATGCAAGGAGGACACGGGAATCAACAACCTCAAACAAGGCGAACCACCGGCCTAGTGCCACATTGTGCTTGTCAGATGCTGACTGGCATGTAGTTTGTCAGCTTGACATCTCAAGTTCTGTTTCAGAGGGCATCTACAAGCACTCGAATTATCTTTAGCATCAGGGGTTGTCAACCCCAAGAAGCGAATGTGGAAAGAGGCGATTCGGAAAGAGCCACGGGGAGCCCTGAAAGGAAGCTGACACGACAAACCACTTGGTTCAAAGAGCGTCCTACTCTCAACTTTTACTAATCCGGCCCTCTGAATCAGCCAGCAAATCAAATTGCTACCCTCTAAAATCAGCTGGTTGTTTTAAGCTACTTGAAATGCTGAGAGGATTGTTACATTTTCCGCAACTGCCGGTGCGGGTTTGGCCGGCCTTTTTTGGTCGCCTCATGCCGGAAAACCCGAAACCCCACCGGCCAGGTGTCCAGTTTGGTCTTGGCCGAGGTGATCAACATGGGGTGCACCTCGATCTTTGGAGACGGCCGGAAGAACCAACGACTCGTAGCCTTTCTGGGAAGCCAAAGGGAAGTTTACTCATTTTGGGGAAATCCACTCATTTTGACGGGTCCGGTGGGGAAATCCACTCAATTTGACGGGTCCCCTTAGGGACAAACCCGAATAGCTTTCTGGGATGGCTTGAATGGGAAGCCAAACAAAATCCACTCATTGTGGCGTAGAGACAAACCCTAATAGCTCAACCCCTCGAAGACACGTATTTCACTTGAGAAAGTGCCTGCGAATAGTAACCCTGCTCATCGCCCAGTTGTAAGAGGGCTAGTGCTTTAAGTAGGCGTACCTATGGGTTCTGACTCGGGTGCTAAAATGAGCCATCCACGCAGGGATTACGATGTGAGTTTGTGGAGCCGGAAAAGGGGGTCAAAGTGCCCCCTCCATTTTGCCAACCCCCACCCCCTCCGGGATGGTTGTCAGAACCCAGACTGCCAGGCCCCTCTCGAGGTACCCAGTCGCATGTCCCCTGCCCCCTCAGCCAACCACCCGCCAGTTTGCCCAACCTTTCCCCATTTCCAGTGGCGACACGATCTATGAAATCCCACGCCATGTTCTTTTCAAAACCATCTAACCGTCTCTTTCAGGGCTGTGGGGAATGACCACTGTGATACAACAGAAAGGGCTTCCCAAAGACTATTTTCTTCATATAAAGGGGGATTCCCTTGTATCACAGAAGTGAGAAACCCCTTGATCCCACAACCCTGGTCTCTTTGGCGCAACCTGGTGGTTGGTCGACCACTCTAATTAGTTTGGTTTGGCGCTTCCAATGAGGAACACCCAATGGCGGAACTCGGGAAAACTTAGAAACACCATCCCCACAAAAAGAAAAAGCACAAACATCTCAGGGCCGGAAGAAGTAAACCGGGGAAAAACAGAACAACACACAATAATAATAATCATGATAGTAAAAAAAAAAAACACGAATGATGATAAAACAAATATTGATGATCATATAAATAATAATAATAATAATGATGATAATAATAATAATAGTAATAATAATAATACTGATGATGATGATGATGATGACGATGACGATGACGATGCTGATGCTGATGATGATCATGATCATGATCATGATCATGATCATAATAATAACAACAATAACAATAATAGCCATTAAAAAAATAACAATAATAATAATAACACTAATAATAATAACAATAATATTGATAATAACAATAATAATAATGGTAGTAACAAACAAAAAATAATAATACTGATGATGATGATGATAATAATAATAATAACAATAATAATACTAATAATAATAATAGTAATAATAAAAATAATAATAATACTAACAATGATAATGATAATGATAATAATGGCCATAATCACAATTGTCATACTACTAATAATAACAATAATGATGATGATGATGATCATAATAATAATGATACTAATAATAATCATGATGAAAATAAAAAATAATCACAACAAAAAATAATACCAATAATAATGATACTAATAATAATGATACTGAGAATAATAGTTTAAAGAAGAAAAACAACTTCCCACCCCTCCAGAGCCTATCGCTCCATCCCATCGCTTTTCCGTCTAGCCATCCTTCCGACTCCCCGACTCCCCGACTCCCGACTCGCCTCGGAGGCCTCCGCCTCCTCGATGGCGCAGCGCAAGGTCTCCATGGTCTCGAAGCTGAGCTGCTGCACCGCCTGGCGATGGCGCGCGGCGCGACGCGTGGCGCGCCTCGCGCGGCGCCACGAGGCGCGGAGGAAGGTCCGACGCGGTGAAGTGGAGCGAAAATTCTTACGGGGATGTGGGGGATATGGGGGGAGGGGAAGTTGCATCGAAGTTGTTCTACAGAGTATCCAAAAAGGACATGACTTCGGCGCTTGAGGATTGTCTTTGGTACAGAAAGTGGGCCTTTAAAAAAAACATGAAACCGAATGAGAGACCAAAAGCAGCCAAGGTGTTGTTCCCTTTTCTCATCTTCTGACCCGTTTCCAGAAATCCTGGGGATTCCCCTCGGAAAGGGACGGCTGGTGAGTCCAGAATTTCAAGGATTGGGGATTCTAGCAGTACGAGAGACGCTAGGGGGCCCCCTGCTTAATTCAACGGGTTGTAGCACCCCCAGTTAAAAACGGAAACTCCTGATGAGGCGATTTATGCTTCGGGAGCAAACATCATACTGGCCATCATTCTGTCTGGAAGCTTCCCCAGCGCAACTGCCACTCATGTACCTGTGCCCCAAACGGCTCGGAAGGCCAGGATTTTCTGCCATACAAATGCGTTCGGCACCCAGGCCAAACCCAGGCCAAACCCAGGCAACTTGGACGCTTCTCTGCGGGCGCGTACCTCTGTCAGCTTCTCCTTGCCGGCCACCTATGCAAGAGGCGAGCCAGGCGAGCCCTCACAAAGTACCCCAAATGAACTTGCTGCTGCGATAGGAAGGAATGTGGGAATGAACCCAGGCTTTGGTCCGCGAATAAAGGAAACCAGAAAAGGATGCTATATAAGGGTCATTCCCTCATTCCCTGCTGAGCACCAGCAAGTGAAGGGAAGGAGAAATCCCGCACCTACAACTTGGCAACGCCCCAGGCGGGCTCTGTTGCCATCTTGGGGGAGCAAGACAAGAATGAGGAAGGGCATTCCCGCATGGGAGAGACCATAGTTCGCACTTCGATCGTCACTGCGAGCGGTCAACTTGGTTCGCAGCCATGGTGGAAAGGTGGACTGAAATGAGTTGCCCAAACGGAGTGAGCCCATTTACACCTGTACTCCCCTGGAAACAAACATGAAACCCGAAAAAGGACTCCTAACGGAGATTGGGTCAGGAGTACTTGTGGCGGGTCATTAGCACACATGCAAGCACGCAGTCGCTCCGTGAGCGCATGCTGGCCTTTTGATCGAGTCAGACAACAAGCACCCCTCGCGACACATCAACCCCGTACCTTCTGCCTAAAATGACCTACCAAAAACCCAGTATGAAGCCATTCGTCCCGCAATGAACACTATCTTCCTGCCTTTGACATACGAAACCGATGATGGTGACTGAACAATGAGGTCAGCCCACTTACAAAAGAACGCGTGCTTGGCGTGCTTCACTTTTCGCCGCTTGGATATCGAAGGTGTCCTTAAATTGGCCACAACTGAAACCCGATGCCGGCTGCCGTCCCATCGACGGCAAAACTGACTGACGCCCACCCCGAAAACCCAAGGAGGCTGCTTAGGATATGTGGGTGTTGAAAGGCAGTGCCTGCGATTTGCCAAAACCATCGCCAACCAACCAAAGGCAAACCGGGGGTAGGTAAAAATCGTGGCAGCCCGGGCTAGAAAGCCCCCACCTGAACATCTGGGCCCAAGTGGACTCGCCCAAACACGGAGAAAACGAAACTTTGACCGAAATTCCCAAATCCAAACACCCCAAAACCCCTATCATACCCTTTCCCTGCAGCACTTGGTTGACGTTGAAAGGGGAGCAAAAAATCAAGTTTTAGCAGTTAAGTGGGGATTTCCCCACTGAACCACAATAAGCAAACATGCCATTTTTCCCCCCAACAACAACCATGATCAAACCCTTTCCCTGCATCTCTCGCACCAAGCAAAAAACCCAAGTGGAATGAACCCAGGCGTTGGTCCCCCTAAAGGAAACCACCAGTTGGATGGTTTACTTCGGGATCATTCCATTTCTCATTCCCTGCATCTCTCTATCTCCCTTTCTCTCTCTCTCTCTCTCTCTCTCTCTCCCTCGCCCCAGAGCACTCCGAAAAATTGGAAAAAATCCGTCGCCTTGCGCTCCTCCGCCGCCAGGGTTTCCTGGGCCTTCTGCATCTCCAGCGAATCCTCCAGGCCTTGGGACGGGTTCACGCGAGGCGGCGCCCATGCGAGCCTCTGCTGCGAAGCCCTTTTGGCTCCCTCTGGATTCCACAATTGACTTGGAATGGGTACCCCAAAAAGCTCAGTTTGCCCCAACTCGCAGCTCTACCGAAAAAGGCACCCGCCCTTTGGTGTTCAAAAGTCAGCCCAACAAAACAACCCGCCAACCCGCCAACCCTCCAACCCACCAACCCGCCAACCCGCCAACCCGCCAACCCGCCAACCGGCAACCCGCCAACCCGCCAACCAGCCAACCTGCCAACCCGCCAACCCGCCAACCCGCCAACCCGCCAACCAGCCAACCCGCCAACCCGCCAACCCGCCAACCCGCCAACCCACCAACCCGCCAACCCGCCAACCCGCCAGCCCACCAACCCACCAACCTACAAACCCACCAACCCACCAACCCACCAACCCACCAACCTACAAACCCGCCAACCAGCCAACCAGCCAACCCGCCAACCCGCCAACCCGCCAACCCGCCAACCCGCCAACCCGCCAACCCGCCAACCCGCAACCCGCCAACCCGCCAACCCGCCAACCCACCAACCCGCCAACCCACCAACCCACCAATCCACCAACCCACCAACCCACCAGCCCACCAACCCACCAACCCACCAACCCACCAGCCCACCAACCCACCAACCTACAAACCCACCAACCCACCAACCCACCAACCCACCAACCTACAAACCCCCCACCAACCCACAAACCCACAAACCCACCAACCCACAAACCCACAAACCCACAAACCCACCAACCCACCAACCCACAAACCCACCAACCCACAAACCAACCAACCCACAAACCCACAAACCCACAAACCCACCAACCCACCAACCCACCAACCCACCAACCCGCCAACCCGCCAACCTACAAACCCACCAACCCACCAACCCACCAACCCACAAACCCACCAACCCACAAACCCACAAACCCACCAACCCACCAACCCACAAACCCACCAACCCACCAACCCACCAACCCACCAACCCACCCACCAACCCACAAACCCACAAACCCACCAACCCACCAACCCACCAACCCACCAACCCACAAACCCACAAACCCACCAACCCACCAACCCACCAACCACAAACCCACCAACCCACCAACCCACCAACCCACCAACCCACAAACCCAAGACTTCCCAACTCCTCCCTCGTGGCGACTGCTTCGAAGGCGCCCGCCGCCAGGCCGTCGGCAATGGCCTTCTTCAGCGCTGTGATCTCGCGGCGCTGGGTGGCGCGCTCCAGCACTGCCTGGGCCGCCACCTGGCGAACAGAGCCGTGTTTTTCTTTTTTTGTTTTCCCCCTTTTTTATCCTGACAGCTCAGCTCTCTATGGGGCTTGTGTATGTACATGAAAATACATGCGTATATATATATATATGGATGTATATATATATGTATACTTATCTACAGTATATGTCTAAGTTTATATTTATAAACTCTATGTTTTTATCCTGACGGCTCCGCTCTCCCTCTCTCTCTCTCTCTCTCCATAGGGCGTTTGTATGTATTACATTTATATACATAGTTTTATATCTGTGTTTATTTATAGATTTATAGCATGTATGAAAAATAGATACATTCATATAGGGAGGTGTCGGAGCCAACCAAGGACATCGGCTGGTGGAGGTTCAACGTCACAAATTAGTCGGTTGAACATGAAAAATTACCAGTCGCCCGGCGTCTGGCCGAGAAAGGCTTCTTTTTGGGGGGTTGACCATTTGTGCAGGGCAACCTGCCAAGCCAAAAAGGCTGCACAACTGGGCATACCAACCATTGCTATTCATTTTTGGCTGGGTTCCCTTTTTAACCCGAAAGAGGTATGAAACCATGCGGGTATGAATATGAGTATGTGGGGGTGAACAATCGATGGACTCCCCCCCTCCTTGGGTGGAGAATCAATGCAATCTGTTGGATGGGATTGATGTCCACCGAGCATTTTGTGGATGTTACATTAAGTTCTGAGGACGTGGACTGGCTGGATGTCCAACGCGAAGAGACCGGTCCAACTTCAAGTGACATCTGAAGAATAGTGGCTCTAGGACAACCTTTAAAAAACAGAACCGCGCAACATGCTCCCTGACCTCGGTTCCAAAAATCGGTTCCTGGAAGTTGGCACGTCGTGTGGGTTCCGTGGTTACGCAAACTGAAAGCAAGGAACCCAAGTCTGTGACCTTCATGGGTGAGCGCATTCTCCAAGGATGGAGGGGGACAAGTCAAAACGAGGCCAAACTCCGGGCCATGCTCTGCCTAAGGATTTGGTCCAAGTCGATGTCCTAAACCCAATGAGACCAATGCTGAACCTGCAAGGGTTTTTTGAGGGGGGCCATGTTTTTTCTGATCCACTGGTGAGGTCTGCTCCAAATGGCCGCGCCTTGGTCTGCTCTTCCTCCAGCACCTTCTTGGCCGCCTTCATCTGCGCCACATCTAGGCTCGACTGGCCCTGGTGCAAGGCGGCCTTCAGCTCCTTCCGATCTTGCGCGCTTGGCAGGGGCGGGGAAGAGAGACCGCCCTTTGCCTTGAAAGGGGGGGCGAGGTTAGCCGTTTTTTGGAGTTCAAAGGGATTGCACGAGCGCCATCTGTAAGAGTCTGGGCCCAAAGGGAAGGAGCAGACTTGCCATGATCTGCTTGGGAGAATGAGGGGCAAGGGCAAGAAGTTGTCCAACTTGATGAGCCAGAAGTGCGAGACCCTTCTGGGAATCCCAGTGAGTCTATGGCATGCTTCCCGGAATGACATGGCCGTACCAAGCCCGGCAACTGCAAACCTGCTACAACCCGGAAGTTCCCACGACCCCTAAGAGGAAACTGCTATGAGGACCTACATCGTCTTCCGTGAGACCAAGAACGACGACTCATTGCAGGCAAGCCGCCTCAAATTACACACACAAGTGGCAATCTGCGAGTCAAGGCAGGAACACTTGAATCTTGCCAGGGCAAGTGGGGTACACAAATGTGCCCTGGTAGTGTCCCAAGGTTTGTGGCTGCCAATAGATTGATTGGAGAGTCCACAGCAATGTCCCTTCCAAAGCCTTTGATCAATTGGGCCTCACTTCTCCCTGTGAGACCAAACTTGCCTAAGACATTCTGCAAGCATTCCTCTGCTGAGTCAGAGGCAAACATTGAATTCTTAAAACAACGAACAGCTGAGCTGTTGTCGTCCATGTGCGTTCTCTCACTCTCTGCACAGGACAAACAAGAGGCGAAACAGAAACGCACCTGGAAAATATACTGCAGGTGTACCAAAAACACTCTTGCACCCGCAACTCCAGGGCACGACACTTGCATGATTGCAGTGATGACCTCCCGAGACGTACCGGGTACTGTGGGCACAACTCTTGCTTAGTGGTTACCCCGGCACCCCGCTCAAAGTGGTCGCACCCCGCTCAAAGTGGTTGTCCCTCGCCAATAATTCCACAATGTCATTCTCTGGAACAAACGACTTTTCCACTTGTCTGCCAAAATTCCCCCATGTGCTTGTGGGCACCCAGCCCTCCGTCACAGGGCGCTCCCAATTAGATCGGGGACGCTGTGTCGAGCCCCACCCTGTTGGACCCACAACCGCGGATGAAGTGGAGGTTGAAGGCGTGCGTGGGGTTCGTTTGGGGTAGCCCCCACCAGACCCCCAGACCCAACCCGGCCTCGATGTCGCGGCTCTTTATGGCCTGCTCTAGGGCACGCAGGGCCTCCAGCTTGATCTCCTCCTGCGCCAAAGAAAGCCGTGTGGCGGTGTGCTGAAATGGGAGGGCCCCTTGAGGATGGTGTTTGAAGGGAGGCCAGAAGGGAACGTAAAACACATATTATTCCTGGGTTAGTCATAATAAGTAGTTCACTAATTATAAAGGAACTAAGAGAGCAGCAACAAAAAACATGCGTGAAGTCGCCAAATATCTTTTCCTGACAAGTTTGGGTTGGTCCGCACTTTGCGGCATGTGGGCTTTGGGCTGGAGAGGAAAGCACAGCAACTCCCAATTCTGACCTTCTGACCCTCAGAGCCACTGATAATTAGCCATCAATTGCCTGTGAAGGGCGAGTGCAACACGCGGATTCCTGCCAGGCTGAGGTTTTTTTGTTTTTGCCTTTGAATTCCTTGGGGAAGCCAAGAAGGGTGTTCTACACTTCACGCTGTTCAACGTGGTTGGCAAATCGTAATCCATTCCCTCGCTGGAGAGGCGGACGAGAATGGCTAGATTGGCTTGGAACTGGCCAGCCAGTAGAGGAGTTTGCTTGCCTGCTTCCCCAGCAACAAGAGGGACAAAAACACAAAGATGCTAAAGCAAAGAGGCCACACCAAAAAAAAACGACGCTTCCCCTTTAAAAAAAAAGAAAGAAGAAACCGTTCAGAAGGCTAAAGGTCCAAAACCCGTTCTCCCGCCTGCTTCTCCACCATGCGGGCCCTCTGCAGTTCTGTCTCCTCCAGGCCGCTCGCCTGCGCCTGACAGGAGGCCCAGCCGTGCCCCGAAAGAAGATCACCCAAAGGTGTCCGTGGTTCAGGCTACACCCAGGCGGAAACAGAGGCCAGTTGGGCGCACAATTGTCTGTTTAGCTTTTCGGTCGTTCCCTGGGTTATGAGCAGGCAAACTCTCTTCGCCGCTGCAAGATGTGGAGGAGACACCCAGACGGACCCAACAAATTGCCTTACCCCATTGCGCCGCAAGTGGCTCGGACTGATCCAGAATAGTCCAAAATGGCAGGGTTCTGGAAATGGCCACAAGGATCGGGTGGTTCTCCAGCGCATGTTATAACCTTAAAGTTTGTCCTTTGCCCAGCGTTTCGGCTGAAGATGGGGTGCTTGGACTCAATTTGGTCGGACTGCCAGACATGTTGCCTTCTGGTTGATCGCAACAGAAGCCTCACTTGTCACGATCTCAATTCTTTCGTCGGTGATTCACCTTAATTCGCCATTAGATTGAGAATCCACGATTGGCCATGCCATGTTCCTGACAATATCCTGCATACAACCATTGCGCCCTCCCATCGATGTTTTTGCGTTTGGGAAGTTGCCTCCAGTTGTTGCAGTCGAGTTCTCGCACTGATACCGATACCACCCGAATGCAACAACAACCATGTCCATGATGAAATCTGTACGATAGGGTGTGGCGATGCATCGACGCCAGGAATCCCACTCCACATGGCAATCGTGTCGTGTTAGGTTCCTTTGAAATAGATCATCCCAAAGTTGCCGAAAAGAAACACTTTGACTCGATGTTCCACAAATGACTCACATGTTTGATATGGCCATATATTTCTAATAGGGAACCACTTCACAAGTGGTTTGTGGACATGAATCCCCACCGAATTCTGATGTCCACCAAAGGGTCCCTCATTAAAATTCACACCCGTATGTTCCACGACAAAGCTGCTGTTGTCTTGGTCGATTCCCTTCTTTTGAATGTTCAAACACTGTTTGTTTGCTTTTTTGTGAGACTTAAGTAGCTTGTGAAACCCTCAGTTGGCTGGAAATCAAGGAAGCGGGCATAACCTATGGCGAGCCGTTTTGGGGTGGAACATCCATTTGCCACCTTTGATGTTTATTAGGGGAGGGTTTTGACCCGCCTGGCGCAGGGCAGCCCGCAGCTCCGTCAGGTCCCGGCTGCGCACCGCCTGCTCCAGCCCGTGCCGGGCCTTGGACGCGAACCGGACGGGGACTCGGCGGCGAGGGCCGGGGATGGGAAATCAGTTTGCTGGTGGCCCCAAGAAAACAGGGGCCATTCTACCTTTCATTTCCATTCTTAACCCAGGGATCCAGATCTTTCTAGAAAACCTCCGGAAACCGTGGGAAAACGGCCGGTTGTTGGAAAGAACGATGGTTGGAAAGAATGGGGAATCAACCCCTAGAGCCATGGGTGTTAATGGGAACCCCTACCCCAAGCCACAAGATGTCCACCCGAGCAGGGTTTTGGGATCACTCGGGGTTTATCTAACTACTTTTGTGATAGGGAATCTGCCCCCTTTTTGTTGTATCACAAAGTGGTCATTTCCCGCTGCCCCTCCACGGGACAATTGGGCGCCCTTGGTTGTGTGGGAAACTTGAGCTCCATGTCCTCCCCAAATCAACACCAGACTGCCTGGAAAAAATATCGGCTCTCATCTTTGCCCGGTCAATATTCAGCTGGGGCCAACGGAAATTAGGCGATTCGCACTGGCGAGAGCATCCCACACCGGTCGAACATATGGGGTTGTGGGATCGCTGGGGGTTTTTCCAATCACTTCTGTGATACTTTTGGGAATCTCCCCCTTGTGGGGGGGTCAATCTTTGGCAAGCCCTTTTTGCTGTGTCACAGAAGTTGCTGCTAAATGCCGGAAACACCCGTGCAGTTGACCGCCCAGCAGGAAGAAGCCAAGGAAATATATAAATGGCACCGCCATGCTGCCTCCGGGTGTTGTGTTCCTGCAAGGAGAGATGTGCAAAGTGTTGGACTCCCCAACTGAGTGTGCTTGTGCTATGACTTAAGGATTGACTTGGCGAAATAACACCCGCCACAAATCCTCAGAACAACATTGGCTGTCGAACATGAGAACCTTCCTCGCACAAACAAATATGTTGGGGTGACTCCGCTAAGTGAACTCAGCATGAACCTTGGGGAACCTTATTCACAAAGCCCGCCAAAATTGAACGGGAAGCCCACTTGAAGAACCGTCTGGTATCAGGACATCCCTTTGCCCTTGATTATGGGAAAGCTGCAAGGTTAAAGTCATGTATCACCCTGCCTCCATTTTTTACGCCTAGCTTCAATCAACGATTTTATGAGTCATTATGTTTCCCACTCGAGAAATATTGCGCCATTTAAGCGTAACCCATTGCCAAAACCGGCCATGACTCGCTGCGATTGTTAATCCTTCCGGAAAGGGATCTTGGTGGCTACGCCCCTGCACAAAAAGTGGTGCTTCAGGCAAGTGCGATTGCCCCCCTTGCCCTTTCAAAGGTTGATTTCGCTTCTTGCCAAGCTAAATAAGCTCACAGATTTCGTTTGTTTTTGCCAAACCATATAGGTTCAAAGGTTGACGGGGGTGAGGGAGAAGGACCCGCCCTTCGTTGCACCCATCGGCCTGACCCTTGGACTGCTCATCCGCGAGGGTCCGCTTGGCCTCGTAGATCTCGGGGCTGTTCAGATGGCAGTCTTCCGCCTCCTTCCGACAAAGAACAAATCCGAAGAGGAAACAAAAGAAACGACGTGGAAGGGTGCAGATGGAAGACATGGAATTTCTATCCTGAAAAAAAAATACTTTTGTTGCTCCTTGAAGGAAACACTAAGCTCAGGTGATATCCCCAACAGCACCAGACCCCTATGGGTTCTACAAATGCGTAAGGTACACAAATATGCTAAATCCCTTGCAAAGGAGACCCCTTAGCTTTCAGCTGTTGGGGAAAAATAGACAAAAACAAAGGACGTGGAAGTCGTTTAAGGGTGCAGATCGAAGCCATAGATCTGCAAATTGTTGCTATAGTTTCCGAAACCAAGCCAAGGACCTTTCTCATGGCTTTCGCTCGTTCCACCTTCCAGGTGAGCTCGCAATAAAATAGGCAAGTAGATCAATGGCAAGTGAGTGGCCAATGTGATTTTGCTTTTGGCTCTTTTTGACAACCACCTATAGATGACCTATTGAAATTCGCACCCCGTTGTGTAGGTGTGTATTGCTTGAAAAAGATTGGGGCCCTTTGGTGGATATCAACTACATGGGGAGTTGCGTTCATCAACATGTGATGCTCCTCAACCCTCTCGAAATGCTCACCGAAACAGTAATCTTTACGCAGGGAACCCTGCAAGCAAACTGCTCCCCTCCCACACAGCGCAGTCCTGGAGGGCGGCTTGCAACGCCTGCACCTGAGAGCTTTGGCAGGTTTCCAGGACCTGATTTGGATGGCTTGAAAAGGGCCAGTGAAACATGCTCTGTTCTAAGGACCCGCGCATGACAGCGATATTTGCTGTTCGGGCTTGCATCCACGGCAGGGATGTCATGCTTTCACAGGAATGATTCAATCTTATAGGGTGGCAGGATTAGAATTGACCATCGGCCATTTTCTGCGCTTGACTTTTGGCTTTCGAGATAACGGATGACAAGTCTCGTGTCCCTCAAAAGGGCCGTCTTTCAGACCCCCGCGATGCCACCAACGCCCCACCCAAAAGAGGCTGATTCCTGACTCGCCCAGAGCCCCCTTCATCGTCTCCCCGAACTGGGCCTTGGACTTTGACGACTTATTTTTGCCAAACAAAGAAACGACATGCCCGAAGTCTCAAACAGGGTACTCGCCACTCGCAAGCGGCCGCTAAGGGGCCACTGCTCCGATTCAACTCAACCAAAGACGAATCTCACAAAGGCACTGGTTGCAAGCAGAAACCCAAAAGGCTACAGTTATCACACTTGTCCTGTCTGGCTTCGCTTTGCTTGAAACTAAATGGATTCAACGGATTTCAGCGTGGTTCTACTCACTTCACCTTGGAACCCATCTAGTTTCCCAGAGAAAACACCGCTCGAAAACCCCCCAAGCCCACCCTTCACTCCCACTCACCCTTCACTCCCACTCACCCCCCCAATTTCCAACCCCCCCCCCACCCTCCAAAACCCCCAACACCTCCCACCCCCAAACCCCCCACACACCCCCCAAACGCCTTGCGGAGAAAACGTCTCGAGCCCCGCGCGCGCCTTGCGGCTCTTGGTGGCGCTCTGCAGCGCCGCCCTCGCCGCTGCCCGGCGCAGCTCCAGCGCCAAGATCTCCCGCGCCTCGTTGCTCGACGTCGCTCGACGAAACCACGCGACGTTTCGCGGCGGAAAAACGGCGGCTCCTTTTGGCATCCCTTTACTTCCATTTGGTGAAGGCCCCAGGAAAAGATGAAACTATGTCCAGTAGTAATGAATTCCTTTCAAGACCAACAAGGGAAAATAGAAACATATTCTTAAGCAATTGGAGGTTCAGAACCAAAGTGTGAAGTGTGAAGTGTGAAGCGGACCGAAGTGTGAAGCCAAGCGAGCGAAAAGAGTGGCAAAAGGAGCGAAGCTGCCACAGGGGGGCAGAGGGCGGACCAGGGGGAGTCGAAGGGGGGAGGGGGGCGCCGGGCCGCCCGAACCCCCTCACTCCACTGCCCAGACAACCAGGTTGTGAGGTAGACTCAAGGACACAATATACTTTGACTTTGGCCATCTGTTAAGAGAACTGAGTGCAACCATCACATCTCAGTTGTATGGATGTATTTTAGCTACAGCAGATCTCAGAACGGCAGATCTCACAAACAACCTGTGCGTATTCTAATATGTCCATATCTCAATCCTATCAAATGGTCCAACGGATTTTCGAGCATCAGTGAAATGATGATGGCGCATGCTGTTTGTATGAACCTGTCCAGCCGGTGGAAAAGCTTGAGGGGGCAAGTCACCCTGGCCGAATTCCCCTCCCAATGTTTGAGCATGTCCAAAGTGCAAAACATGAAGGCGTGCCACGTTGGCGAAAACAGTATCAAAGGCGCTGGCCGAGTTGTCCGTGTTTTTCCGGCACCCAATTCATCGCTCCCTGCCAACACACGTAATGTGGCTGAGAGAATGCTTCATTCTGGACATCAGTCATCCTTTCCCACCCCGGGTGGACCCTGAGAGGGTCAATTTGCCAAGCACCTCCTCACTTCCCGAGCCAACAAACAAGTCCGAACTTCATATTTACCACTAAAATGGTCCAAACCAAAAAAAAATGAAGTCCGAAACGGAACTTAAACGGAAGTGTGAGGCTCATTTCGAGCGCTTGGTTTCCCGAGCTGTCCGGCAAAACCGGGTCTCGCGCCCTCGTGCCACGGGTCTCCCCGCCTCCGTCACCTCGGCCTCGCTGAGGCCGGCCTTCTCGGCCTGCGCGATGGCCTCGGCAGAAACTGCGGCAGTTGCTGCCGCTGGGTAGAGGTTATGATGACCCCATATGGCTATGGGTCAAAATCCCGGTTACCCCCAGTGACTAAAATGGGTGGTGCACCTACCCGCTATTCATGGGTAGTGGGGATGTCCCTGGGTTTAGTGAGGAACAAGGTAAAAAGGTTCCCATGGAGAAATGAACTGATTTGCAGCTAAGATCGGTGAGTCATAGACCGGAAACTGCAGCATCCCAGCCAATTCCTGGAGGAAATGCTTGCTACATCTGTGGCACATGCCAACGGCAAATGCTTGCAGCAATCCAAGCTGAGGAGACATTGCTGGCCCTCCTGCCCTTTGACTACTGAACCTGCACTCCACACCAATGAGCCCCCGCCGACATCATGACAGACTACACACACACACCTTATTTTTTTAATGTGACGATGCTACCCATGCAACTCCTTGTGGGCTGGGCACTTGGCTCCCACTTAGCGATCCCCGCTGCATCTCTCCCCAAGCAAAGTCATTACGCACAATCACAACCATGGCATGGTTGCAAGGCATACACGCTCCCCCACCCGGCCCACCCTCGAAAAATGTCGAAAACCCACCGAACTTGAAGAACCCCCCCCCTTCAGCCCCCCTCAGCCCGCCTGCTGCAGCTTCGCCGCATCCGGCGAGCCCTGCTTGGCCTCCGCCAGCAGCTCCCGGGCCGCTGCCTTGTGCTCTTCCTCCTCGCGAGCGAAGCGACGCTGCCACACACCACGCACACACGGACTCGAACTGAGCGCAGAAGCGCCGGCTCACTGCGGATTCGGGTGTCTGCTTTTGTTGTGTTGTTGTCTTTGCTTTTTGCTAAGGACAAAAACATGCTGCGGGGTGCAATTTGGGGTGAAACTGAGGCGACTTCGAAAAAAGACCTCGGGTTCCTTGCCCTAAATCTCCTGCCCCGGTCGTCCCTGGCCGGCCCATTGGGGCGCTCCTCCAGCGCCTGCCTCGCCGGCTGCATCTCCTCCGGGGCCATGTTGATGAGCTCCGCCTCGCGGAGTGCCTCCCGCAGCTGGCCCACCTAAGCCGACCAGCCCGAGGCGGGACCCGAGAAAAATAGGGGGGGGGGAACCCTCACAGGGGGTTGCCCCTGGTAACAAGGGGTTGCCCTGGTAAACCCCAAGATGGGTTGGTAAAACCCCTCACTTTTTGGCGGTGTGGAGCCGTATAGGTGGTTTAGTTGAGCCCCCTTTGGTTTCCTTTTTTTAACCCACCTCACCGCCTTCAGGGGGTGTCCGGCTTTAAGAGGGCCATGGGATCGAAACAAACGGGATCAAGTAACGCTCCTTGCAAGCCTGAACTTATATTTTTTGCCTGGTTAGTGAAAAAGAAAGGGAACCCCAAAAAAGCAAAAGAATGGAACTAATTCTGGGGAAGTGAAGAGGGGCCGAAGAGGAGGAGTGGATGCCAGCGCAACCAGCCGGTTGCCTTTTGGCCAGTTAGCTCATGGTACAAAATGGATACCCCAGATTAGCACAGGTAGGACTTATGCGCAATGTGTCTTGAGTCTGAGCTCTTCAGTCCGCTACTGTAGATTCATGAAAATTTCGGGTCCGCATTTCTCGCGCAAGATGCTTAACGCACACTTTCTCGTGCAAGATTTTGCGTGCAAGCTTTGTCGTGCAAGCTCGCTTCTCTTGCACGTTCTCTCGCGCAATCTCGTGCTACTTTGCTCTGCATGCGCTCTCGCGCTACCTGCTCTGCAAGTGCTCTCAGGGCGCTGTTCAGCATCTTGCTCCGCATGGTGCTCTCGTGCTACCTCCTCTGCACGCACATTGATGGGCCAAGTCAGGAAAAGGCTAAAGAAGCCAAGCGCCGGCCGCGGAACACAGGAATGACTTGGAACAGTTATTGAAGGCTACCCAAAATGAACTCAAGAAGCTTCTCATACTGCAGCAGTTGCAGCAAGAGAAGGCAGTGTTGGCATCCTCAACTTGCTCTGCGTGTGTGCGTGCTAATTGGGGGGCGGGAAAAGCTGGCGATTTTACCAAAAGAATCCTTCCCGATGCTTGCAGGAAAAAGAAGCCACCATCGGACCATCAGTTTGCTTGGCAGCGCGCTACAGCCACCACCGAGCTTGGCGAACGCGGAGGCAACGCGCGATCCCTTATGGAGAAAGAAGTCAGGCCAAACGTTTGTTTGGCGCAATCTACGGCCACGCGCCAAAACGCACAGGGAGAAGTAAAGCCATAAGTCTTCTGGGTAGCGGGAAGGCGCTCGCGAGCGCGTTTGAAGCAGAGGCGCGCAAGCCCCTAAAAGAAATTGCAGTTTGCTTTATCCAGTTGTATGCCTGCTTCCTTGCCAAGCAAGTGCAGGATCATAAAACGCAGCTGTATTCGGGGTTCCAGGGTCTGCAGCAGTTTGCTTGCCAGCGTGCTCCCGAGACGGGCGGCCAATTACTCGGTTTGACTGGGAGACATGCGGATTCTTTCAGCAAGGCCTGGAGGACCCAACCCAGGCCAAAGCAACAACAACAAACAACAAACAACAAACATGAGTCACCAACAACAAACAAACCAAGCACCTCCCGACCACACCAACCACCTCACCTCCCCCCCCCTCCCCCGCGCGACCGCCCGCGCCCGCGGGCGCGAGGCGCACCGCGCCTCCCGGCTCCGCAGCGCCGCGGCGAGGCCCTGCCGCGCCTGCGGCCACAGCTCCCGCTGCATGGTGGTGATGGCCTTCTGCACCAGCGCCGTGTCCTTCGGCGAAAAACCGAAAGGTCCCCTCGAAGTACCGAAAAGGATGGGCGGAAGTTAGCCATACTGTTCAGAAAAAAAAGGAAAAAAAAAAAGTCCATGCAAAAGAAAGAACAAACACTTCCGATTGGACTGGCGGAAAGACGCATACTGTTGAGAAAAAGATGGTCCTGAAAGAACACCAGCACTTGCGGCCGATTTCGAAACCTTCTTTCGGAGATTGGCTTCCGATCTGGACCAGCCCAGAATCAATCTGACAACAGCTCCATGCAACCCATCAGAAGCCTCCACCAGCAACATCCGGCTTCCTGGAGCCCTGAACCCGACGGCTCGCAACCGAAGAGAACCCGACGGAGACCCCAAAGAACCGGACAGGATGTGCGCAACTGGCCAGAGATCCTTACAACACCTGGTGTCCCTTCATTTTGGTGGAAAAGGCCATGTTTCAAATTGGCAAAATGTATCTGAACAAAAGGAAGTATGTGCACTTGCCATAGGTACCTTTCTTAAAAACAAGCGCGGTTTTGTGCCCCTTGTGGAGGGTTGGTCGCCGAAATGCTGTTCAAACATTAACACAGCAACATGCTAGATTTCACATTCCCCCTGAAGATGCTCGGATTTTGCAGGTCAGGCCCCGATTGGGTCCGCCATTTCGTGTTGCAATGCTAGTCGGGACTCGGCTCTGCGACGATCGACGTTCTCGCCGTTTCAGTCGGGTCAGGCTGTACCCCGTTGGGCGAGGCTGGCGCGCCGGGACATCCAAACATACCCATCCCTTCCCCCCCCCCGTCCCAGCACAAAAAACAAGAAGGGCAAACGGAAATGGACCCAGAAACACAATGTTGACCTTTTGGAGCCATGAATGGACCAGAAGGGGAACACCGATATGCTCCTCTTCAGGTCGGCAGAAGCCATTCTCCCCTCTTCGGTGCCTCGGGGTGCGTCAGCTGAAACTCCTCGGCCCGCTTGATGCAGGCTCGCAGCCGCGGCACCTCGCACAGCTCGATGGCCTCCTGTCGCTGGAGCTGAAAGGCTGAGGTGGGAAGGACTGGGCCCCGGGCGCGGTGGAGTCCGAGGGGACGGAACGCGAGCAGTGGACAGAAGGCAAACGGCCGCGTGCTGTGAGAGAATCCACTCCCGTGCAAAAAGGAATATGCAAGCCTCAAGACGCACACCGTCTTAGGCGCTGGACCCGATCCGTTTCATGACATGTCTAGGCCCAACAGATTCCAGCGCGGACTGATTGACATCGCTCACGTCTGGGGCCGATATCTCAAAAAACTGGCCGCCTTTTGTGAGCGCGTGGCATCCGGAGAACTTTCGCCACCTGCACCCTGGGAGATTTCTTCTGGCACAGACTTTAAAAAGCCCCTGACACAGACTTGGCTCAACCGGGCGACTGTAGCCAAGTCCAGAGCTGCAATCCAAAAGATCAAATGGACTCAAGTCCCTGCGCTCAGAAATAGACAGGCACGCCAAAGAAGGCTACCCTTCTTGGCAAAAAAACAAAAAACAACTCCCACACTGCCGCATCCGATTGCGGGACTCTCTGTTTCTCCAGAGCCGAAGTCTGACCAAATGCGAACCAACTGGCTACGCAGCCTGAAGGCAATGTCACCTTGAAAGATGCGGCTCTGCATCCCATGAAAAGCTCAGCTGGCGATTGACACTCGTTTTTTTTTGGCAGAATTTGGTGATCATTTTTAGGGCCTTTTTGCCTGTTGTATAGACAGTTTTGAGTATGCAGCTTTCCAGTTTGTTGGGGGGTCCTTCAACGCTTCCCTTTCAACTGCGGGCTAATGGGCATGAAGTCAGCGTAAAACAAATGGGACAACACACACACACATTGTATTTGTTTAGATCCCATTCTGCCTCTCCCCGTCTCCCCCCGACACCTGCTCTTTGAGAAGGAACCAAGAACCTCCAGAAGGTTTGTGCCTAAATCAGGGAGGGATGGCTTCCCTTCGGCTTCCATCCAAAACAACCCAGGGCAGCTGAAACTGGTCGTGCTTAGAACTGCACGAAAGCCGGTTCCACGTGGGTTCGACTGGACCAAGCAGTCAAACCCATAGGCGTCCTATTTGGAAAATAGAGGTCCCTGGTAGATGATTGAACCACCAGGTCCCGGAATCGCCCTCTATTTTGCTTCACCAAACCCACCAACAAGGACACCAAATGCTTCGTCAAAAGTGTCGAACGCTCCTCCAGGTCTTTCACCACCTGGGCGCGCTTCTCCTCGAGCTCCAGGGCCGCCTCTGCCTCCTTCATCAGCTGGCCCTCCAGGTTTAGCACCTCGCCTAAAGCCATCGGTTTCGGCAGACCCCCCTCCCGGTCAAGCTCCGCTTTGTTTGCCCTTCAAAACACCAGCAAGCAAAGCAAGCAACCAACAGCCAGGCAGCCAGGCAGGCAGCCTGCCAACCAACCAACCAACCAACCAACCCAGCTTCTGGTGATTCCAGGCAGGAGTCCAGTTGTTCCCGTCCAATCTGTGCGGAGCTATAGCTTCAGAATGGATGTTGGGGCCTAGATGTGGAGATAACCAGTTGGGTGTGTTCCAAGGTTGTCCCACCTACCTACAATGAGTTCACAGAAGAAGAACAACAAGTCACATTTGCAGGCTCCCAAGGACTGCATGTCCAAAAGGAATGCGCTCTCCAGGAATCTTGCCCCTTCACGTACATTCAAAAGCGGGCCCTCTGGACACAGAAGATCACTTCTTTGCGGGTCTGACGCTGCCATGAAGAAAACGATTCTCAAGTTTTACCCTGCCTCAGGACTAAAATCCCCCTGCCAACAAATCTAAGGTTTGATTCCCCATTCTCTTTAGACACCACCTATTTTCCAGGGTGTCCCGTTTGGAAGAGAAGGATCCCTGAAAATGGGGGAGGGTAGAGCCAAAGTCCCACTTTTGTGGGCGAAACGCATGACACGCAGCCTCGCCTCGCACCATGGCCGCCTTGAGGGCTTGCAGATCCCGGCCCTTGATGGCAGCCGCCAGCTCCTGCAGCTGCCCGTTTTCGGCTTTCGGCTTGACCGTAGGTTTCTCAAGGAGCACTCAAAAGGGCGGCAGGTACGTCAGGTAAGTGGTATAACCATCTTAACCCACCAAAGCCCTGTCTTTTTTTCCGTCTCCGTTCAGTGGGTTATGCATATTTCACAAGGCTTACTTAGCCCTTTAAGACTTTAAGCAAAGAGTTCAGGGTCCAGGTCCAGGTCGGTCCCGAGCTCAAGAGCTCCGGGGGTGAAAGAGCAGGCTGAGGCACTTCATGCTTGCGAGGAGTCCTTCGTATGCCCCAGGATTACGAAGCAAACCCTGGACTGGCATCGGCAAGTTAATTTTCCTGAGGGGAAAAGAGAAACGCATTCCTCGGCCCGGGGAGCGCTGCCGGTGTAGATTATGTTTTAGACTTATGGGCAAACAAGCGGTTGGGGCCAATGGATTGCTCAAGCATGTCAAAATCCCGAGTTTGTTGGTCAACCAAAAATTTGTCCGCACCAAAATAAATTTCAGAGCCCATCATTTCTGCACATGCCTTTAGTGGCGGAACCCCCGGAACGGACCACTCCTCACGGGCCGCTTGCTGCTGTTGCTTCTCCAGCTCTAGTGCCTGGTGTCTCAGCTCCTCGCCAGGTCAATGTCTTATGGGAAACGCGTTCATTCTGGGTGGTCGTTTGGGAAACACCATCGGTATACACTCTACATTTATGTTTGTTGCAGGCAGATTTCGGGGGGGGGAGGTCTGGTTGGGACTGTTGTGACTGAGCCCAGTGCTTGCGAATCTGGCTTTGCCTTCTCGGCACCCTAGCCACGCAAGCAAGGCCTAAACCAGGCAAGCAAGCAAGCCATGAACCGGAGCCTTGGAGTTTAAATAGCAACTTATCCAAACTTGGCTAAAATCACTGTACTACTATGCTTCTTCTTGGCGCCAAGTGGACAAGTGGGTGCGCCCGCCTCAGGGAAATACACAGAGCTACCCGCTTTCTGATGGCAGGTGAGTGCCCTGCCCCAGCTGCCAAAGGCAAGGTTCTTGAACTCACAGAGGTCTCTTTCTGACTGAACATGAATTGGTTGCTAAAATCGAGCCCTAGCATTGTGGGTGTCCTCTTGGTTTATCCCTTTACCACCCAAAAGGGGTCCAATTTGAGAAACCTCATGATGTCTTAGATTTAGTCCCTGGAAAAGCTAGCGCGGCTTGGACAAAGTAGGGGATTGTATTTGTATGATAGATCTTGCAAGGCCGGTTAAGGACTATTGATTGCGGGGGGTCGGGGCTGACTTGGCAGCTTTCGAATTTGAATCAAAGGTATTGCTGGTGTTTGCGCGTTCTCTTCTCGCTTTGGCTGCCATCTTATCTCAGCTCTACACAACTTCAAGCAACTGAGCCAGCCGACCGACCAGCGTTCCAACCTACAACCAGGGCGAATTCCCATGCCGGCCTATAGGCACCAAAGCACTCAGCTTTTTCCAAAACATCACACGCTTATCAAATGTCCTGCCGACTCCCATACGAAGCTCACAAATCCCTTCTCCCTTGCCCCAGATCGCCTCCAAATGGTTCATGGTAGTCGCTCGCCCAAAGACCTTACTCTTGCCCAGCACTAGCCCCGACTTCTCCTGGCCGGCAAAGAAGCGTCGCATGCCCGGCAAGCTTGGATGTTTGGCCGTAAAATTGTTTCGAGGCTCAAGAAAACGGCTCGCAAAAACCTGTCTGATCTTCCCAAAGTCGACCATAGACCGCCAACAAGATTGTCCGTTGCTCTTGTACCAATCCTCCCAAGTTTTCCATGTTTGGGAGTTTGATCTAGTCCAACTGATCAGCCGTTGCCTCAAACTGATCTGTTCATTGAGATTTCACACATACACGGGCAGCTCCCCTTAAACAATCAAAGGGGGTTCTGCTGCTCTTCCCCCGCCACAATGGGGATGCCCTCATTGATCTGTCGCAGTTCTGCTTCACTCCCCAGCCCGACGGCCCTTCTTGCGCCTCCTCGCTCGCTTTGCACGCCACAAGCACCAGCTGGAGCTTCTCCTCAAAAGGGACCTGCTCAGAAGCCGCGCACGGCACATGCACCGACCTGATAGGGTTGTATGGGTGTGTTTCAAAATAGGGGGCCCCAACAACTTGATGGTTTCCCTTTGGCTTCCTTTTAAACCAACCTCAAAAAATGACACATCCATATAAGGAATGCATGTCCAAGGAAGAACATGTAAACATATTGTGAACCAGAAGCGTGTCAAAAGTGTTCGGTCAAAATGGCACGGCCCGCAGGCGGAACAAATACAATGAATAATAATAATAAATAAATAATAATGATTAATAATAATAAAAACAATAATAATAATAATAATAATAATAATAATAATAATAATCCAAACAGGGTCCACTGTTGCACCAAGGACCTTGTTTTTTGGCACCTTCCTAACCTTCTTTTGCGCACATGACCCAAAACTTCAGAAGGGGTTAATCGATTGACTAAGTCAGCGCCTGCACTTCAATATTGAAAGAATCGTCGCTTCTCAAGAACTATGTGCCTGCACACGCTCTTTTCCACTGGCTCTGAGCGTGGGTCCTTGGTGCCTTTGGAGTTTCGGACCCTTTCTTTCACGCGGGAGTCCTGCTGAAACTTGCTGTCAGGAATTACCCAAAAAAAGCACTTCATAACTCCTGCAAAGCCTCTTGCACAGTCGCCGGCGCTCTTGCCAAGCACTTTCGACACCACACGTCCCCTGCAGAACCACCTGACCCCCGTTCGTAATGACGAGAGTCAAAGGAGAAGTCCCGACAGTAAGGCACTAGGTGACTTGCAGATGTCCTCTGGCAAATGTGCTTGGCGGACTTGGGGCCCTGTGTGAACCACAGGATTGACACCGGCTCACAGGACTGGCTAGAGGATGAGGAACGACTACTTTCTTCCGAGCTTTCTGTGGAGTGCGCAGGCGCAGAAGCAGCGCCGTCTGCCGGCAAAGCACTCCAGGCCGGCGTGCGACGCAAGTGGTAAACCCGCTCCATTGACACTGGGTTGTCACGCACAGGTCCTCTGTTTTGCAACTCTTTGCAACGTCTGCAAGCACAACTAAGATTCTCTGCTTTACAGCACCAACCGACAAGGCTTTATCGTGCGCGTATCGGAGAGTCATCTTGTGCTGGGCCTGCCCGCCAGCGCTCAAGGAAGCAGAGCGTTCAACCCAGTCCCCCACAGCATCGCGGTCACCCTCGGGCAACGCCATGGCGTCGGCCAGTGTAGGAAGGAACCTGCGGCAACTGTAGGAAGTGAATTTCACTGCGGAATCATGATCTGCCCCCAGGGCAGCCAGCACCGGCCTGCCAACATCAATGAACTGCGACAATGGCATTGGGACGAGCCGACGCTTGGTGCTTGGCTGGAGAGGCTCCCCTTTCCCTAAATGCAACGCTGGGATAAGCCAACCTGGCTCCCTTCCAAGTTGCTGAGAGAGCTCTTCATGATCAACAAACATCAAGGATGAAACATCAATGCCTGGCGCCACGATTCTCGGGAATGCCCAGTCAAAGGGCGGGCGCGTCGCCTGCACTCGACGTTTACCCATGGTGCAAGTGCCTTGAATATACTGGTCTTTGATGCACAGATTTCTGGATCTTTGCACATGCGAGAATCTGAGGCACGCGACGGTAACAATCAACATCCACATGATGAAAGTTTTGACACTGCCCTGAGCTGATGTGAAGCTGTTGCACAGCGCGAAGAAGAGCTTGATCGGCATAGGCTCCCTAGGCTGGACAACATGGCCTTGAGTGGGCGCGCCCAATGGGCCACCAAAGCATCATTAGTTGGCAACGGCAAGCCAACTTTCTCCCTCCACCACTTCACGGACACGAAGAGGGCAACTGCAGCAGTGGGGCCTCCTGCGCTTGCCTCCTGCAAGAATGAAGACAGGTGAAGGGCTGTTGGCTTCCAACATGGGACATCCCGCGGCACGTGTGTGTGGTGCCACTGCACCCAGCGCTTGAACACCCGCCTATGAGCCTGCAAGCGATCTTCAGTCACTGCTTGAAAGCTTCTATCAAAAAGTGGTCGGCACTGATCCGGCGCCATTACCAAGTCTTGCCCGAAAGCAACATTCTGGGAACCTGTTGCCACACCAATTTGAAACATGGCATCCAAGCACAACTGTCTCAGGCCAGATGTCGTTTCTGACCGCGCGGCACCTCTCTGCACATACTGCGTCCGATGTTGTCTTGGCACAAGAATTGCTGGCGGTAAGAGCCGCTTCTTGGGCCGAGCTGCAAGGATAAACGGGACTGTATTCTGGGTGTTTGGCAAAACTGCAGGCTGTGATTTTCTTGGGTTGGCCCAGACATTTTGAAGCCTGCAGTTCTCCCTTGCAACTGCCACCTTCCACGCTGAAGTCAGCTTTGTTATGATGTTATCATCCGACGACAATTCAAGCACCTCTTTTGCAAATAAAATCCGAAGTGGTCTCAATGCCGAGCCTCTCAAGTACTGCCCTCTCTGACTCCCCCAGTGCAGCTAAAACAGCAAGATCCATGAACCATAGCTGGGCAAGCACATGGGACGGGTTTCAAAGAGAGAATGTGGGCAGCTCGAGCAATGTGGCTGATGCTGCCATGTCTTCATGATTCTAACTCAAGCAGACCCACAACCAACCGAGCCATGCTTGCTTGACTGCCAACAAGATCTGGAAGGAGACAAACGCGCGAAGACTGCACTCCAAGTGTGCTTCCCACACCCCACATCCTCCAACGCTCACGCTCTGTGTCCCCATTTGACTGACGCATTGAAGGTAAGTACGTCAAAGCGACCCCCCCTCCCCCCGCTCTTTACCCAAGGTCTGATCCGCTCGACACCTGGACGCTTCTACTCCCACTGTGCAAAGGCGTCCTTCATGTGAAAAGCCTCACTCATCCAAAAAGGTCGCTTGGGGAGGAGCTCGGCCATTTAGACAGCCCGAAACTTTGGGGATTGACGGAGGTTCTACCACAGCCACCAACAAGTGGCAGCGCTCAGCTTCTTAAGTCAGTGTCCAAAGTGCCAAAGCAGCTAGACCTGTCATGTTCAAGGGCATCATTCTCTTGGTCAATTTGTCTAAGTTCAGTCACCCTTTGTAAATTTGCTCTCCAGGAGGTGTGTGTGTGTGTGTGATTCTCGACGTGCAAGCATCACAGAACATGTGTCATCCCCTCCTCCTTTTTCGCTTTGCTTTCACGGCTTCTTGTGGCACCAAACCACGGGCGGGGTGGGGGCGCCTGATCCTTGCCCACCAGCAGGTGCCACTGGTCCACCGGCAGCAGGCGCTTGTAGCGCTCCAGGAACTCGGCGTGGGGTAACCGCATGGGGAAGCCGCTCTGCCGGATCCGCACCGCCTCGAAGATGCCGCTGTAGAGCATCTGCTCCTTGGGGCGGCTGAGGGCATAGCCCTGGCATTAGCCTAACCCTGGCACAGCCTGGAGACACTAACGGACAAAGGTTTGGGGTAGGTTTAGGGTAGGCTTGGGGTAGGCCGTTCAAAGCTGGTTCAGGCCCGGCATCGTTTTGACATCCTCAGCATCGTTTTCAACATTCTCAGCATCGCCAGGTTTTGGTTTAGGCTGGGTTTAGGATGGGTTCCAGTGGCTCCGGGTGGGCTCCAAACCTATTGAGAACAAATTTGGGGGTGGCAGTGCTTGCGGCAGATGGTTCAGTGCTGGTTTAGGGTGGGGCTTCTTGGGGCTGGTCTCGGGTGGGTTTAGGGCCGGTTTCGCGTGGGTTTAAAATTGGCTTCGGCCACGGTTGTGCTTTAAGCCGCCCAAGGCTTAAACACAACCGTGGCCGAAGCCAATTTTAAACCCACGCGAAACCTCCCACCAACCACCCACCAACCCACCAAACCCCTGCAACCCCACAAAATCAACCACCCCCAACCAACCCACCAACTTATCCACCCACTAACCAACCCACCAACCCCTGCAACCCCACAAAAATCAACCACCCCCACCAGCTCACCAACCCATCAACCTACTAACCAACCCACCAACCCCTGCAACCCCACAAAAATCAACCACCCCCACCAACCCACCAACCCATCAACCCACTAACCAACCCACCAACCCCTGCAACCCCACAAACATCAACCACCCCAAGCCACAACCCACCAACCCCTGCAACCCCACAAAAATCAACCACCCCCACCAACCCACTAACCCATCAACCCACCAACCAACCCACCAACCCCTGCAACCCCACAAAATCAACCACCCCCGCCAACCCAACCCATCAACCCACCAACCAACCCACCAACCCCTGCAAACCCCACAAAAATCAACCACCCCCACCAACCCATCAACCCACCAACCAACCCACCAACCCCGGCAACCCCACAAAAATCAACCACCCCCACCAACCCACCAACCCATCAACCCACCAGCCAACCCACCAACCCCTGCAACCCCACAAAAATCAACCACCCCCACCAACCCATCAACCCACCAACCCACCAACCAACCAACCCACCCACCCACCCACCCACCCACCAACCAACCCAACCCAACCCAACCAACCCAACCCACCCAACCCAACCCAACAACCCAACAACCCACCAACCCACCAACCAACCAACCCACCCACCCACCCACCCACCCACCCACCCACCAACCAACCAACCAACCAACCCAACCCAACCCAACCAACCCAACCCAACCCAACCCAACCCAACCCAACCCAACCCAACCCAACAACCCAACAACCCAACAACCCAACAACCCAACAACCCACCAACCCACCAACCCACCAACCCACCAACCCACCAACCCCCCACCAACCCCCCACCAACCCCCCACCAACCCACCACCAACCCACCACCAACCCACCACCAACCCACCAACAACCCACCAACCCACCAACCCACCCACCCACCCACCCACCAACCAACCAACCAACCAACCAACCAACGTTAGCACAGGGCTAGGAAAAAACAACACCCTTTCCTCCTTGCTGCTCGGGGACAAAAAAGCGGCTGGGGGGGAAGGGGGGGGTGAGGGAAGGGGAAGGGGAGGGGGGGAAGGGGAGGGGGGGAAGGGGAGGGGGGGAAGGGGAGGGGGGGAAGGGGAGGGGGGGAAGGGGAGGGGAGGAAGGGGGGGCGGGGGGGTGGGGGGGAAGGTGGGGGAGGGGAGGGGGGAAGGCGGGGGAGGGGATATGAAGCCCTTGACAAAGGGCACAACTGAGAGGCCCGAACAACCCGAAGGCAACAGCATCTCGATTTTGGGTCTTCCGAATCCAGGCGCGTAGGTGTACTTGGACTCGAAGTTGTCCGGCGCCTTGGCCGCGTTAGGCTTCAAGCACCGGATGAAGTGTGGCTCCGCCGACTCCACCGTCTTCATCAGGTCCTCGAAGCAAGCGCCAGAGGCTTCGATGGGTAAAAAAACCCACGGAGTCCCCGGAAAAACGAGAAATAAGTGGTTTCCACACGGTGTTCCACACCTTTGGGCGTGACTTCTGTAGCCATGAGTCATCACTAGAATTCCCGAATTTGACAAAGGAACCACCTCCAAAATGGCCGCCAAAGGTTTTTGCACCGATCGATTTGACCAAAGCGGTGTCGCGTCAGCCTCCTTTTGAAAGGACGCAGCAAGTTGCCACATGACCGGCTTGGCCGGCTGGAGCAAAAGCAATCCAGGTTTCATGCTCTCGATCTGAAAATGAGCAACCGTTCTGTCTCTGCATTTCAGCTTAACCAAAGGGGTCAACGAAGTTGTGCACCCAACCATCAACAAAAGTTAGGACCAAAAAACGGAGCCCATCTGAGGGGTGATTTTGTGAGGAAGTGCTGCCCAACTTGCAAAGCCTTTGGCGCATCGGCGTGATCATGTGCTAGCCCTGACATGGTCACGGCTGAAATCGCCAGGTGGATAGGGCAAATCCAGGCTGGTCTTCTGGGAGATGCCGCTGAATCCACCGGAAGATGTTTATTGCAGTACCAAACGAAAGAGCACATTCCGACAGGACCAGCCTTCGAGGCAACCGCATGGCTGTCTATCTGGTCAAAAGAGTTGCGGTCCCAGCAATTGCCATGTTGAGGATTACCAGCTGCTTCAACCAATTTAATTACTGCCAAAGCATCTCACGGAGCTATATCTCGCTTTGGTTTAATGGCATATCTAATCCTATTGAAACAATTAGTGTCTTAGCAAAAAAACTTGAACAAGGATTTTCACTTCTCAGGAAAAAACCTGAAGACTCAAGGAGATAGTACTTGAGTAATTTAAGCGGGGACAAATCCATAATCATTACAACTTGAGAAATGCTAGGTCCATCTGATGAAATGTTTACTATTTTGTCCAAGGGTGTCGTCATGAAGGAATGATGTTTGAAAGGATATGATCATGAACGAATTATGTTTGGAAGAGCGTCATCATGGGAAAAAACGATGCTTGGAAGGGGCAAAGATGTTTGGACGGGTGTCATCACACAAAAAGATGTTTGGAAGGGTGTCGGCATGAACAAACGATGGTTGGAAGGATGTCATCATGGAAAAAGACGATGCTTGGAATGGTTCCCTTCAAAGCAACCCTCAAAGGGTTTGCCCTGACAGAGGCAACCCGCAAAACGTCTTTGCGCACGTAAAAGGCTGCATTCCCCGCACCCAATTGCCACACCCGCCCTTCCACCCAGCAAACAACCCGCCCAGACCCAACCTGCAACCAACCCAATTAACCCGACCAAGCAAACCACCCAAACCGACCAAGCCGCCAACCAAACCACCCAAAACCAAACCACTCGAGCCAACCAGACCAAACCAACCGAAGAATTTAGCTGGAAAATGATCCCGGAAACCAGAGTTACCACTATCGACAGCCAGTCGCTTTTGGTCCGCTCGGTCGCTTTGGGAAGGAGCCGCAAGAGATCGACACATGGAACGACAAAACACCACCACGGCGTCCTAAATTTTATGCACCAAGCTCGAGCACTGAGGTCTACGGGGGGACTTCCGGACTTCCTGGAGGCCATCAAAGTCCCTGCGAAGGCTGATTGCCGAGCCTCGCTCGGTTTTGATACTGGACGCGCCTTTTCCCGCTTCCAGAGAATCAGCCCTCCCAAACGCAGCTCCAAGGCCCCTAGCAAACCAAGCAACCCCAGCCCAAGCACCCCGAATCGCCCCAACCCAAATCGGCCTTAAGCCCCCCAGCCGTCCTCCAAAGACTGCCGGAAGCCTGAGCTCACTGTCTTCGCCTTCCGCCCCCGGCTGTTCTTCTCAGACTCCGCCTCCTCCATCACCTTCTTCCCGATCTCCTGTGGTTGGATCTCAGATCCTCACCGCAACTTGCCCCCAGCAGCAGAACTAACCACTTGCTGCTTAAGCTGCTAGTTGTTATGTGTCAAGCTATAGAGGCGCCTCAACATGAATAGACTCCAGAAGGCACCCCTGAGTGTGGTTCAAGCCGCTGCTGTTTGAACAGCTTCTCATGTGATCGCTTTCAGGGTGGACTCAGGTCTGTTGCTCAAGCCAACGCATGACAAAAAGGGCCTTGGCGTAGCTGGCCAGCAAGCTACTTAGTTCGGGGGATTCTCGTGAAAACCGGGTCTTGAAAAATCGGGTCTGGGAATTCGGGCCGGGAACTTGGCCCCATATATTTTCCTTGAGGGGTCCCCGGAAATCCCCGCGAAGGGGGAGCGACTTCGCATGCAATCCGCGAGCGATATCACCTTGATGTACAGTCTGTCTGTTCGCTTCGGCTTCTGTTCGATGGTTCCTCCTGCATTTGTTCTGTTGGGGCCTCTAGTTTCCACAGGACACGCTTCACAGGTGTCAAACTGTCCATCCATGAAAGCGCATGGAATAGGGAGAACCACGGGGAAGTCCCTGGGAAATCTCGTCAGGGAATTCCCTTCAGCATTTCTGACCACCTTCTCCAAAACATAAAGAATCCCCAAATATTGTAGAATCCTTTTTACGGGGGTCACTTCGGTTCTCACTTCTTTGTGGGCAGGTTGAAAATGACCCATAGGTTCTTGGAAGCAATGCTTCAGGCACATGCTCGGTTTGGAAGTTGGGGGAACTTTTCCCACGACAAGTTTCCGCTGTCGGACATATCACCTTTTTGCATCAGCTACAAGCAACACTTCTCCTTCCCAGAGCGTATCCTGTACGTATGCGGACGCGTAGGTGTGTTCACGTGAAGAGAAGACACAGAAGACTGACGCAAACGGCCGGCCTGGTGCGCAGGATCCCCAACATGCCAAAAAGGCACTCGCGGTGATCATTTCAGACACAAAGACACGCCATGACTCAAGGCACTAGCTGGTCTCTCACCGTACAGCCTGTTCCAAGTTGGGACACACTAGTTGCCATTGCTAGTCGCCGCAATACGTTTCTGAGCCGTGGCCATTATGATTTGCCCAATGGGCCACGCTCTGAGATGGCGCTAGTCCTATTCAGCGGTCGACATGAACATATCCCGAGGCAGAGGCGATTTGTGGCTTGTGCCGCCTTTCGGGCAGTCAATGAAATCTCGTCAGAAAATGTGCGCTCGGCAACAGAAAAGTGCAGAGACCCAAAATCGAGAAGTGCAAGAACATCAAAATCAAAGGCCCAAAGAAGGCGCCATGTTTTCGTCGCCCAAATGTTGCAGGGCGCAAAACGCTGCGGAAAATCGCATGGCTCTTGTTACGGATAAAACACCAGAAAATGGCGACGAGCGGCAATGTGAGGGAAAGGTCCCCCCTAAGAAAGCACCTTGCCCAGCCGCACCGACCGACAAGCAGCCTTTGCCTTGGGCACGCAACCGGAGAGCCCGCGGTGTGAAAAAGCGGGCGCTTTCCGTTGTGGCACTGAGCGGTTTGCAGGTGCAATTCTTGGGCAGCTTGAAGCACTTGGGCCTTGTCTTTTGGCATATTCTTGTTGGGACACCATTGAACGCTGCTGACGGAGCAGCGATGTCAGTGATGCCAGCGACGTTAGTGATGCCAGCGATGTTAGTGATGCCAGCGATGTTAGTGATGCCAGCAATGTTGGTGATGCGGGTGATGTTAGTGATGCTAGCGGCGCGTCACACAAGTGATGCAAGCGATGCCAGCGATGTTGGTATTGCCAGCAATGTGAGTAATACTAGCGCACAAGTGATGCAAGTGATGCAAGAGATGCCAGTGATGCTAGTGATGCTAGTGACCTGAGCCTCTAGCTGGAGTGAACAGGAATCAACAAACTGGCTTGCCTGTGTACAAATTCAAGCAATGCGAGCTTGTCGCCTCTTGAATTCGTTGCTCCATGTGTGTACATAGAGCAAACAACAGCCAAACCGGCCACGTGAACTGCATCACAACCATTTCAACACCCAAACACTGAGCTGCGACATGCAGTAAATTGGGATTCCTATGCGGCTACTCTGCCACTGTGGGGTGTCCTGCATGTTACAGAATATGGTGGCCAAAAGCTCGTTTCCTTCAGCGTCCTTGTGGAAACATGGATTGACTCTGGTAAAGGATGGGTTGCAGAGAGACACCATCATCATCATCATCATCATCATCATCATCATCGTCGTCGTCGTCGTCGTCGTCATCATCGTCATCGGCATCGGCATCGGCAATCATCCATCGATTTTCAGACAGACTGAAACCAGTTCAATACTCGGTTGCTTTCCGCTCCCCTGCTAGAAGCTTAACTTTTTGTGGTTTAATACGGAAAACCCATTAGTTGGGAAACAGTTCAAGTCCTAAGATCCAAACAGAATGCACCAAAGACTAGGCGCCGAAACGTCGGGTCAGCCTGCAGAACGGGCGAGGAGGAGGAGGCCAGCAGAGTCGCAGCCTCCTCAGGCAGCTTCGCCACGTTCTTCTCCAAGAATCCGGCCACCCCATAGGTCACCTATCGCACACAAGACGGGCAAGCCGAGAAAAACCAGGAAGGAACGGGGAAGGGACGGGTTTTGAGAAGAAATCTACATGTCGATTAGGAGGGAATTAACACAATCAACATGGCACCAACCGAAAGCAGGAGGAGTTCAAAGGGAGCAAACATAACACCATGGGGCTTGAAAGGATCTCTGGTTTCGACGCATAGCCACCTGCACGCGAGCATTGCGGCGCACCTAAAAATGCCAAGAAGACCCCTTTCTTGAGGCAAACCTCTTTGAGCCAGATGAAACACCCGGCTCAAACGGCGCGAAGTGGAAAAGGTGCGATCCGGACAAAAATGAAGGAAAAAAGTAAAAACTTGCCAAAACTCTAAACATCTGTTTCAGATATCGGAAGTCCACATGTTCAAGCAAATAGGAACGGAGGGGTCGCGAACGAAAGGCAGACACGTGTGAAGTTTCAGGGCAAGCAGAGAGAAAGAACGGCTCGTAGCTCACCTAAGAGAAAAGGGGGCGAAACTGCAAAGGAAAAACATGTCAGGCATCCGAACGTATGATCCCCAAAAAAAAGCTTTGCTCAAAAGGAGGCCCCCAAGTTACCTCTTTCAGGTTGGTGTCCTTGTTGATTCTGCTGCTTGTTCAGCGAGCGAGAGGTGTGTCAAAGGTTTTGCTCCTTGGCCCACTGCACATGATTATCTTGCCAATGTAATATTGCTAAACTCCTAAACCCATTGATACAGGGCCAGAGCTGCAAAAGCAATGCTTGCCAGGCGCACAAGTGAAATCTGTTCTAGTTCTACGGGACGAAGTTTGGGTTCTTGTCGCGGGTGCATCAGGGACTTCAAACCACTGTCTGTAAGCCTTGATGATGTCAAACTATGTCTTCTCTTCAACCAACTTCCTTCCTTCATTTCCGACCAAATCTCTTCCCCCCTTACCCCCCCTTGCCCCCATGTTCCCCTTGCCTCCCCGGCGAAGTGCTTGATGCCAAACTTCACGTCGCCCCCCATCTTGCTCTTCACCATCCGCGGATGGCTGCCGTGGGCCTTGGTCACTTTGGACGCAAAGGTCTGGTCCGTCGTCTTGGGGATCAGCGCCTCGTCGTCCAGGATCGACAAGATGCCCCCCTGGCGGCCAACAAGCGGCCGAAGAAGCGGCGGAACTCGCGAGCCTCGTTGGAAATACATCCGGTTTGCTCCCTGAGGGTTTCCGCCTTACCCCAGCATGGGAGTTGCCTCCAGTGTTCTTCCGGAGTTCCGTTTGTCAGCCTGAGGCCTTCACGCCATCCTTGCGCTTCTGCCATCCCCCCCCCCCGCCTTGGCGTTGATGAGGCTCACAATGTCGGTGTTGTCCTGGTACTTCACGTCCACCCCAACCGAGATGCCCTCCGCCTCGTACTCCTGAAGCTCCATGGTGAAGAAGTGCTCGTTGAAGTGCTTCTGCAAAATCTCGTTGCTGAGGTTGATGAACAGCCTCGCCGAAGGCTCGGGGCAAAAAAAGCCCACGCCTTCCGCGTATATATACATATATATATATATACACATATATATATATATATACATATATATAATATATATATATATACACATGTGATGAGGTGTGATGCCACGCTTTCCGAAAAAACATGCCGGCAATAGCACAGAACCCCGAGGCTGCATTGCTTGCTTCGCTCACATGCAGTGGACGAGGGGGACGTCTTGTGACGGAACGACCAAAATTTTGTCCAAGCTGAGGACTCAAAGAGATCCGGAAAGAGATCGCACCTGTCAAAAGCATGAAGCAACAAACTCCCGCGGGTCCTTCCTTTCTTGTGTCCCATTCCCCAAGTCCTGTGGCTTCTTGGCTTAGGGACCCGGATCGCAAGGATCGCAAGGTGATCAAAAGACCGGAGGGGGGCCAAAAAAAGCCTCGGTGGCCGTGGAAAGAAGCCTTTCATGAACAAAAGCGAAAAACAAAGCCAACGAAACAAAACCACCGAACCAAACTAAGCGATCAAGCAAGACAGACAACCAACCAACCAACTAACCAACCAACTAACCAACCAAACAAACAAACAAAGACACAAACAAACAAACAAACAAACAAACAAACAAACAAACAAACAAACAAACAAACAAACAAACAAACAAACACACAAACAAACAAACAAACAAACAAACAAACAAACAAACCATGGCTACAACCGACAAAAGCCACGGTTTGTTTGTTCCGTCTCCGTTCAGTGGGCTAGTTCAGAGATTTACGAACCACTTGAGGCAGAATCTACTCGTTGAATCCGTGCCCGCAAAGGGCAGAAGGGCCATATCCCTGGGTTTAGTGGGGAATGATCAATGTTGGAGGGGCCCACATAATCCTATGAAAAAATTGGGGTTGATGAATCATGTCGACCCCATATTAATCAACCCCAGTTTATTAATATGGGGGTGTTCCCCTCCAAAAGTGGTCTGATTCCCCGTATTTCACCCAGGCACACCCCCCCTATCAAAAACTGGGGGTGGATGAATATGGGGTCAACATTACTCCGAGTCAACACAAGATCAGCGAGCAAACGCTTTCTTGCTGGTGCTCGGCAGGGAATGAGGAAATGACCGCTTTAAACCATCCAACTGGTGGTTTCCTTTATTCAAGAATCCCCAATTGGTAAATGAAAAGGGCTAAGAATCCTGCGGTCCAATTCCTGGTTTAGTTGAGAATGTGGGAATGAGTCGTTTGGGGATTCGCGAAGAAAGGAACCCACCAGTTGGATATCTCAGGTTCATTCCGTTTCTCATTCCCATCTCTCGAATCCGATGGCTTGAGCTCTCGAGTGTTTTTCTCTCGGCCGGAGGCGCTGCTCGAGGCTGTTGTGCTCAAAGCTCTCGAAGCCTGCGATGTCCAAGACACCGAAGAAGACCTCCGTCGGTCGCACACGGGAAGCCACCGGCCGGCTGGAAGTGTTGGGCTCAGAATGGGCGCCGCGCTCGTCAATTTTGGTAAAGGAACCCCCGAAGTTTTTGGAGGGGTTCCTGGTGGTGTGCCTTTCACACAACCAAACAAGGGTATCCTCCAAAAAGGACACGCCAAGATAAAGTTGGAAGATGGTGGAATTCACAGAGTCCGCTTGGAAGCCTACGCGCTGGCGCGAGCTCTCTGCCCGCAACATCGACGTTGAACTCTAACACCTCGTTTGGTTCTGGTCTTGCTTGCTCAGGAAGAAACCGGCCAACTGGTCAAAGGGCAACCGGCTCAAACGGCAGGTCCAAGTGCGACTACATCTTCTTGATCCCTGCGGAGCCAGGAGCCAACTGGACAAACATGGAAACTGGACATCTGGCTGCGTGTCAAACCCAGGGACCCCTTTGGGGATGGTTTTGGAAGGGAACCAACATGACACCGACCATTTGGAGGTGCCCGGAGTTTTTCACACACCTGCCTCCCTAACACACTGCCCCAAGCAAGCGCCGACTGCCTTCCTTTTCGACTCACACTGAGCGCACTCCGCGCCTCGCTGGTGGCGTTCTGCAAGAGCCTCGAGTTCAACTTCTCGATGAGCCACTTGAAGGTCCGGCCGTACAGCATCCTGCCGTCTCCGGGTCTCGCCCGCAAACTTTTGGGACCGAAGTAGGGCCGAATCTGCATCATCCACCTGCCCCAGGTAAACTCTTACAAGAGGCTTTGCCCTGGTTGCCAGCCCAAGAAACAGTTCCCCGAGATATAAAGTTCCCATGCAGACATGCGCACTGTCGCCAGCCGCGCTGCCAAACACACGTGGCGCTTGCTTCAGAGGAGGACAAGAAAGTGTTGCTGTCACAAATAGTGACAACACGGATGCAGTCCAGCGATTGCCAAAGGTTATGATGTTACAGTCGACAGCGCGAGAGATTCGCCGACCCTTCATACGACACCAGGTCCCCTGCAAAGCCGCCAAAGACACAGGCAACAAGCAGGTGGGCCTACACAAAAACACCTAGAATGCGCTGTGACACTTCTGGCCTTACCTGTTTGTCTGCCTCTTCATCAGTTTAGTGGGCTTAAACCGAAGGCAACCTATGTTGACAGTTGTTGGATCAGTGAGGTCCGTGAACCTATGAGAGCCACGATCAATATCCCTTGCGCACCCAAGGTGGCATTGAGGCTCCTAAACCCCATCTCCAATCATATTTGGCAACCGGGTGCCACTCAATTTGTAGGGAACACGGCGCTGGTTGATTGGGCAAGGCCTCTGCTGTGTGACCAAAAGGGGAAACCTGTTGCATAGGACAAATGTTTAGTGCACCCTCCCGAAGTTGGAACTTCAATGCTCTGGAAAATGATGTTCCGTTCCTGTTGTCTCAGAGTCCATCGATGGTTCTTTATTTTCTTTCTTTCATATCCTTTCCTTTGATTTCTTTGCTTTCTTTCTTTACTTTCCTTTCCTTTGCTTTCCTGTCCTTTCCTGTCGTTTCCTTTCCTTGCTTTCCTTTGTCCCCTTTCCTTTCCGCCTTTTCTTGTTTTCCCTTTGCCCATGTCCTGGCGAAGGTGTCCCTCGTTGCCTTTGCCTGCAGGCACAAAAAGACAAGGCAGAAGGCGGGACTTCTTGACGGAGCGCCAAGATTCCAAAAAGGGCATAGCTCATAAAGCTGCACATGGCCATGGGTCAAAATCCAAATCGTACCCCCAGCAAACATCCCAATCCCCACTAAAATAGGCTCTAAAATGGGTGGTGCACCTACCCCAAAATGGTACCATTGGTTTTGACCCACGGCCATATGGGCATGTCAGAGGCGGGGAACCATAAAAGACGTGCTTTCATCTTGGTGTCCATCGAAACACGCCAAAGCGAGACCTCAACAGGCATGTTCAAGTGCGCCAGCACGCGCCAATTCCCTCAAAACTTCAATCTTGAGGCCAACTCAAGCTGTCAGCGCAAAATACAACCCCCCCCCCCCCCACAGCCACTGACACCCACCTTCAGAAGCCAAGACCGCAAAAGAAAAGAACACAGAGCCTCGGCTGCGGAAAGCATTCGTGAAGTCCAGTGGAGCACGGTAAACATCCAAACCGTAGCATCGCCAACTCACCTTCTGAATGGGCTTGCTCTCTATGCCAGAATCAGACCTGATGGTTCTCTGGTAGCTCCCCCCACCCACTCCCCACTCCCCCCACCTCCCCCCCCACCTCCCCACCTCCTCCCACCCCCCCCCAACTCCCCCCACTCCCATCCCCCCCCCCCCAAACTGCAACTCCCCCCCCCCTCCAAACCCGCCCCCGGCATCGCCGAAGCGGCGCCTGCGCGGTGCTCCGCTTGGACTCCACCACCTCCGGGCCCACCTTCCGCCGCTGCCTTGCAGGTTTTAGCAGGAAGCGAAGCCAGGCTTTAGGGGCTGGTTTATCCGTTTTGGTGTGGATGGGTGGTGTTGGATGGGTAGTTTTAGGGGTTTGGATGGGTGGTTTTAGGGGTTTGGATGGGTGGTGGGTGGTTGGCTGGATGGTTTTAGGGGTTTGGATGGGTGGTTTTAGGGATTACCTCCTATCAGCTTCCCAAGTGTTTTGGGTGGTTTAGCCCGATTTGCTGGTTGGGGGGTGGGGGTGTTTCCATCTACCCTCTGCAAGAAGCAGGGGTTGAAATCAACCAATCCAAACCACCAACTAAGGGTTACCGAAGGGAATGCGAATGGGTGTTTAAACAAAAAGAGAGAAAAGGGCATGGGTCAAAATGGAATGACCCCGAGATATCCAACTGGTGGCGTCCTTTATTCGGGAATCCCCAAACGATTCATTCCCACATTCTCAACTAAACCAGGAATTGGACCGCAGGATTCTTAGCCCTTTTCATTTACCGATTGGGTTTTGGGGTTACCCTATGTTTGACCCACACCCACGAAGGGTGAAGTGTGGCGGAAAAAACAAACCCCACGCCTCTCGCCGCTTGTGATTCGAAAGCCTTGCGCGTTTTTGTATCGGCGGGAGCGCTCGCTGCTGTTGCCCTGCTAGAAAAGAAATGAAGCACATGGCGGCTTGGAAATTGAACTCTGCGGCTGTGGCTTTTTTGAGGCGTATCCTTTCAAAGCTTGATTTTGAGGCGTATGTTTCTTCTGGCGCTGTCTCAAACACCACGGTGCCTGAGCAACATGCTGCTCAGCGCATCAGGGGCGATGGCCAGCATCTGCGCAGCCTTGGCCACCTCAGGTTCCGGGCATGCGACGCTTCCAAGGACCCAGAAGCAAAAGGACCCACCAACTGTCTACCCTGGTTTCGTTGTTTTGAGGTTGACCCTGCTTTACGGCCCGGAAACGTCGACGTGTCTTCACTTAACCTTCCGCCGAGAAAAGCGCGCTGTCCAAGGTGGTTCGAGTCCCAAAGATGTTGGTCATGGTTGGCGTCAACAGGGGTCACCATGTCTACACAACTCAAACACAAGGGGAAATACGCGCATGTGTTGCTTCTCTGCCCCCAACAGCGGTACGGGCCCCCACACAAATTACTTGGTGTGGAGACATTGATTGTCACGCCAACCACGGACGTCTGAGCACATGCTAAAGGGGCCGTCCGAGCCAGCGCGTCCTGAACCCCCGAATTTGGGCTTGGAAGTTCGCCAAGTTGCATAACATGGCGATGAGAAGTGAGCATGGCCGCCTACCCCCAACTCACTGGAAGAACTGTGGAGAAAAAAGAACGTCTCCCGCCCCCATGGTTTTCTCGGTGGCTCATGAAACTCAATATGGAACCTGAAATGAACTCCAATCCGTGTCCACCCTTGTTTCTCAAGGGTCTAGCTCAAAAACTTTCGGCTGGGTATAGCGGAGATAACCTGATCATAGTGTCCACTCCACCTGCAACTTGTTCCAGCGTGTTTTCACATCGAAGTGGTTAGTCGACACTTGATGTCGTTTCAGGCACCCCTTCCCACCACCTGCAGTGAGTGCTGATCCCTGCTCGGAACAACAGACCTGTTACATGCAGCGTTCACGAGGCTGGGGCTGGCGTCCTTTCCGGTTTCCCATCCAAAAGGGCCCTAATTTGGGGAGCAAAGGTGTATCCCAGCAGTGAGGCCTGCCCTTTTTGATTGTTGCTTGTGAAAGCCGAGGTAAACTGAGGCAACCTCAGGTAGACCCAACTTACCTCCAGGCGCGCTCCTAGCTGAAGCCGAAGCCTTCTCCCGGGGCCCCGGCGACGTCGGGGGAACTCTTCAGCTCCGCCTCCTCCCCCTGGAACTCTAGGTTCCCCAGCTCCAGGATCGCCACCACCACCTGGAAGATGTCCTTCCTAAGGCTGCCGCTCGCTTTGATCCTCCCGGGGAAATGAGCCGCGGGGAAAAAATACGAGTTGGACCAACCAGCCCGTGGTCGTTCGACGAATCAATGCGAGTCTGAGAATATTCACAGCATGCTCAGGTCTTACCACTTGTCCCTGATGCCAAGAACGGAGAAAACTGAACTGGCAATTGCACAAAAAACAGATTCCAAAATTGCCACTATCACTGGAAAACGTCAAAAAAGGCGTCAAAAAAAGGAACATGCAAGTTGGAGACATCTTGTGCCCATGAGGGGGTACTGCCACCTCCCCCCTTTGTGGGCCCATTTGCTCTTTTTGACCCTGGGAGCTCATGCCTCTCCAACCACCAAGTGGACACGTGGTGCATCAATTCGCATGCACTTGATGAATGACACGAGGCATCGCGAGCCAGCCCTGTCTTTGTGGACATGGTTCCAATCTGGGTTGCCTACCTTTGCAACACTTGTGGCTGTGTGTGTGTGCTTGCTTCGCAGGTGGCCTGACCTAGTCTTGGGTTGGTTGTTTGCCTTCTCTTTTTGGGGTTCCCCCACTCCTCCCCCCCCCCACCGCCCCGTCCCCCACCCGGCCGGTCTTTTGGTCTCCTTCTTGGCCTACGGTAAACCTTGCTGGTTGGGCTGGTTCGCCGTGTTTTCTCACCCGTGAGAAACACCTCGCTGTAAGGAACATATGGGGCTCGATCACCTTCAACGGGTGATGAGACGAACGTGTATGGTTGAGGGGCGGGAGCCAAGCTTCCCTTCTGGCCGTCCCCCTTTTTTGGTTAAGAGAATGGATCTCCATATTTTCGCGGCGTCCCTCGATTTCCCTGCAAGGGTGTCAAATGCCAAACTGTCATGAAATCGATTGAAATCGGATCCGCTTGTACATGCAGGTAGTGCAGACTGTTGAGGGCATGAAAAACTGAGTAACTGGCACGTCCCCCCACTAACCGACAGCCCAAAAAAAGTGGGGGATGGGCCGTTGCAGCAGTGCAAGATTTGATCCATTCCTTCCAAGTGGAACCACTGCGTGGATGTTTGGTCACCACTGCAACCAACCCCTTCAGTCAAGACAAACAAATGGTTGCCAAGCTTCTTCCGGGATTTGCCAGCAAGGAAATGGCTGTGGGCCCAAGAACAATTCCTGGTTTCATTTTGAGCCATAAATCAGAAAAAGAAAAAAAGTCGGCCCTGCTTAAAGGGGCATTGTCATTGTACTTAAGTGGGCAATAACCATGGCTATCACCATGGTACGAGGAACAAAGAAGTCGCAACCTGGCAACCCCCCCCCCCACCGCCGTATCCCCTTTACGTATCCCCCTATCCCTCCGGCAAAAATAAATACGTCCAGTAGTGACTTCGATTCCCTTTGAAACCAAACAGGGGAAGAACAAAAAAATCAAACTATGAAACCCTGCTTGGTTCTCCCCTATCCCCTATTTCCTGTTTTTATCCCTCCCCTTACAGGGGGTAGGGGAACCCCCGAGATGGAAGCTCTCCCCTCTCCGGTTCGCTTCCCCGCGAAGTCCGACGGGCCGACGTTGCGGCTGGGCGCTGGACCTCCGGCTCGAAGTCCAGGGCCCTGAAGGCCTCTTTCAGCTCCAGGAAGCACCGCGCGTCGTCGATGCCCGGGGCCTGGACTTGGCTGCCCGCGATGTAGCCTGGGGGCTGGTGGGCTGGGGGGCTGGGGCAGTGGTGCGGGAGTGGGGGCGGGGGGGGCTGGGGTGGAGGTGCAGATCACCTTTGAGCCGACCTTCGAGCAAGGGAAGCCTCCATGGTTCTTTGATTCCCAACCGGTGCTAGAGTTGGAGCTCGTTCGTTTCAGTCAGCTCAGGGTCCTCCGATTTGACGTCTGCAGACCCAGCCCACCGCTTCTCGCTTTGGGCCCGCGCTGTAGTCCTTGGGCGCTCGGATGGCCAGGTCCTTGAGATCCTCCTCCGACCGCGCCTGTGAGCGAGCGTGGGGGAAGGGGGGAGGAGGAGGAACCAAAATGCAGAGTGGATTTTGTTGGGACTTGCAAAGGAACCTTGAAAAACCACCTGCTGGGGGGGGGGGGGGGGTGGAAAAAGGGACACTGGCCTGAAGGAGCTGGAAGAAGATGTGGTAGTTCCGCTCCTCGCTCCAGGCGAACTGCACACTGGCCAGGCAAACGTTTCTGCTCGATTACAACCCTTTCCCCCTAGCATCCTTCAGGAAAAGACCTAGTGGGGTGTGCGCGTTCAATTTTGGACCCGGGAAGCCCCTGTTGTTATGACATATTTAAAGCGGGGTGATAATTGACCGTCCCACGCCTGCCACACAAAACGCACTTGTGAATTCGATCCGCGGCTGACCCGACAGTGTCTTTTCAAAGCAGCCACAAACGTTTGCCTGAAGTATTGTGGCCATGGCTCATAAGGTCATAACCTTTGCCGATCCCATTTTTGGGGCGGAACACCCATGTACCACCGATTGTTTGATGTTCACCAGGGGTTTCCTGGGTTCTGACCTTTCTGGGACTCGGCCCCGCCCTTTGGCCGAAAGACTGCGGCGAGCAGACGCGACAGGCAGACGCTCCTTGTCGCCTCGGCTGCACACCCGCGTCACTTCCAGGAGGTAGTCCTCACCATCGCAGGCTTGGGCCAACCGCTGAGTTTTTGTCTGACGACTGTTGCTTCAACCCATTCTCGGTGGCTTTCTCGCTCCCCTGCTAAAAGTGACTAACTTTTACTGGCTTAATATGGAAAACCCGTTAGCTGGCAAAAAAAGTTAAAGTCCCAACGTCCAAGCAAAATGCACCAATGTTCATCGAACTTGTTGCGACGAATGAATCAAGGCTGCAACAGGGCGAAACAGAACGACTGCTGCGTTCACTCCAAATCGGTCCAACGTCAGTCTGCCCGAATCCAGGAATAAAACAAAATCCCTGGTTTGGACCGTGTTCCTTGCTACCAACAAGCCTTGAGTCTGAAGTTCACCAACCTTTGCATTGAAGACTTGTTGGTGCTCCCTTGTGGTTTCCTTTAAGGGGACCAATTCCTGGCTTCATTCCATTTCACATTCCCTATCGCACCAGCAAGAGGCCTTGATCTCACTTGTGGCTCTGGCTTTGGCTTCGGCATCCGGCCCCCCTCACAGTTCAGCAAGCGCGTCGGTCACCGAACAGCCCTCGATGGTGTGCTTGCCGGAGATCATCATCTGTGTCCATTTGCCGAAGCCTGAAGTTGCTAAGCCGAGTGAGTCACAATCAAAACCCGGTACAGAAATAGTCGACCCAGAACCGCGTAAAGACTAAGAAGGCGGTCGCAGCTATTTCTGGCTGGGATCGTCCCGTACTAACCTTCAACTACCCGGGTTTTGATTGTGGCTCAAGTGCGCATAGCTTCGTCTCGGTGATCCGGCTCTAAACCTCCAAACCAGGCAGCCTTTACCATCCCTTGAGTTTGCGCTATCTTCCATGCTAGGAGGGGTTGTACAGCCCTCTCATAGATCTAGATCAACCTTAGCCAAGGGTTAAGCATTCCAAGCCAACCGATGCTGGTCCCGATGAAATCGCCTTAAAGACGTGTCCTTCGCGGTGCCCCTTGCAACAATTGCGGCACGCGGTCAATGAAAAGTGGCGAGGTCTGCTGGCGCCCGTCTTGCTGGTGTAGAGCAACATGGACATGCGAAAAGGAAAAACAGTCACTTGCCTTCGAAGCCATGTCCACGCGTGGCAAAAGGAACACATGCACAGCCACTTGAAGTCCCCTGAGAAGTGGGGGCTCAAAGCGCAAAAATAATGATTCGAAGCTGCCATGCTGGTACTATACCTTCCTTGCCCAGGTGCGAGATGAGTTATTGTTCCGGACAGTCATGGCGTTGCCAAAAGCTTCCAAAATCGGATTGGTCTGAATGATCTTGTCCTCGCTTGCAGCTGGAGTCAACGCATTGGAGTCAAAAGGAGGCCACTCTGCAGCTTGCATGGATGCGTTGTACCCTGTGCTTCGGCCTGAATACAATACGCCTGGAGCAACTGCCTCACTAAAGTATGCAGTGCTACCGTCTGCTCTGAAACAGCAACAACACACCTTTACAACCAGGAACTTAAACATGGAAGTAAACTCAAAGAGTGCAAAACAGGTCGTAGATATTTTTGTTTAAAAAGAGAGAGAGAGAGAGAGAAAGAACGACACACGTGTAAATACGATGTCCAAAGGTCAAGTCGGACCTGTCACGGAACAGCCTGGGCAGTTGGCCTTTCTCGCTGGGATGCTCAACGCTTTGAAGTGAAGCGCACACCGTGAAAGGGTCGCCCTTGAACAAGGGTGGAGATAATGCATTCGGCGCCGGCCGTCCCCAGAAGTCAAGATGAGGTCCAAGGCTGCAAAAGAGGATATGGGGGCCCAGAGCGGACCAACTGACCAACAGCTATGTTGCAACAGTCTCCCTAGAGAGGCTGCACGACTGGCTGAGCAACCCTGTCCTGGATGCTGGCCTTCCCCTGTTCCATCTCCGTCACCTCAACCATATCATGGGGATATTCGAATGTCCGAGGCAAATGCACCGCCGGCCTCTCCAGACCCAGATCCTACTCTTGGCAGAGGCAGGTTTGGTGTGCAAAAACATATGAAGTAGCACTTACTTGGGGCACATACCGAAATCGGTCAGACCCTCCTGGTCTGCCAGCATTCTGCTAGCCCCGCACTTCTTGCTCACGTTGAAGCACACAAGAGATGAAATTGGCTGGCCCAAAGGCGTTTCTGTCAGGCACACTCCTCAAAATTTGGGGACGGAGAGAAGTGGGGGGCCTGACCAGGTGGGTCTCTCCACATGTCTCAACAACTCTTCTCCAACCAGGCCGTGTGTTTTTTGTTGGTTGTTGTTGTTTTTTGGTCTTATTGTTTTTGTTTTTCTCTGTTTTTCCCTTCCCGAGAAGGGAGGCCATCTGGTTGAACCATCATTTGCCCAGGCACCAGGTACCGGCTCTTCCTGCGCTCCGTCATGTTCTTCTCCGCACTGATGGAGTATCCTAAGAGTTCGCCCGTCTGGCTTCGACTGGAAAAGTGGCTGAAACCCAAGCTCAAGCCAGGAGGGCCCTATGGGGTTAGAATGAGAAGTGCCATTGGGCTTCTGAAAATGAAGATTTTTCCGGAGCAAAGGGTAAAGCCGTACGCATGCCATTAGGCCTATGTCTAATCAAAGCCACCCGGCCAGGGGCAAAGAGCCCCGCCCGGTCACAGGCTGTTAAGGCCTTACTGAGCTGAAACGATGGAAGAAAAGCGCTCGCCCTTTGGGCAAACGCTGGCCGTCAAGAAAGCAGCAAAGACGAGCATGTTTTATACGTTCCAGCCTACCATCAAATAGATAATGTTACAATTGTAGATGCACACACAACTTGGCTCCTATTCCATGAAGGATCCCTGTTTGGATGACTTGAGAGAGAATCCAAGGCTGCTAACTATTCTCAAGCAACCCTGCTGTTGGCACCCAGTCATACAGCAAGTTACTAGCCATCCGCACTTGACGCCACTTTTAGGCTTACGCTCGGCGAGCCAAGTTCCGCCTCCCTTTGCGCTGCCAAACACCCGATCATCACTCGTTGTTTTTTTTGGGACTCCCTTCCTTTCTGCGCGAGTCATATCAGACAAGAGGAGGTACCAGGAGATCTTAGAAAGAATCCTTCAAAACTCAGAGCTCCCAAGGTTTGACATGTGATTTGGGCTCCCAGCTAAGACAACCAAAACAACACTAAAAACAATCGTCAAAGAATTGAACAGAGTTTGATTGCAGACTGTTGTGTTCTGCCACGGTCAAGGTCAAAAGTTAAGATCCGGCATCATCCAGTGCCGAAAACTTGTCGTCATGGTGGGACCAGCAACACCTGCGCCTTCGTTGAAAAGCAAAAACTGGGCCTGAATCAACCAAGTCGGTTTCCCTTTGGCTTGCAAATAAGGGACGAACCAGAAACAAAACGTTCTCCCCAGACATGAGACCCATGTGCTAGTCGCTCGCAAGCCGAGTCTCTAGTGCTGGCCCTGCGCCAGCTATGCCTGGAACTGCCCAGCGCCTCGGAGATGTAGGACATCACCTGGGCCCGGACCAGGTTTGACATGTTGATGTATATGTATATGTCTGTGTCTGTGTATATATATAATATATATATATATATACATGCACATGCCTCCGAGGTGGGTTAGGGGGGGTTGGGGTAGGGGGGTAGCATATAATATGGCAGGCGTGTGGGTGCATATACATAGTTTATATATGCGCAGACTAAAGCAGGGCGACCGCAAACGGGGAAACTAGCACGTTTCGGCCTAACTCTGAATCGCCATTCTGACGCCACATTCCGGAGACATGTGGCGCCGCATCCTGACGCCACATTTTCTAAGGGTGAAGATGCCCAGAGCAAGTGGCTTCGTGGGAACCCTTTTTCCAAGCACCTGTACCGCAGAATCTCCCTGAAATTCGGGTCCCTGGACAAAGGCCAAACTTGACGATCGTGCAGAAACCCTTTGTTGCAATTCCTTGATTGTCCTTTTTAGTGAAGATTCTAGTATTCTAGTGAATTCGGGTGAATCCGCCCTGTGATGTTGAGCCGTCAGATCTCCGCATGGAAGAACCATGTGAAGAATCCATTCTTTATGTTCTGCTTGTCAAATCTCGTGCGAGGAAGCCAGGAGGTTCCCTTAATGCGGGAAGCTCACTCGGCTGATGACCGTCCAGAACGACCAAGAACCCTCCTCATTTGGCAGCCTTCTCTTGAGGTACCAAGAGCCATGCTTTCGCACAACTGCCACGGTCAAACTCTCCTCGTAAGTGAGGATATCATGGTTCCGCTGAAAAGTGAATAAGCATCGCCAATGTGCGGACCAAGCCTGTACCATCTCTTACAAGGGGGGTTTATTCGCCGTGGCCACTTCAGCACCAAATGCTCGGTTCACAAATTCGGTGTCCTGTCATGGTGGCCGCAACCCGTCTGAAAGGCCGAGGGGCCAACTTGGCAGACTCCGTCTTGCCAGCGCCAGATTCTCCGCTGATGAGCACAACCTCGCACCCACGGCCCGAAAAAAAAGGGGACGGGCGGTTGCAGGTTGCATCCAAATCCCTGGTGTAGGCATCCAAATGTCACTGGCTGTTTGATTGAAGGCCGTGGGACGGGAAGCACATTCGACGCATTCCTGGCTGTGTCTTTCGCACAGCGTGAGCATCTTGGGCGACTCGACGACACCGTGCGATTCTTCACTCTGGCATTGCCGATGCACTGGAAAGCAGCTACTTGGATCACAAACAAGTGGCGGCCCTGTGGGTCACCCAAACGAAACTCTTCTCCCTTCCAAACCGCAACCATCCACAAGGAGTATGCACACTTGGTAGAACTGCAATGTACCCACCCCTTTCAATGCCCTATTTTCAAAGATCGAGCTTCCCAACCTCCAAAACGTCGATCCAACCCCCGCCTGGCTCCTGCGGTTCTGCTGCAGGCCCTGGTCCGCATGCCGGCCCAGGGCGTAGATATGGGGCGGCAGGTCCATGACGCTCTGAGCCCCGAGGTATTCCTGCAACTTCTCCTTGGAGTACACGTCCAGCTCCTGCCGAGTCCCATCGCATCGCAAAGACGTTGGTTTAAAGAACCGAAAATTCGGTCCCCCCCCCCCCCCCGTTTTCCAGGCCTTCAAGGATGAAACATCTCTTTGAAGGTTTAAACAGGTTGCCATCCCTCGCAATTCACCGGCAAACACAAGCAGGACCGCACGCAAAACGGGGGAAAACACGCAAAAAAACTCCCCGTGTAGAAGGACTCTACCAGAGAAAACCACCAGGGAACACGGTGCCGCTCCTTGGACCCGTTTTCTCCCCGATCTAAGCACCGAATCAACTTCGGCGGATAGGGCTCTGGTTCTGGTGCAGGTGTGAGTGCACATGAACCACGTGTGCGTTTTGTGGAGAGCAAACGTGAGTTCCAGCTGGGGGAAACTACAAAAGAACTCCAACCTGTTCTGCCAAATGGGAGTTTGTGCAAGTAGGGCCTCGAAAACTCCATGCTGCACTTCAAGCACTCCAAGACTCCTCTGTGAGGCTGTTCTGTCTACGCAGAAGCAAGCCCAAAACAAATGCATTTGGAGTGCCGAGCTGACGTCTTGACATACATGCTTGTATGACGTGTCACATACTTCGAAGACACATCGCAGCAACGCCAACCTGTTGCCCTTTCAGTTTCCCTCCTTTCACCAATGTGCCCTACTCATGTGTATCTTCTTGAGCCAATACTGTCACACACAAACACACACACACACACACACACACACACACACACACACACACACACACACACACACACACCAGCCCCCCACTCCCCACCCCCCACCCCCCACCCACCCCCGATCTCTGCACGGAACCTTGAATGGGTTCACCGCGATCAGCATCTTGGACACAAACGTATAGATGTCCGAGCGCCGGTATCTCGTGCGCACGGTGTGCAGCACCGCGGCATTGTCCACCACCACCTCGGAGTGACTGCGCCCAGAGTACCGCCTTTTTCCCCATTTTTCCAGCTTAAAAAAAATGGACCCCAAAGATGAAAAAGGGCGCCTGCAAAGAAAATCCCTTTTGCCTCCCGGCCCAGATGGCAAGCGCTGGACCGGCCTCATCCCTTCCCGAAACGAACGAACGCTCTGAGCTGGATCCCCAAGCTCCGGGGATCCAACTGCCGGAGCCCATTCCTGAAGGCTGGAACTGGGACCCCAGCATTTTTTATTTGTTTTTGTTGCCCGGTTGGTGGAAAACCAAGGGGGCCCGAAAAAAGCGGGAAAAAAAAAGCAAAAAAAAGGGGGAGCCAATTCTGGGGAAGAAGGAACACCCGTCTGGCCGTGGAACAAGTTCATGCCAACAAGAAAACTTGAGCCTGGCAGCTGACCAGTCACAAGATGCGCCTCAAATCACCATCTCTACATCGGCCGGTACACTGGATGTGGAAAGATTGTTCTTCAGGGCCGACAGAACGAAAGCACGGCAAGCAGCCTCAAGCATCAGCAACAGCAATAGCAACATCAACGACAACGGTGTGCAAACAGCTTGTGGATCAAAACAAGCGCACAATTGATACGTGCAAGACCCCTGATAGAATCGTTCGCCCGTCAGACTTCAAGGCTGTTTGCCAACTTCCCTTTACCACAGCTGGGGCAAACAGACACTATTAGGGCAAATCCATGCAAATCCCAGAATCCATGCTCCCCAAGCCTGGACAACTGAAGGTGTCGAGCAATCTCGGCACTGAGCCTTTCCTCTTTTTGTGGTGTCTTCGGCTGTCTGCCCATTTCCCTCCCCCGTTGACGCTCATTGCGTGCCAGGCGCCAGCTCGCAAACATTGCCCGCCCCCTGCAGCTGCGCTTCGTGCACCTTTGGCAGCGACGCCAGCGGCTGGTTGGCAGCAGTTGGCACTGCGCGGCCGGTGTCCAACTCCAAGAAGCGGACCTGGCAGTGGGTCAAAAATAGGTACCCCAAAATGGCTTGCCCTGGTGAATGGAACCAAGGACTAAAACCTGCGGTCCCCTGGTGGTTTCATTTTGACCCGTACCCACCTGACGATCCGAGGATCCGATGGCAGAGAAGCAGAACTGCTGCGTGTGGTCTTCTCTTTTTTTTCCCCAAGAGCACCACTCCAAAGAGGCAGTGGTGGAGGGAAGGGGCAAAGGGAGGAGGCGGTGTAGAGGGTAACAGTGGGGTTGCCGAATGCGCACCGTTGAACATCGCCCTGTCAAGAACAGCGGCATCTTCTTGAGTCTGACCTGACAAAGGGGAGCAAAAGTGGACTCTGTGCCAAGATGAACCGCAAACTGGGCCAGAGAATGACATTCTGCACGTGGCCGCGCTGCAAAACGTGTGAAGGGCAGCCCGGCAGAGACGCACGCGAATCTGCCACTAGGTCCGAGAAGATGAATTGATCCAGAAAATGTCCGACGTTCAAAGGGATTTCCCACCAAAACGCCTGGCCCCTGGAAACGAGCTTTCGCATTGGATTCAGACCAACGCTTGCAGCACCAGAAATTAGGTTCCATTGCTGGACTCAACGACTCCCTTGGCCTCGCAGTGCTTGCCCCATTTTTTTTGGAGTCGCGAAAGAGGCATCCTGTTCCATGCCCCCGATTTGATTTGGCTTGGGGTCGCTCGGAGTAACCAAACCCCAAGCCGCAGGTGCAGGAATGCTGGGGGGAAGCTGAAAGTTGAAGTTGGGTGCGGGTCGACTTGGGATATGGCTGTGGGTCAAAACGAATGGCGCCATTTTGGGATAGGTGCACCACCCATTTTAGTCCATTTTAGTGGGGATTGGGATGTTCACTAGGGGTACGGGGTTTTGACCCATAGCCATATGTTTTTGTTTTCTATCGTCGACCCCGAATTGACAAACCCGTCCTATTGATACGGGGGTGTCCTCGGGTTTAGTGAAAACTCATCACTAAGGGGCACACCCCCCGATGAATTATCCGCGGTCAACATCATGGAGACACGACGATTTGGAACCTGCCCGTTCCACAAAGGAAACCACCCTCCTTGCAACTGGGGGGGATAGGAATGCACTCGGTGTCGATCGACGCTCTCCGAGCAGCCCTGGAGCATTCGCCAAATCCCCGCACCTGGTCCCCGTCTGCTTCGCAGGTGCAGGGCACGAAAACTTCCTGAGGGTGTGACACCCAGTAGCGCTCCATGGCGTCTTTTTCTAAGGAAAGTCACCCATCTGCTCGGGGGACACGGCAAGTCTGAAATCTACATGCAGTGAGTTCAAACCCATGTTGCTCCCAAACCGGCATTGCTTCTTGCCAGGGTTTCTTGGCTCGAGGTGCGTGGCGAGTTGCCAAGTATCAGGGCCGAGTTACACGAGCAATGGCTACGGCTCCATTCACATTGGCTCGAGGTCGACAAATTTCATGTGCTTTTCACGTGCCCTGCCTGGAGCCCGAAATGGCCGCAGCAAATTGCAAAGCAAACCGCTCGTGGCTTGCAGTCACCTAAAAGTTGATCTTCGGGTTGGTTCACAAGGTGACAATGACAAACGGAGGGTCGATCCGGTTTCTTCCCGTTGCCGGAGTCCGATGTGCCCAAAAGTCGCTCAGGGAGACTAAAAAGGAGCACTGAACCACCCTGAAAACAGCTCCAAGCACTGGAGCACCACGATATCACGATGTTTCTTTCCGCCATGGTCTAGAAGTGGCAGGAAGTCATTCCAAAAACGTGACCACGTGGCTCGACAGTTGGCACACCCTAAACCCTGGTTGTTGAAGGCAAACCAAAATGGCCTCCAGGACCCAAGAACGTGTGGTTTGTTGTCACTTGAAAAGAGCCACCAACAGACAGCCCGCCAGCCAGCCGGACAGACAGGCAGGCAGGCAGGTAGGTAGGTAGGTAGGCAGACAGACAGAAAGAGAGACAGAGAGACACAAAGACAGAGAGGGAGAGAGAGAGAGAGAGAGAGAGAGAGAGAGCAGGCAACCTTCGGCGGCAGGTGATGGACATGTGTTTGAAAATTGGAAAGAGGACCATTTTACAAGGGTGCCCAAAGTTGCGAGTCCAATGGCTTTCTCTTGCCATGAAGGGATCCCATGTTGACTTCTGCAAGCGCCCCTCACTCACTCCAACAGTTCATTGCCAAGCCCCCGGCTCCTTTCCGATTCATGTCATAGACATCAAGACATGGGCCGTGTAGACATCCTATCAAGACATGTCATCGAAAGTGTATGGACCAATCTAGACTTACTGATCTAGACATGTCTAGCACGTCGTCGTGTGCTGGATATCTGCAACGTGTCTGCCCAAACGGGCCATCAGTTTGCCCATTCACCAGGCTCAAAAGTTGATGGCTTGGTGCAACCAGCAAACGAGTGTTCTGAAAAAAAGGTTGTTTTCATTAGATGGCATTGCGCCATGCTTCGAACCTCTCCATTTTTGACATACGGCGCTCTCCCACATATGTGCCAGCCTGTGACCCAGCCCTGCGGCACGCGGAGCGGGGACATGTCGCAAATCACCGCGTGCACGGGGCCTGAATTCGGCCCACGTTAAGCCCAGCCAGCCAGCCAGCCAGCCAGCCAGCCAGCCAGCCAGCCAGCCAGCCAGCCAGCCAGCCCACCAGCTAATCGATTGACTGCCGTTGTTTTTTTTGGTTTTTATTTATGTGTTTTGTTGTTTTTTGTTTCCTTTGTTGTTTTTTTCTCCAGGTGCATGCAAAGATTCCTCAAAGGCAATTCAAGCCGTTGGGCAATGGGCAGTACGTCCCGCTCATTGGAGTAATTAGTCCCCGAAAATCCTACGCGAAATAGGGGCAACTGGGTAGTTCCTCCCCAAATGAACCATGCCATAGACTATCAGTCATATGGTAGGAAATCAGCCCTCCAGCGCATTCCCTTGCATCTCGTGTGAAGCCGCTCGTGTCAAGCCGTCTCTCTCTTTCGGAGCTTGTCCCTACACGAGAAGGGCTTCTTACATGGAGCAAGCCACCACATGAACCTACCATTCAAATGAACCTACCATTTTCACAACTAGATTTAGCAACCGTTTGAACGGACCACGTTAGCCCCACCAGACAGCTGATCGGTCGCCCCCTCTTGGTTTGTTCTGAGCCCCGCTGCTTAAAGAAATAGAGGGACCCCCAGCTAGAAAGGTGCTCTAAACTGTCAGGGAACTTTCAGCCCCCCCCCCCCCCGGCCCTTTTTGTCTAACTGTGGTGAGATCTGAGTGAGTGCTTCTTCTAACTCTATCATCATATCATATCGCAGGCTGGGGAACATTTTGTGCGCATCAGGGTTCACAATGTCTGCCACCTGGTCCCGTCTTGTGCATTCAGCCACCAGGCTGATTCCAAAAAACATTCCAAAAAGCGAACTGCTGCTCCGCCCCTGGCTCCAGTTGGGGCGCTTTGGGTGCTTTTCTTTTCCCTCAGCCCAAACACCAGGCGCCTCACTGAAGCCGCTGGGCTGAGAAACAAAGCCCCCGTCCGCGTCGCGAAGAGTCCCCGAGTCCCGGGTCCCACACCTTGTCGCTTCAGCTTTCTCAGAAGCTTCGGGACCTCCTTGGTGCTCTGCCCCTGGCGAAAAAATGGGTCGCAAAACTTGAGACCAGCCCGGCTGCAGCTCATCGCCGGAATGGGTAATTAGCAAGAGAGCCCTGCTGTTTGTAGCCTCAGCTGTTGCAAGGGGTCCATGGCCAGTATCAGAACTTCTCCAAGGATGACTGCCTCAAAAAAAAAAACATGAATTCTCGATTCAGGGACCTCTGTATCTAAGACAGCCGCGTTGCTTTGATGGTGATTATATGTTGGGCAACAACTGCTTTGGATACGTCGGTGATTATGCTTGCTGCAATCACTAAGGCTGCTATGGTCACCATTGTTTCCATACTTACTTGACGTTGAAGAATAGGTTCAGGACACCTTGCTGGTTTTTGGCAGGTGACCAGCGCAAAGAGCTTAGAAGGCATTCTAGTTTAAGATGGCGTCATCCAAAGTCGGAGCAGCCAGTCGCAACGGACATAAGCTGAAAAGGGCGATGCCGATGCCCCGGCTGGCAGCCGGCGCGGAGTTTGTGGGGCCAAACAATTTGAATGGTCCGGGACGCTTTACCAAGTTGAGCCATCGTTGTAGCAAAGGGTAAGCGAAGCAATTCTGTAGTCTATCGTTGTATAGTGAGCGATATGTGGTTGCTGCTCTTTGTGCTAGCAGGGATGGTCATGTGATTTGTTTGTCAGACCAAGAGCTTCCAAACATGCATACGCACAACAAACGAAGCACGTAGCTACAAAACACACATGAAATTCCTGCAAGTTGCTCCGGTTGTGTCGTTTGTGCCTGTCATGTTTTTGAGATTTGGGCTTTGGATGCCGTGCTGTTTTGTGTCTGTGCAGGCTTCAAGTCTTTAAGCATCACTGCATAATGGCAAAAGCTGAAGGGGCGCCAAACATGACAACTTCGGAGAGGGGCAAAGTCACGCTGAGTTGTTGACGCGTGCTTGCGCCTGGACCCCCAGAAATTTGGTCTTAGGGTGTTGTGCCAGTAGCCGTCCATCGCCGAAAGACTTATACCCACCCCTACCCCGTTTACACGCAGCTCATCTTTCTACCTGGAAGGGTCACCCCGCAGCTTGCCGCCCCGGGCCTTCAACAGCAGGAAGCCTCGGGGAAAACTGCACCTTGTCCCCTCAAGGGGACACCGAATGGACGATTTTGTTTCAAATATCAAGCACAAATGCAAATCTTCCCTCCCAGCAAGTTGCTTCACTTCAAGTTTGGGTCTGATGAGGAAAAATTCTCGCCCACTTTCACAGAACCTGACTGGATTTTCCCAAAGGGGCTCAGACAATAATCCCCGCATCCAAGTGCCGCACCAATGTTCTTTTTCTGCAGCTCCGCGCTGGTCTCGGCCTCAACTGGCACAGGAGAGGGCGTGCAAGGAGGCTGGTTTTCTGACAAAGGCGCAGTTAAGCAGAGGAAAGGCATCCCTATTTGGGCACGGTAGGCAAAGAGGGATCCACACATGTAAGCAAGGCCAAAGTAGATTCACCTCTCCAAATGCTTGGCTCCTTGGTATTCCTGTGAACCCTCTGCCAAAAAAAGCAGTGGGCGGCGATCTCGCGGCCCATTCACAACTTTGCCATTGCGGAAGTCATCAAGAAATTTCAAGGGGTACTCTGACTCTAATCTTTCAGAGTTTAAAGAAGCATGATCAATGAGCGGCGCAAAGACTATGAGAACTATGATGGCTCTATGACAACTGATGCTGATGATGATGATGATGATGATGATGATGATGGCTGACAAGTCACGACTGGCAATGCAGGTAATGCAGGTGATGGCTAGTCACACCAATGTCGGTAGTGACGCAGGTGATGCTCGTACTGCTGTTGCTGATGATACGGTTGATGTTGTTGATGTTGATGCTGGTGATGTTGGTGATGCTGGTGATGATGGTGATGCTTATGGTGCTCGTGATGCTGCTGACGCTGGTGATGCTGGCGGTGCTGGTGATGCTGGTGATGCTTGTAGTGCTGGTGATGCTGCTGACGCTCATACTCATAACCAACAGCTTGCTGATCTTGCATTTGGCAATAGCTTCTCCGGATCTGCACACAACACCAATGTGGGGGGGTTCCGTACTTTGACCTCCAATTGGAAACCCTTGAACTGCTTTGCAATGCTGGAAAGCCAGCCGAGGTTTGTCACAACCCGCCAAGCACCAACACAAGGGATGGTCGTCGAACGGCCAATTTTGCACTTCAGAGAATGTCGGGTAGACTGACCAGCCCATGAAGCATTTCTGATGTTAATTGGGTTTTTGGAGAATCTCCTAGAAAATGGCGTGTGTTCTGCGGAAACCCTGACTGCTTACCCAACCCTTGCTTGATCCTCCCAAGAGGTATAAAACCCAGTTGCCCAGAGATATGACCCTGGTAGAAAAGGATTGGACACCTTTTTGAGCCTAACCAGTTTGAGTGAGTCCCGACCTGCCCAACAAAAAACCGGGATTTTGCGGGGGGAATCCGCTGGGCAACAAGGACTTGCGTAGCCAAGGCGGAGGCGAGGCCGCGCAAAAGGAAGTCGAAGTGCCGCAGTGTGGCGTCCAGAAACCTGGGCTACGGTGCCTTAAAGTAAGAAGCCCAGCAGGAACCCACAAAAAAGCGCTGCCAATTAGGGAGTGGGGGGGGTGGGGGAAACCCGCACGTCTTGCTTTTTTGGAGGGGGAAGGAACTCAACCCTCGACCCTCGTTT